AAAACAAACATATATTCTAGCCTTCTTAGAAAAAAAGAAAGAAAGAAAAGGGTAGACGCTCACATACAATCAAATTATTAAATACTTTAATAAAATTTTAAGAATCATACACCTGATGGAGTCATATGAGATAAATGTAATAAACAGTCCAAAAAAGGTTCCTTGATTATTATTTGCATCGTTAGATTTTCAAATACTTCATATATTTTACCTTCTGTTTTAGTCATATTAAATATACACATACAATAAACATTTCCGCTTGACAAAGCAGCTTTGAAACCACATATATTGTTGATCGTTAATAACATTCAGTTGTTTTTCATCAGTAATCAAAACAGTAAAAATTGACCAAACTTAAAACATATAATAACCTCCTGAGACCCTGTGTCCTCATAAGAGGACGTTGCATTTTTGTCTCTCTTTACCATGATACTTCTTTTTTTCTTTCAGCTTTGACCTCTTGACCCCATAGCAGATGCTATCAGACACTGTTTGAAATCTAAAGTAAAATGGTTTTATACATTTCCATCCAATCATGTTCTTATTGTGTAATAGAAAAACTGTAAATGAGTCAATGGGACTGTCAGAACAAAATTGTAAAAACATTTAATTAAATATGTATCTCATATATCTTTAAAAAAAAAGCTAAAATGCATGCCAAATAAAAGCTCGGGTCTCAGGAGGATAATTACACAAACAAATAAATGACTATTCTAAACTTTAAATAATTGGTTGAAAAATAATGAATGGACTTATTCTTTTACAAAGTATTGGGAAGAAAAAAAAACATGAATTCATATAACCTAGGTTTAGTGGTAAGACTTGTGGTACATTGCTTATAACTTTTTCTCTGCTCCAGAACTTCAAGTATGTGCGGGATATTTTCTGTTGAAAGGGTTCTTTAGAGCAGCAGATGTGGGTAAAAGCGGGCAGAGTACAGGTGATCCATAGAGGTCAAGGGCCGGCGGTGTCAGATCCTGGTCAGGAAGTCCAGATGGAGGCTGCTCGGGACCTGCAGCAGCTCCAGAGCCTGTGGGGACGGGCTGAAGGGAAACGTGACCTGGAAACGATAATCTGAGTCCAGCATCAGCTGCGTAGACCCTTCACGATCTTGAAGTAATGACTACAACAGAGGAGAATTTGAGTCAGCTGTAAATATAGTAGATTTTTCATTGTGACGTCTGAACAAACAGTGCCGCCGCTCACCTGAACTTGGCGGACAAATGATGAAGGCACTCTTTTCTCAAAGTCATCTATAGGTGTGTAGGAGTTTAAAATCTTCACAATCTAAAAATGTGAATTTGAGATTTGTTTGTTAGTGCAAACAAGAGATTTCCGCCTTCTTTCAAAAGCCTGTGGACCATAAGTTTCTGAATAAAGTACCTGAACAGGGTTGAGTTCGGTGCATTTTTCGGCCACCTCTTTGGCGTCGTCGTCAGTTAACTTGTTGACTTGCAGCAGCCAGGCCGCCTGAGCCAGCGGCCTCAGAGTATCGATGGCATTGGAGCTCTGAAGTTCCTTCTCTTTCAGCCACTCCTCCAGGTAACTGATGTTACATCTAAAAGAAGAGGACAGCTGTAAAACCGAGCTCTTTCTCGGCTTTTGTTCGGATATCAGCAACACCAACCTGATCTGCATTCCTTTCCTGCAGGAGCACATGTCTTTTCGGAGCAGGATGTGGTTGAAGGTGGTGGCGCCCACGACAAAAAACAGCTGCTTGATGGCCTGTTTGATGAGGCCCTGGTCCATGGCGTGATGGCTCATGGTGGAGTGGAAGACGGAGAAGCGCTGGAGGATGGAGGAGATGGTGTATGCCTCTGAGTCCTCATAGGTGCTGTTGGAGCGCTTCCTGAGGCCCGTTGGTTTCATGCTGGAAATCCCCTGTAAACTCTCGTGCTCCAGCATACCAGGTACTGAGAATGAACACACAGAGGCATATGTTAGCTTCCTCGCAGAGGTTAGCCCACTTTCAGATTAGCACCCCATTAGCAAAATACCAATGGCTGGAGTAAGGCTTTTCTGCATGACTGTGATGAACTGATGGTAGATGTGAATGGCCAGGTCACTGAGGATCTGTCTGTGCTCCGACAAGTCAAAGTTCTGGAGGCAGTTCTTTTTCTGACGAGGAGTACTTTGTTTCAGGAAATCCTGATGGAAATGGGATACAAAAAACAGGGTGGAAAAAAAAACGCACTAATGACAGACAAAGAAAAAAAACAACTCTCAGCATAGTCCCATATAAGGAAAAAACGTTTTACTTCTTCCCCACTGTACTGCTTCAGACAGTTGAGCAACTGGTGTGTGTTTGAGAGCCAGAAGGACAGCAACTCCAGGTCTTTGTGGTGACTCTGAAACAGAAACACGTCACTGGAATACAATTCAGAGTGCACTGGAGAGTGGCACAGTTTTTAGTTTGTTCAAATTTTTTTTAAGGAGAAATCATTTAGTGCAACAATAAATAACCATTGATTGTCAGCTGACTGTATACAATTCAAGTTTTGTACAGTGAACTGTAACCTAAATAAACCGTTCACTCCTTCATCACTCTGAGAATGAACCTCACCACGATGACCCTTTTAACAGCACTAATGATGGCGTTCATGAGAGACTTGAGCTTGGCCCCGTCATTCAGGTAATCAGCGTGGCGAACGCACATGAAGAGGATGTAAGCTGGCAGGCTGGGGATCATGTTGACCACCACACCTTTAGGTTTCAGATCTGGGGACCAAATTAAGCACATTCCAAAGTGGCTATCAATTCATCTTCTTATAACAGATGCATTTAGTTTCTATAGCTCAACTTTTCTGGGAGTGAAAGGTAATGTGAATGGGAAATCAATTCTTTAAAAATGGATTAAAAAAGCAGTGCTTCACAGCAGTACCCAGAATGATGTTTTGAATGAGTCTGGCTTCATCGTCTTTCCTGTATTCCAACATGCCGAGGTATTCTTTGGGGATTGGAGATGAGGTGTTTTGTTTTGCTGTCAGAAACGAGACAACCGATGAAAATGGTTGAAAGTACACTCATTTGATGTTAAAGGTGTTTTTTTAGTGGTTACATCTCTACCTCTCTGGGATGTTTCAATGCTCATGATTTGGCTCTGAAGTTTCTTTATCAATCTGTCTCTCTGGTCGAGCAGCTCCTCAAAGTCCTGGGATGAAACGGTAGTTTTACAGTCTCTCACATAGCCATTGTCACACACACAGTGCTGCTCCACCCGTCACGCACACAACACACCATGTTCTCAGCAGTTAAGCGTGACGTCTCCTCCCTCAGTTTCCTCCTCGCTTCCCCCTCCATCAGCTGCTGTCTCTTCAGGTGATCGTTTTCTTCCTCCAGCTCCTCCACTCTAGCTTGAAGCTCGCCCTTTGCCTCTTCAAGCTCTGTGGCTTTCTCCTCAAAACAGCTAAAAAACAGGAAAATCAGGATGATTCAACAAAGACCCCCTCGCGTTTGGTCAGGAGACAGAGGAGTGGTTTACCGGCGTTGTGCGCTCTCTTCTGTAACCCTCCTCTGATGAGTGCTTGTGAGCTCCTTGTTTTTCTCTTTGAGATGGCACGAGAAAAACCAACAGAATAGCAGTTAAAATAACAAAATGTAAAACATCTTAAAATTGATATTCTTGGACTGATAAATCTGAATACCCGCTAACTCTCTCTCCTGCTTGTTGACATAAGCCTCCAGCTCCTGCTTTTGCCTTTGCAGCTCAGAAACCTGCAGCCTGAGCTCTGGAATGACCTGTGGGCCACATCCCAGCACAAAGCTTCGTGAATCCCCTGTTCTCAAGATGTAAGGTGGAACAGAGAATGCAGGAACACACCGAGTTCTCACTGCTGAGCCTAGACACCTCCTGGCGGATGTTTTCGTTGACATTACTCTTCTCCTGGAACAGGTTTTGCAGCTTGCTGTTCTCGTTTTGAAGGTGGTCCACTCTCAGCCTCAAGCCCTCCACCTGAGTCTCGTAGCTCTCCCTCTGCTCCCTCTGGTGGTTCTCCAGAATCCTGGAAATGAACATGAAATCAGTAAACCTCACCCAAACACAAACTACAAAAAAGTTACCAGTGAAAATGAAGACCTTGTAGCTTTCTGAAGGCCCTCAAAGGCAGCCAGCAAATCGCCCAGTTCATAAATCTTCTCAGAATCATCTGGAGTTATGCTTTTAACAGATAAGACATGTAAGATGAAATGCTTAAAGGAGGTAATGTGACAAAAGCCAACACTGAAATTGCAGGTTACCCCAGAAGAACTTCCTCTTCAACAACATCTCCAAGAAGCCTTCTGATAATGTCCGTCATTCTATCTGCAGAAGAACGCTCACAGATCACTTCCAAAAAGACTTTATACAGGTACGGTGAATTCTTTGTTAAACCTGAGATGAGAACTTTGTACCTCTCGCTTGTTCAGACTGTTCTTTCATCTTTCGGTCCATGTTATTCTTCTCGTTTTGAAGGTTGTTCAGATCTCTGCGCAGCTCTGGGATGACTTTGACGTGCTTGGTGAGCTGAACGAGCTGCTCCTGCAGGTCAGAGTTCACCAGCGCCCCTTCCTCTATCTTCCTCTGCAGACTCACTCTCTCCTCTTTCAACCGTTTGATCTCTTCTTTCAGGGCCTCCACCTCACAATCGTGGTCCTCTCTCTGGATTTCCATGTTGTTCTCTGCAATCCTGCGAGAAGACGACTCATCAACCATCAGCAGCCAGGAGATGACGATGTCTCGAGCACATTGGGATGACTTACTTTCTAAGCCTTGCCTCGCTTTCCTTCTCTTCCAAAAGATAGCTTTTTACTTGATCAAAATTCTCTGTAAGAATTTGAAGACACATTTAAAAGTTGGCATACAAAAAAAAGGATCTCAATTCATTCAGAAGATAGTCAACTTTATTTTCTGGTGAATGTGGTTAATATTCTGTCATTTCCATTTTTAAATGACCACTATCACATCAATAATGGCATCTAGTCCCCATCAGGATTAGAGCAAAGAAATAAAAGAAATCCTACAGGTTTCATAAAAAAGATATACAAAAAAACTTGACTCTTCTTACCTTTGGCCTTTTTCATGGATGTTTCTAGGACTTTCTCCAGGTTCTGCTTTTCCAGCTTTGCTGCTTGTATCTCCTTCTGAAGCTGAGCTATTGTCTTTTGTCAAGACGAGATATAAACTAGATTAATTCAAAGAATCTTATTCATAAGAAAACAGCAAGCTATGACTGTTTGGAAACTTTTAGCATTGATTCGCAGACTGACCAAACCAGCGTCTTCTCTGGCTTTTCTCTCGCTTGCCTCCAACGACGCTTTCAGGTTGGTGGATTTTTCCATCTGTGCCTCTAGGCCCTGAAGTCTTTCCTGGGTTTGAGAATGGGAGTTGGCCAGGCTGGTCAGTCTTTCCATCAATCCTCGGTTCTCCTTGTTCTGTAGAGAGACGCGTGTTCAGTTGTGTCAGGGGGATACAGTCCTAGCCTGAAACAGCCATGGAAGCGTCCACACCTGCTCTTCGATCTTCTTTCTGAGCTGCTGCACCCTGTAGGAAAGCTGGACGTTGAGTACCAGCCGACGCATGGTCTGAAACCGCCGGCGTGCCAGCCACGCTCTGGCGTACTTCTGCAACACCAGAGCTTTGTGCTCTTCGACCATCTGGCATGTATAAAAAAACATCACCACAATGACAAATAAGAAGAAATACAAACACGATCAGTCGATTTGGCCTCAATACGAACCTTCCTGTACCACTTCCGCGCCATCCAGCCTCGGGTGAAAGCCTGGATGGTCAGGGAGGCCAGGCGGACCGTCAGGTAGATCTGCCTCATGCGGTATCCTCTCCAGTATCTCTGGACCACCACTGCTGCCCAGCCCTGCTTGAGCGCCGCAGCAGTCACTGTTTTGCTGGAAGTTAACCAAAATGTGTTTTTAACTTTAACAGGATCCTTTCAGAGGACGGCGGCCAAAGCTGAGCTGTACAGTAACTGAATGGCTCTTACCGGACTGTCCTCTGTCCTCTTATGTATTGTTGCAGCACAATGACGGCCTCTCTCATTCTCAGATACTTCCTCCTCTGGCTCCACCCACGGACACGCTTCTGGATGGTCACACAGGCCCCTCGAAGTCGATCCAGCCGCAGCTTCTCCAAATAAGCTACCTGGCCGGCTCGGAAGAAGATCTTTGTGCGGCCAAACTTGTACTGGTTTGAGTCCTGGGGAGGGGGGCAAAGTGATGTCCATGTGTGAGGACATGCAGTGCCCGATAATGCTCATGCAACCGGTTGTATGTCTGTAACCTGGATGAGCCTCTGCAGCACATCTTTGCAGGTTTGTTTCTTGTCCCTGAGGTCTGCCTCCAGATGGGACATCAGGACACTGTATCGGCTGTAGAACTCAATATACGTCCATCTGAGAACACAAGCCGTGAAAGAAGAAACACTTTCGGATTGCGTTGTTAATAGTTTGGCACCTATGTGGACACAACTAAAGTCACCTGGAGGGGTAGCTTTGAGCGCTGATACGGATGGTTTCAAGGACGCCGCAGGCTCGCAGCTGCTGCACTACTCTCCTGGAGTCGTATCTTAAAATGCAAGCACACACTCACTCAAACCAAAGACAAACACTAGCAAATGCTTTGCTCACCAAGGGGGTACTTATGTGAATCAAAAATGCATGAGCACTCACTCAAATGGGAGCTTTTCCTCATTGGGCTTGATGCAGCGCACGTAGTGAGGGGTGGTGGCGTTCAGCGTCTCCATCAGCAACGACAGCGAGCTGCGGAACTGCAGGAAACAGCAGGAGCTCGTGAGGAGGGGGAACTGATACCAACTGGGTTTGACTCTACACACACACTACAGCCGTATACAGCCAGCAGAGGGGCAGCGTCAACATTCCCACCTTATCTCCCACTGATGTTCTCAGCTGTTTGTTGGCTGGTTTCAGTGAAGGCCGGGCAGGCTTCACTCTGACGCCATTACTGGCTGCAGGGTGTTGCTCCTCCTCTTGGAAAAAGTTGGCCAGAAATGAAAACTGATAACAGTTACGAAGAGAAGAACTACATTACATTGGAACAGCTCTCATCATGCAGAAGTTAAGTTTAATTTTGTGCTGAGAAAAAAACCCGTCACCTTGCTGGCTCTCATCGTGTCCACCAGCTCTTCATAGAGAGCATCCCGGTTCTTATCCAGGAAACCTCTGCACTGATATTCCACCTGCTCAGGAAGACGGAAAAACCTGGCTTGGTCAGGAGTAACAACAGGACTGATTTGTGTCTTACATTATGTGGACAATGTGTCACTGGACTGCACCTTGTCTGCAAAGTGTTGAATGACAAATGCCTCATTGGATAACCTGGGCTTCTCAAACAAAGGACTGGCACCTATGTAGCTGTACAGCTTCTGGAGCCAGCTCTGGTCTGTGCCTTGAGGAAACTGGGAGGACATAAAATTGTTTGACATGCAGTTAGTTTTAAGCACAAATTAGGTCAAACGGATCTGAATAATTGAAAATGTCCAAATCTTACTAAACATTCTTCATCAAGCAAGTCAAGGATCCCCATCTTTGCCTCAATCAGGTCAATAACGGGCTGATTGTCGTAGAAATCAATCAGTGTCCACGGGATGTCCTCCTTCATGTACTCCTCTTGCTCCAGCTTGAACACATGCTGGTAAAAGGCACGACATATAAGCCTCTTGAGTTGAACAAGTGGTGCTTTCAGAGCGCAGGAAGGATCCCAGACGATGGTGCTACGTACCAGGTTAAACTGCTGCTGGAGCTTTTCGTTTGCATAGTTAATACAAAACTGCTCAAAGCTGTTGATGTCAAATGTTTCAAATCTGAGGACAGCAGAACACATGATCATGGAGAGAGATGGGGGGGGGGGGGACAGGCAGAGGACAGAAAACAGACTCTATTTGCATTACCCGTAAATGTCCAGAACTCCGATGAAAGCGTGTTGCTTTCCAGGAATCTGCAGCGCTGTGTTGATCCTGTTAATAATGCAGTCAAACAGATGGGCATAGATCTGCTTAGCTAAGGCATCCCTGGCGGTCACCGCTCGCTCCTTGGACACCGGCTTCACAACCGTTTCTGCCACCAGAACGATCCTGCGGTTACTCAGCCAGCGCACCAGCTGCTCAGCACTTACGCCCAACAGGTCACAGAAGACGGGCAGGTGGGGGTCGCTGGGCTGGAGAATACATCAGTTTAGATGTGTGTTAGGGTCTATGAAAAGACCTGCACATCTTTATGAATCACTCACAGGAACTGATGACCTATCGTCCCCCAGCCTCTTAATTTCGACATTTCCCAAATGGAGAATCGCCGCCAGAACTTTGAACACGTCAGATTGAAAGTCCTCCTTCAGCCCTGGAGAGTAACAAAGAGTGAGGCTGAAACTAAAGTTCCATTAAAAGGCAGATGCAGTGTGACGGCTGGTCTTTACCCAGCAGGGAGAAGGTCTGCCGAGTCTCTTCCATGTCCCTCCTGTCATCCACACCTTCGATGGTTATGGCACCCCCCATGCAGGTGTACCTGAATTCATCTGCACTCACTGCAAATGAAAAACATATTCTATGCACTTCAAACCCAGAACACACATGGCTGCAAAAACTACAGCACATAAGCTACAAATACAACAAACCAACGACTGAATACCAGCAGTTTGCTCTGGCTGATGATGGGACACAGGTGTGCTTATACTTCCTCCTACATTCTGCTGTTTGACATGTTGGAAGCTAATTGGGGGCAAAGCCGGCAAACCAGTGGAAGCAGTTAGGTTAAACACTCACACAGTCTGAGGTCCTTGAACTCGGGTGTGTCTGCACAGGAACACATCTGGTAGAATATGTGGTAATTGCGCTCATTGTCTGACTAAAAAGAAAACAGAAAAATAACAAAATCATTACTGTGAAAAGATGAGACCAAAATGAGGATATACACTAAAAAAGGAAGCCCTTCTGTTGAACCACCTGAAAAACCACCCTGGATTTCTCTAAGAGGTAGGTCCTCATGTTGGCTCCCATGATGCGGTACCTCCTGTCAAAGCTAATCTCTGTATATTTTCCAAAGCGGCTGCTGTTGTCATTCCGAGTGGTTTTTGCATTTCCTATTGCCTGAGAGAAAAATGAAAGCCAGTTTTGTCGCCTAATATGACAGTAAGTACTGAAATATAGCATAGAGAAAGGTCCTACTTCTGTCATTTCTGTAGTCAGATAAGACCACATGTAAGTGATGCCTTACTTTGTGAGTAATTCTCTTAATACATAAAAATATATAGATGTCATACCTCTGTAATTGGATTGGATGCCAGCACTTTGTCCTCTACTCGAGTTTTACTTCCAGATTTGCTCACAACAGCGAAGTACCTCATAGCGTACCGAGCAGAGACCGTTTTGCCGGCCCCAGATTCCCCACTGACAATGATGGACTGGTTCTTGTGGTTTCTGAGAAGAAAAAAAAAAGTGATAGAGTCACTATAATGACTCTTTAGGGTATTTTCTGTGCCTCTGAGGTTTCATTACCTGGCCATCTGTTTGTACGCCTCCTCTGCCACTGCAAATATATGAGGGTCCATGTCTCCCATGTTCTGGCCCGAGTAGGCGTGAATGATTGCATCTCCATAAATATGGAGCTGTTTATAAGGATTTACAGCCACCAGAATGATACCTGAAAATGAGGAAACGGCACAGATTGAGCCAACGGCACAGTCGTTAACGGCCCAGGGAATCAAATATACTTTGACACAGGTCATGGCCTACCACAGTAGGTGTAGATGATTCTGGACTCCACAAATCGCACTTTGAGATTGTGCAGAACGGCAGGCTCATGCAGGTAGCTGAGAGCCGTCAGGTCGTTCTCCCCCACCAAGATGTCTGGGTTTCGAAGAGGAGGCAGCTGAGGTTTGGATGGATCGACAGGGTACACGTACTCCTAAGAGAAAGGTCAGGTGTGTGCTCACTATTCCCATGATCATTCACTCATCTCAGAAACGTGTGAAGGTTTTTCATCGTTTCACTTACGGTGCCATCTTCCAGAAGAAGCTGAAGAACATTTTCCCCGGGATGGAAATCTTTTGTAATTTCTGCTGATCTCCAAACATGTTCAGCATCTGGTATCCACACTCTGTTAAACTGAGAGGAAATACCTCAAACTTATTAATATGATCAACCTGTAACTTTTTGTCCTGGGGTGTAAGATTAAATAGTAACAGATCATTTTAAAGACTGCATGACTTAAAAAAAGATAGAAAATCATCTCAAGTCCAACCTGGACTTCATCCCGAAAACATGCCAACACTCTGACAAAGTTTCCATATGTCTCTGTAAAATGCTCAAAATAGCGTGGGAGCAACCCACAAACTTGTTTTTAAAAAGAAAGCCCTTCTCTTACCTTCGTGTAGAGCTCCAACAAAGACATATTTGCGCATTATTCTTGTAACTTTGGCTAAAGATACTTTACTGTACACCTGTTGTTGCTTTGTACTTTCTAGGTTAAAAGCAAAGTTACTACCTCTCCACTTCCAAAAACGTATCGAACAAGTTTGACAAGGCTGCCTCTCACTTCCGGGAGAAGCCTTCATAATAATATGCCAGCAGGGACGATTCCATCTTACTCAGACCTCTGGAAATGTTTATGGGATTTTCAGACATCCTTTCATTCGTCTCTTCTCCGATACAACGCTTCACCACACCTTTCGGTATCTTTAACCTTTTGCGAACTCTTACTCTTTGTTACTGCATGATAATCCTGGATAAATAAACGTTATCTTCTTATTTTGACTGGTTGTGAAGGCATTTTCATAAATATGATACAACTTTGCGGAATTTAAAAACATATATTTATAGGAGAGGGACACTGGATAAAACGAACCCCATAATTTTGTTAGAAAATGACAAAGAACAGGATTGGTTCCAATCTAAAAGTTTAATGCTGAACCAGGAAGTAGACGGGTCCCCGCAGGTCTCGTCTCTTCCTGGCTGGCTTGACGAGCACCTGCTGAGCTTCGACTGTCTCCGCCCCCCTGTCTTATGACAGCGTGGGTGTGCTTGTTTTAACAAGGATCCCAACCACAAAGAAACCGGATACAAAATATATTTTTCCATAAGTATTCATTTAACCCGCTGCTGCAAACTGGAAATTACAGAATGGCAATGGCAACATTTTCAACATCACAAACCATTTTGACCCACTCTTGGAATACTGATAAACGAGGAACAACATCAACAGAGCCAAGGAAATACGTTAACGCATTCACTGTAGGCACGACGAATTTTAAGGCAGAAGATTAATCATTGATGAGTTTGAAGGCCCTTTTACCCTGTCAAGCTTTTGCACATAAGATTAGTTAAAGCGTTTTTTTAAATGATGAGATATTCTCAAAGATAAGATGATGTCATGTTTGTCAACCCTATGTATACTCAAGTTTACTATGATGTGCAGATCCTTTTTCAGTGTCACTGCAACATGGAACCATATTTAACTTGTTTACTGAAAGCCTGTCTAAAACTTAGAAACATGTTATCTGATAAATTGAATATGGATTTTTTAAAAGTTACAGATAATTTCACGACATTTTTAACAATTTCAAAAATGGAAGCATCGATCATAATAATCCATTTAAGATCGATTCATAGTTTCCAGAAAGTTAAACATCCCAAATGTCAGGCCCATCAATTCATTTGTGAAACATCACATTTCTTTCCCTGATTTTCACCATTATCCATCTTGGACTTCTGATATATAAGAAGGTCCCAGTATTTACATCAAGTAAACAGCAACAAATGTTTTGCCAGAGATGTGTGAAAAATATTACTTTTAACACTTTTTGTTGCATATTCAGTTCAAACATTTGTAACTCTGGTATGGCACATACAAATACATAGACAAATATAAATATAAATAATCTAATCTGGCTTTATAAAGTCTTGCTGCACTAAATAATGCTTCTTGAATAAACTTTGGTGAAAACGTGTGCTGGTACACACTGCCGTGTATCAGGTTTCATTTAGACACGCGTGAGGAAACCCAGATTGAGGCTGGCAGGAATCTGGAGTGTCTCCAGAGCCACAGAGGAAGGTGTGAATGGGACAGAAACAGAGAAGATCTGCTTGGTGTCCATCATCAGGGTGGATGACTCATCTCTGTCTTTCAAAAGGTTCTATAAAGTAAAAACAGGAAAATGTATACATTACAAAAGCTCGCATAAGCTTGAAAGTAACCTACACAAAGCTCTACTCACTTCAATGGCTGTGATGAACGTGGGTGGCACTCGCTCTTCGAACTCAATGACTGGGGTGTACAAAGTCAGCACTTTAACAATCTGTCAGGGGAAAAAAACTAATCAGAGCGCTGTTGAAAAAGGTGTGCGTGTTCAGACTGCTGGGCCTTCAGTGAGACTGGACCTGTGGCGTGGTGAGGGCAGTGCACATGCTGCAGATTGCTCGGGCGTCGGCCTCAGTGCTTTTCTTGATCTGCAGAAGCTGTGCAGCCTGTACCAGAGGTTCCAGAGTCTCCTTTGCTCCACACTCTGACAGCTCCCTCTCCATCAGCCACTCCTCCAGCTGCCAAACGTTGTACCTGAGGTAAAGAAATGCTGATTAAACCCAGACGTGGTGCTCCCACCCTGTCGTCAGCTGTGTGACAAACAAGTCATGGAAATGTTAGCAACATTTACACAGGGAAAACATTACCAGTACCATTACACGTGTTAACGAGAGTTTTGAGAAAAACTGAATGTTTGGGATAGCTCAGTTTCCCAAATGTTCCTAATTATCATTAAAGGGATAAAAACTTTACCGGACATGTGTTTACAATCATTCCTAAAAGTCCTACTTCTGTTTAAAAGAGACAACTTTTAAGGGGAAATATGTCTTATAAATGTTGATGCAGAATACAGGGAACGAGTTAGAAACAATAGAGGTCTTTGTAGAGCTTGACTTCCAGACATGCGCTTATAAAACTAAGTTCTTGCCAGTTATCCTAAACTGGCAATGGGTATGAGTAAGACCTGTCCTGCTTATTCTCTGCCTTCCTCAATTTCTCCCTGAGCAGGAGAGAGCTGGAACAGAATATAGTTGAATGGTTTGTGCATGCCAAACGTTATTCTTGGTGAATTCAGACCTAATGATGAGGCAGTATTCATTTCCCAGCTGATCAGACTAACTGTTGCGTATGGAAACCATCCTTTGATAATCCAAGAGGCTCAGTAAAGTACAGTATCACCATCATCTGTATTGTCTGGCGGTACCTGATCTGCAGGCCTTTGCTCCAGGAGCACATGTCCTTCCGCAGCAGCAGGTGGTTGAGTGTGACCGCACAGATGAGATAAAACTGCTGCTTGACCACCTGTTTGATGAGATCCAAGTCCACTCCATGCTGGCTCATGGTGGTGTGGAAGTAGCTAAGCCTCTGCAGGAGGACCTCCACAGTCACAGCCTCCTCGGGGAAGCTGGAGCTTCTCTTCCTCAGGCCTGTCGGCTTGGACCCTAAAACTCCCTGAATGGCCTCGTTCTCCAGCATGCTCGCCACTAAACACAATCACCACATGGACAAAGACCTTAAAATGAGAGAGAGGAGGATGATGGTTACTCTGTAGAGCCAGATTAAGTGCTCTCACCTATGAGGGGCTGCAGGGTGTTCTCCATGCATTTGATGAGCTGGCGGTAAATTTGTATTGCCAGGTCACCAAACAGCTGATGATACTCTGACAGTTCAAAATTAGTCAGGCACTGTTCATTTTGCTTTGGAGTGTTATGAGCCATGAACACCTTTAAAACAAAACATTTGACACACATAAAGGCTTACTGTAGGCACATTTAAAGCTGTAAGCATAAGAGTGGCATCAGAACCTGCTCCAGCTCACCTCATCTCCGCTGTACTGCTTTAGACAGTTCATTAACCTGCACGTGTTGGCCAGCCAGAAGGACACCGCTTCAAAATCCTCTTTCCTCTGCAGAGGCAGTGTTAAAAGCTCATCACAAATGAAAGACATCGGCCCGATTATTTCTACAATTCGAGATTTAAAAACTGCACCTTAATGACTCCTTTGATGCAGCTGATGGATGAATTGAGCAGAGCGCTGACTCTCTTGTCGTCATTGGCGTTGTCAGCGTACCGTAGGCACATGAAGATGATGTAGGCCGGGAGCCCCGGGGTGAAGCTGACCGCCACGCCCCGAGGCTTCAGATCTGAGATTTAACGTGTGGCAAAAACATTTGAAGGTGTAAACTCTCTCTTTGCTAAGTTTCTAAACTTTAGTTGTGTGAAAAACATAACAGTCAATCAGCTACACAAAATATGACTCACCGATGACCAGATTCTTGAGCAAGCGGCTCACGTTGGCCTCACTGTACTCCAGCATGCCCTGGTACTCCTTCTCCTTGCGGGTGATGTGCACTGCCCTGACGGGAGTGCACATCACAGAGCTGCTATTTGTTTGCTGAGTGCTTGCTAAACACAGCAACAGTAATTAGATCAATGACATGATTAATGCTCTGATTATGAAAGCAGAAGCAAATCTGTGTGACAGTTCAGCTCTGTCGGGTTACCTTCCAAGTCTTCAACTCTTTTCATATAGAGCTTGAGCTGCTTTTTCAACTTCCGTATGGTATTGTCTTGTTTTTCTTGCAGCTCCATTCGTTCCTGAAATCAAACAAACAAAAAGACAAATGTCAGAACAAGGTAAAAAAACTCAAAAACATTCTGTAGTTTTGTCTTTGTTTTGTGAAATGAAAAAAGGTTTCACAGAATATCCAGATCGAGCAGCAGATACAGTCAATATTTAGTTTTAACAACTAGAGCAGACCTACCAGGTTCTCATTGGTGAGTCGCGTGATCTCATGCTTCAGACTCGCCTCGACTCGTGCATTTTCAGGCAGGAGGAGGGTCTGAGCCAACAACTTTTGCTGCTTCTCCTTTTCTTTCTTCAGCTTGTTCACCTCCTCAGCAAGCTTGCCGTACCTCTCATTGTGCTGGCGCTCCTGGTTCTGCATCTGGCATTCCAAAAGTCTGCAGGGTGAGAGGAAAACATTCAGTCCCATTCAGCCAAACATGTCTGAAAGCACAGAGAGCAGATTATTACATCATTACCTGTTGGTCTCTTTCAGTCCTTCATAAGCCAGCCACAGCTCACCATCCTCATTCAGAGTATGTATGTCATTGGACCTGGAAGGAGCAATCACAAACATTAAAAAATGTATAGATAAACGTCCATTACGTAGAAGACGAAAACATGGTTAAAGAGGTTCCAACCCACTTGGTTTTTATCACAATCTCAGAAAAAAACAACAACATCTTACTTTGGCCTTTCATTTTTAGACAAATTGGACTTACCGGTCAACATCTTGATATGATGGAATTTCACTGAGATCAAGCTTCACCGATTCACCCAGCATAGAGTCCTGGGATTCAATTCAAATGTAAAGAATACCATTGTTAGATCTCAATGAAGTCTGAAGAATACTCTGTTGCAAACAAGCAGCAAACATTTTAAAATAACAGCTAAAAGAACACCACAAAAGATTCTCCTCCTCACTCTGTGTTTGAGAGCCTCTTGGCGAACCATGTGCGAGCGGAGGAGCAGCACCTCCTCTTTTCGCATCTCCAGCTCCTCATTGGAGGAAGTCAGGTGGTCCAGCAGTGTGTTGTAGGGCAAAGAACCTGGAACAGGGGGCGCCAAATCACCACTTTCACTGGTCAAAGACTTTCGCAGCTCAGTTAGATCCTGCTTCAGTTTCTTGTTCTCAGACTCCAGTTCTTGTCGCTGCAACAACACATTTAGACAGGCACAGTTCCTTAAGCATTTTTATTACATTAATCATACACTGTTTGAGGTATAAGTATAGACAAATCAGAATACTCAAGTCACACCTTCAGAGTTTCCAAATCCAGTTCTGTTCTGCCAACACTTTTCTGCTTCTCCACCTCCTTTACCAGAAACAGAGCAACAACGTCAAGCATGTAACAACCAGGCCTTCCTATTTTTGTTTTTGTAGCGATGAACTGATGTTTTTCTCCAGTAGAAAAATGACACATTTCCTACTTTTGCCTTTTGTTGTTGGGCTTCCTCTTTTTTATCCAGCTGCTGCCAAAGTGACCGATTTTCCTGCTCTAATTCTTTCACTCTTCTCTGAAGCTTGAGAAGGAGAGGCAGGTCCACTGTTTTCTGAGTCTCATTCTGACAAAATACAGACAGCATTAGCAGTTATCATCACAGATAAGATCAAATTCCCTCCATGCCCTTTTTCATTGCAACCATTCCGAAATTTCCAAGACACACATTCTTCTTATCAAGTCATTATGTGAACTGACGTAATATGGTAACAAACACACTGTAATTTCTTTATAAAGTAATAACAATATCATGCGTGAAAATTCTCAGTATCTCAGAGGACAACCAGTTTTAGTTCGAGTTGCTTTTAAAATCCCTGATAATGCAATACATAGTTAGTAGTCCTTGTCCATACATGCAGATCACCAGAAGCTGAAAGTGAGTATGTGACACGTTACCTCTGTTTGTACGCAGCTGTCCTCGCCCTCTGTGGAGTCCAAACTCTGAGACAACTCAGATGAGTTACTGCTGTAGTTGGAGTCTGTCCTCTTTAGGGTAGATCTGTTAGAATTCTAGTGAAAAACACCAGACAACATTCAAGAATAACTCAATTAGAAAAATGTGACTTGAGACTGTATAATAACATTAAGAGGTACTGTGGTCTCTTTTATGCTACTCACAAAAAACTAAACTTAACTGAAATTAAATTAAGTGTTAGGTTTGAAAGATAAATTATTCTTATGAATTAGGTCATCTCATAGCTGAAAGAAAGAACTGATGGAATTAGTAATGAGGTCCAAACACACTGTATAATGAGAAAGCTTATTTTAATGTTTCACAGTAGAAATTTGTTTCAGTAAGTCTATCATGACTTTCTAAAAAACATTCCAATGTGTTTGTGGTTTGCGACTGAATCTTTCCACCCTTTTATCAAATATCTATAAATATATCTATATCAAACCAGGTTGTTTCAAGAGAAAGCGAAGACATGATGAAAAGTCTTACTGTACGAAGACTCATCTCCTTCAGATCTCTGTGCCGTTCCTCTAAATGTAGATGTTCACTCAGCAGACTTTGGTAGCGAGAACGTTCCTCAGCTAAGTCCTTCTCCAGCTGTTTGGTGTTTTCAGAGTTGGTTTTAATCTCTGAGACAGAACAGCAAAGTTTCATTACTAACTGATTAGTTGTACATACAGCGTTACTGGTTATCTGAGAAGATTACCTGTCAGCTGCTGAGTTTGTGTTAGGATTTCCTTGCTCAGTTCATCTATGTTGCTCATCAACAATTTGTTCTTCATATTAAGTTCTTCTAAAGTCTGAAAAGAGAGTATTGTCTTGTCTTACAGTGTTATAAGTTGGCCAATTCACTGGACTTTAAAACAAAACTTAGGAAAAGATCATTGTGTAAGAATTTAAAATTCTTTGAGTTTTTTATTCATCTTGTAGTAGTCAGAGGCAGGTCAGCACATATGACCACTGTCAACCATAAACAACTAGAAATTATTTGTGTAAAGACAAAGGTTAAACCCAAGACTGCTCAAATCTTCCTTGAGCACTGTGGATAAGCAACTTAGTTTTCCCCTCATGGCAGCCAGTCTTATAACTTGGTGAATATCAGTTAAGTTACTCTCTCACTGCAGTCAATGTAAATATTAAGGCCTACCTGTTGTGTCTGCTCCTTGTAGATCTTTATCTGCTCGTCCAGCTCTTCTTTCTCTCTGCGGCTGTCTTCCAGCTCATGCTTAAGGATGGAAAGCTGTTCCAGCAGAGAGGGAACTTTCTCTGCTCTGACTTTGGCTTCCTGCTCCGACTTACGTAGGTTTTCTATCTCCCTGCTCTGTTTATCTCGCTCAGCCGTGTGGGATCTCTCCAGAACGCTCAGACTCTCAGTGAGCTCTCTGTTTTCTTTATGCTGCAGGGAGGAGATGCAGACACATGCTTGTGTCACATGCATGTGATATGACAACTCCCAATGTTTTTCCAGTTTCATTTTTTTCTTCAGTTTGTTCTGGAGCAAACAGCTGACCAACACTCTCTCACCTGTTGGTTGACCTTCATTTGTAACTGCAAAATCTTATTCTCCATGCCGACATTGAGCTTCTTAAAGTGTTCCACAGAACGTGCCTCCACTTTCAGCTTCTTTAAATCTTTCTTGGCCATCATGCGGCGTACACAGCTCTGCAGCAGGATGATGGCGGCCACAGTGCGTCTGTAATGCTGCTTAGCAAGCCAGCCTCTCACCCACCTCTGAATGACCACTGCCTTTTGCTCAAACATCAACTGTGAGGACAAAAACAAAACAGGACTGTCTGTGTCTATAGAGACTTCATATGCTCTAAAAACATTGTTTTTTATCTGTACAATCACATGAAAAGTTTTGCTTTTTTTTTTTTTATTGAAAATGTTTATGCGAAAACTGAAGCGTGTCAAAACTCTGGGAGCAATGTATTGACCAGAACCATGGGCATCTGGCCTTTCTTGGACAATTAGATTAAAAATGAACTAAAAAATAAAACACATTGTTACCTTATAGTACTGCTCTCTTGCCATGTGGGCCCTCCAGCAGCACTGAATAGTGATAGCAGCAGAGCGCTGCAGCCGGTAGAGTCTCCTACTCGCCGACATTCGCACGTTGCGCTGAATAACGACAGCTGCTCTGGTTTGCCGCAGAAATGTGACATAACTGACGGAAAACAAAGAAATGCTATACTTCTAGTGCTTCTAAATGCCTTAATGTGCCGTTGTTCACCACACCCACTCACCCACGTGCCTGATGACCTCGTACATATTTCTGAATGGTAATGGCAGACTCTCTCAGCCTTAGATACTTTTTCCGGGCCAGCCAGCAGCGGATGGTCTTCTGAATGGCGACACAGGCTAAACGCAGCTTGTCAGAGCGAAGTTTCTCCAAATAGGCCACCTGACCAGCCCTGAAGAAGATCTTGTTTTTGCCAAACTGGTACTTCTCATGGTCCTGGCAGCAAGTTGCAAGACAACGTAGAATATGTTATGTGACAAATTTCAAGATAAGCAATTTTTTATTGAATGACACATATGGGAATTATTCAATTCAATCATGCCTTAATGAGTTTTTCCAGAAGGTTTTTGCAGGTCTGCTTCCGATCAGGAAGTGCATCCTTTTGCTTCATGAGGACACGGTAACGACTGAAGAATTCCTGATAGGTCCATCTGCCGTGTTCAGTTCATAATAAAACATCACATGTTAAAGATATATTCATGCATTTAGCTGTACACAGCTCCTAGTGACCCTGCACTGTAGCACACAGTGTTGCTAATACACCACCTCGATGGGAAGCCTGCTGCTGAGATCCGGATTGTTTCTAGGATACCGCATGCTCGAAGCTGCTGCACAGCTCTCAGAGGGTCCAACCTAAATGTATAGTAGAAAGAAAGCACACCTTCAGTCTTTTAGCTCACAAATGTGGTTATATCAAGCAGGTGAATCCTCACATGAACGGTGCTTTGTTGTCATTTGGTTTGATGCAGCGTACGTAGTGAGGAGTCGTCGCATTCAGTGTCTCCATCAACAAATGCAGAGACTGTCGAAACTGATTTAAACACAGCAATCAATCATGCAACATAATTTATGAAAATTTTTGCATTCAAAAAGTAAATTTAAAGGTCCAAGTCCTGAGCAGTTTAGTTACATTTAATCACATATTCCTTCAAAGAAAAAAATAGACTTCATGCTGACTCACGGAGGAAAGGTACCATTCAGCTAAATATCACCTTCAAAACAGTCTCCACAGGAACGGAAATCATTCCACAGTACAAAGCTAAACAGAAAAATGTATCTTTGTAACAAAATATTATGTCCATTCAATGTAATGCTCTTACCTGCAGGCCAACAGTCTTCTTATTATCCTTCTGAGTTGGCCCAGCTTTTCCAGCAGTGCCAGTATTTTTATTGGCTGAGGACTTGTCATCATCCTCAAACAGCTTGAGCAGTAAGTCAAACTAAACAATTTGAATGACGGCAACAAAATAAATGTTGTCACTGAACAGCAGATGGCAGTGTGTTCAATTTAAAATTGAAATGTGTGTGTATTTCCTCCAATAGTCGTGACTGAACAATTACAGGGTGTGTGCCCGCAAACTTACAACATAAAAAATTACTGAACAGTCATTTGCTCTTGGCTTCATGGCTAATAGAGAGCTACTAACATTAAATTCCAATGAATGCTACCCCCACTGTGGCTGCCCTATGCAGACATGCTGACAAATAAGCAGGACTATGCTGAGACATTTCACCTTGCTTTTTTTCAGCACATTTATCTGCTCCTCATTCACCGTGTCCTTATTTTTCTCCAGGAAGCCAACACATTGGTACTCCACCTAGGCACAAAAGAGCACAGGGTCACAGGGTACAAGTGTCAGGGTATTCTTTGACTGAGAGAACAAAGGTCCTTCAGAGACTAAGAAAGACTGATCATTATGCCTCCACTAAAAAAAGTACATACATCAAGTAAAAGGCTTCTATATATGATATGGAGTATTCCCCGGTCTATCATAGAGTAAGCACATATGCACACATTTTTGTATAAAAAATAGATGGAAAGATTCAGATGGATACACAACATTTACCAGCTTCATGCTAGAGGCTGTGCTAACTACTTCTCTGTGAGGCACAGAATTGTTATGCACCTTGTCAGCAAAGTGGTTGATGATGAAAGCACTATTTGATAACCTGGGTTTATCAAAGTGAGTGTTCTGCCTCAGGAGGGTGTTGTACAGCTTCTGAGCCCATGTGTCGTCAGAACCTTTGGGCATCTACGGAAAGAGGAAAAGCTGACACATCAGTTAGTCATGGCATTACTCATAGCCTCCATGCACGGTGTGGTGTGGAGAGCCCAGAGAGCTGTGGACAGTCTGTCGGCTAGGAAAAAAGGTCCAGAGCCATTGTACCTTGCACTCCTCATCCAGAAGGTCCAGGACACCCAGCTTGGCCTCAATGAGATTAATGCAAGGCTGGTTGTCATAGAAATCGATCAATGTCCATGGGATCTCCTCTTTCATGTACTCCTCTTGCTCCAGTTTGAATACATGCTGCAGTGAAAGGTGATTTAGAGTGACTGTAAATGTTGGCAATAAATGCACATGCTGAGGAGAAAAAGACTCGCACCAGGTTGAACTGTTGCTGAAGCTTCTCATTGGCATAATTGATGCAAAATTGTTCAAAGCTGTTCACATCAAATGTTTCAAACCTAAACAAAAACACAAGTTCAGAACAGTTAGCCACATGTGGCTAATCTCTTGAACATGATAACACCATGAACCCAGTTGGGAAAACATACCCGTAAATGTCAAGCACGCCAATAAATGAGTGTTGCTTCACAGCCGATTGTAAAGCACTGTTAATACATCCCACAATCCAGCCGAAGACTCGGGCATAAATATGTTTGGCAAGGGCATCTCTGCCATGGACCGCATTCATTTTGGAAACAGGCTTGACAAAGGTCTCTGTGGTTGTCTTAAGTTTCCTGTGGCATAACCAGTGGGACATTTCTTCACAAGGCACCCCCATCAGCTCACAGAAAACCATCAGATGCGCATTGTCTGGCTGGAAATAAACGAGCAATGATGATTATCAGCTGACAGACGCCTACAGATCACTCATACATTAACATGAAACGACTATGGCAAACTGTATCCAGCTGTCATAACCGTTTACCGAGATGCTGCATCTGTCTGCTGATTGCTCTTTCACTTCTGTGTTGCTGAGATGCAGAATAGCTGAGAGAATTTGGTAGATTTCCATTTGATCCTTTTCACCTATTCCTATATCGTAAAGAGATATATAAATATAAAATAATGCATTTGTATTTATGTCATAACACAGCCCATACACTCACCTAAGAGTGAGAAAGCTCTTCTAGTGCTCTTCATGTTTTTTAAATCATCCACTCCATCTATGGTCGGACTCTGACCTTGGTTGGTGCAGTGGAAGTCCTCTGCACAACCTTAAAACAGTAGCCATATGGAAGATCATAAAAAGCATTAGCTAATACCTGCTACATCAGGTCATTTAAAAATGATCATGGGAGCCAAACATACTAACAGACCTAACTTGAAGGTTTTGAACTCTGGTACATGTGAGGAGGCACAGAGCTGGTAAAATATATGGTAGTTCCTTTCTCCACGAGCCTAGATGGTAAAAATAACAAAAAACAAAGTCAAATTGCAACCATAATACTGCAAAGATGTAGATATTTCAATTTAAAAGCTGTTTAGCATGAATAACACATGTAAGTGTGACATGACAGTTACTTTAAAAATCCTGGCATGTTGTAAAGTTACACAAATTGCACATGCAGTTGATATTGTTTTAAATCCAAACAAGGCATGCATGCAATCGCTAAAGATTAAACTTGCCTGAAACACAACTCTAGACTTTTCCAGCAAATAGGTTCTCATGTGAGCTCCAATTATAGAGTGCTGCTTGTCAAAGCCAATCTCAATGTACTTCCCAAAACGACTGCTGTTGTCATTCCTCGTCGTCCTCGCATTCCCAAAGGCCTGAAGAAAAAAAGACACAAGCAATGTCAATCATTTCCTTCACATTCTAATTCTGTACGTTTCCCTGCTGTGTTAAATGTTACCTCCATGATGGGACTGGATGCTAGAACTCGCTCCTCCACATTGTCCTCCCCGCTGGAGCAGCTGACTGTAGCAAAGTAGCGCATCACGTACTTGGCAGAAACCGTTTTGCCAGCCCCTGATTCACCACTGACTATGATGGACTGATTTCTGTGATCCCTGCATGAATCGTGGCAACATGTGTGTCAGATATCAGAGTTCTCAGTGTCATTGTTTAGGAAAAGCTAACGTAATACTTGGAATGTATACTGACAGTTACAAACCTGCCCATTTGTTTGTAGGCTTCTTCAGCAACTGCAAAGATGTGGGGGTCCATATCCCCCATATTTTGCCCGCTATAGGCACTAATGATGTCATGTTCAAATATTGGTAGATTCTCATACGGATTAATGGCAACAAGGACAATTCCTAAACATCCACAGGGAAGAAAATTTTAAGTTACACATTTCAGTGCTCCATCTAAAATGAGGTTACCCCCAAACAGGTCAGGCACACTTGACAGGACCAACAAATTCATCCTGTCCTAAAGCTTTGTTTTATCTTGTACAATGGAAAATGACCTGAAAACCAAACATGAATGCTGTCTTTAACAACATTATGTTTAGTTGAAACAATGGTTTTGCTCTGGGGTCAGGGAATCCCAATGATAATGGGAGGAGTGTGGAGGGTTGTGTTCCTTTAAAAGCAGCGTGCATCACAATAATCAGCTTAATGTACTGCAGATTATGTCAGCACATACAGTGAGCAAGGCTCCAAAGTCTACACTGTCAGTGATAGTGTGTCAAAGGAGATGAAGTTCATTACCGCAGTATGTGTAAATCAACTTGGAGTCGATAAAGCGCACTTTAAGGTTGTGTAGCACTGCTGGCTCATGAAGGTAGCTGAGGGCCGTCAGGTCGTTTTCCCCCACCAGGATATTGGGGTTCCTTAGTGGTGGCAGGTTATTGGTTCGGGAGTCTATTTTGTGTTCCACTCTCTGAAAAGATGCACAAAGGCCACGTTTCAGTACAAAACAGTCTTTGTAAAGCAAAACCTGAGAGAAGTGCCAGCAGTATTAAACAAACACAGACAGATGTAAAATGACTACTTATGAAAGGTAGTGGTTAAATGCTTACATGCGTGCATCAGGTACAGATTAAAGTTAAAGCAAACAAGAAACCACTGTACTTGGCCTGCTCATTTTCACTGCAGATAATACTTGGACCTTATTTCCATACCTGACGTGCATGCCCAAACTCGACAAGATAGCTGCAAGCAGCAGCAGTGCTGAACCAAGAGCTTTTCAAGCCTGCTGTTTTACATCCTGCCTCTCAAAATACTGTAAGGCTAAGAAACCTCTCCTGTTCACAATCTTGCAAAGCTGCAATCAATCACGGGCACAAGGCGTTTGTCATTATCGGGAATGCCTGCAAATTTCTGTCATCAGCGGGGGCATTTATCTGTCTCTGTTTCCAGTGTTCATATTGAGAAATGTGTGCGTGGCTCTCAGTCAGAACTCAGCGCACCCACTGCTGTCTCATCTGTCTGCATCTCCTTGGGTGTGACGGTGTTTGTGGGAAGCATGGGGGGTTTGACTGCCTCACCGTGCCATCCTCCAGCTGCAGGGACAGCGCCAGGTCGCCTGGGGTGTAATCTCTGAGAAGCTCTGCTGACTTCCACACTTCTGCTGCATCTGGGAGCCAGACACGGGCGTGCTGGAGAGAGAGGGAAAGTTCTAGGTAAACCTACAGCAGCTACAGAAGCCTTACGAAATGGGCACCATGGATAACCTGAAGTCACCAGACAGCAGTCATGCGTATAATGGAGATGGATATGGGGTAGATAATGGCACAGGTATGCAGAGAGGTACCACATTATAATTGTCTATCACTTAAAAGTAGTTTGATAGTCATTTGAAACTGACACACGTTAACAATTCTTGAAAAGGTTAGCTGCTATATGCCTAACGACAAATTAACTGCCTCGCACTAAGCTAGGGAGATAAAAAACCGTTGACTACTCGGTTATCCGACACTAATTTAGTCCAGCATGCCTACCTTGGAGTAAAGTTCAGAGGCTGCCATGTTCTTCTTCTCTACTTCAGTGAGCTTTCACAAGCGTTTTCCTCCCGTTGAAGTACGGGTGACACATTTTACTGACTCCCGCTGAGGGGAAACCGTGAACTTTTCAGCAACCCCCCCCCCGCGCGAGTGAGCCCGCACTGCTCGGCCAACAGACGCATTCAGCTGTCGGCTGCGCGTGCCCCGACACGTCCCGCTGCCGTGGGCCGAGCGCGCCCCCTAGCGGCGGATGTTGCGTAGTTGCAGGGTGTGGAGAGATCCACCAGTGGCGTTATTTTCTCAAAATCCCGTCACGGCGCCAGCTCTGAGTCCACCTCACGTCCACCTCTGGGCCAGTGTCACAAATCCCAAATTGTGTCGTGCTGCTCAAAGCACTGGGCATACCTCTGTCTACCTGTAAGTAACACAGTCATTCAACTAAGTCAACAGAACAAAACGTGTCAAAAGCAAATCAGAGTGTTTTGATCAAGACAAAAAAATTATCTGGGGCAATTAAAGCACTATAACTGTACACAAGAGGAATCAGCCTGATCTGCTTTCTTATAAATCAGTGTGTAAAGCAACTACGAAGAAGCTATTTGAAATGATCATGGACATTATTTTAACTTATCACATACAGCTTAGCTTTGACAATTTGTAAATGGGTAAAAATAGTAGCTTGAAACCATCCATAAAGTGAGGTTCTCTCCTCAGCTTGTTTCAGCCGTTTCATGGCCTACCGTACATCCAGGATCTTCTCCATCAATGGTTAAGTCACTGGATTGGTATGTGGTGCAAATGAATTCTCCCCTGCTTGCTGCCATCTGCTCTACCATGAAGGGCTCAACACTCCCTGCCTTCATGAAAATTTGGGATGACTTACCCGGTCAGTCATAGTGCATGATATGACTATCAAACACTCCAAGGTTCTCAGAGAGAGGGCAGAATTATCAGATGTTCTAATAATGTGACATATAAACAAGCAAGTCTGAAAAACAAACAAGGCCGCTGAATTGAATTATGCAAAACTATTTTATTTACAAAATGAATGGCACAGTGTGTCTGCCACATAAAGTCCCATGCACACATCAGACATGTTCTGGGAGTTTCTTCCCATAAAATTCCAAGTGATTCCAGTCAGAGAAAGACATTTCAGGCAAGATTCACAAACCCCAAATTCTCACTGAGGGAGCAAATATTGCTCAGGAGGAACAGCGGTTCATTTCTTTTAAGGCCATTTTAGAGGTCAGGATGAGGTGGAGACCAGCAGCAATGTTAACATGAACTGCTACAAAGCTTGTCTCATTTTGTCTTCAGATATTTGGAAGCATGGATTTAAATAGAACTTAACAATAGAGGGGTACATGATAAGAAAAACAAAGAAAGTAAGATTAATTGATTTTTAGCTATTCAACATGTCTCCATATGAGCAGAGGAACATACAAAATGTTTCAAGAGTTAGGGATATCTAGAAATTGCAGTTCCATTTTTTTCACATTAATCAACCTAGGCTGACACTTTATTCGCCAATAAACCAAAGCACATCTCCACGGTGTCAACACAGAAGAAAATTCTTTTGCAATGATGAAGATAGAACCCCTGAAAAGGCTGTTTAAGTATTTGTAAAGAAGCACATGTCCTTCAAAGTGAAAATTATCAGGATAATCAGGATTGTGACGTAAAGTTCTAAATTCCGTTATCATGAAAACTTTTAAGAGCTCTTGAAGATTTCCAGCAATGGCTTTTTGGATTTTCTGAAAACTTAGCTTCTGATAGTTTCCAACTATTCTTGAGTAAAGGACATTGTATAATAATTATTAGATAATACATAAAAAAGGCAAAAAAAAAAAAAAAGTAAACAGCAGGTATGTGTAAGGAGGGTGATGGAATGGTAGAAACACACTAAATGTGGATCAGCCGGCCAGTTTGCTGGCCACAATGGAAGTCTTTCTCTGAGGCAGGTCCTGAGGAGTTGGAATGTGATCGCCCGTGATCTCAGTCTTCTCCGTTGGGGCTGATGGCAACTGTTTGTTCTTCATTTTTGCCCTGGCCATGTTGTAATCCCCAGAGTCAAAATACTTTGGCTAAAAAAAAAACAAAAGAGAGGACAAATAGTGAAATAGCTGCATGGCAGGTCATGTTAAGTTTAGGTACGAAACATACCCCTTTCTGAAGTCTTTTCCTAAGAAGGTCCGAGCCCCCTGGCTTGGCTCCCAGATTTGGATATCTGGCTTTCAGTTTGGCCTCCTCTGCTTTTTCTGGACTGATTACTTTGTCCTCCATTTCCTGTGTGAAGAAAGCAGGGCATAGCTATATATCTGATAAGATTACTTTGTGGATAAAATATTTCACTCATGTATTTCATCTGACAAATGTGCCCTCATAACATCAACACAAATCACAGCAAGAATACAGTATTGACTGATCGCATTATTGATATGCAGTCGCCGCCATGCTCCAACTGCTGTTTGCACAAGCTATGATCTCACCGTTAGCATAGCTAGCTGCGATAGCTAATCAATAGCAGACAGCCTGCCAACGGATGCTTATAACACAAGGCTTATCGCTCAAAAAATATTCTTGCTTTTTCTTTAAATCCAGATACCGGTCATACATTCCATCAATAACGGTGGCATCGATGAGGGGGGGAAAAAAATAAAGCTCGACTAGCAACGAGCTAACTAGCTTGTGGTCTGTTGCCTGCTAATTCTCCTAATTGGCGGTGCTGAAAGTGCTAGTCACCCAGCGCAGCTACTAAACTGCGTTAGTACCTCAACAGTTTCCGCTTACCTTCTGCTCCTCCAAGGTTCTTGTCGCTTCAGATTCCTCGGACATTGCTGCAGCGATGCCTCGACCTGTTCCGATGTGTCCGCAAGGTCGACTGGGTTCGTTGGGGAAGACGAGAGGAGCCGGAGGCAGCTATGAGGCTGGCGGGGGGAGCAGCGGCAGCAGGCGGCCCTTCGGCTCTGTGTCAGACTGCCTGACCTGAAACAGGCCGACGAGTCGATGCCAGAGAGGACGATGGGACGATCTCTGAGATGCCGAATTTATGCCAACTTTTTATTTAGCGTAGAGCAATATAATGTATCCTTTGCTATGATTTAAAAATTTTTTTAATGAACGATACTTTCTACCAATAAATACATTTATGTTTAAACTGTGGATAGCCAGTGAATTTTTGAAAAAATGTATTTACTGAGCCTATGTTATTCTTATGTGTTCTAAAACAGATTAAAAGTAAACGTTTTACAGTTACTCTTCTGAGAATAGCCGAAACAGTAGATATGGTTGTAGAACCAATGCTTCAGCTATCAGGATTAAACTACAGGTCTCATAAAAGCAGATTCATTGCTCTAACCTATTGGCTGAGTCAACACTAGCAGGAGTATAAAATAACTGTGAGCAATTGCTCATTCATTCAGTGCTCTTCATGTGGCTGAAAAAAAGGAATCTTTAAAGAACATTAGATAGTGGCTGTTTGATTAACTATATTCTCTCTATTATTTGTGTAAATGCTCTGGCTGTGCATGTGAAGCTGAATGGAAACAACTATTTCAGTAAACTGTGCCTCTTACCTGTGTTCTAAATGTTTATTCACTGAATCGTTTGTGATCAGAAAAGAAAGAAGCTTAGCAACTCTAAATAAACTGGAAACTTTTTCAGAGAAATTGCAACTTTATTACTAATAACCTTTTAATTTGTTTTCATTCCAATTCATTTCATCACACAAGAAGATAGAGTGAATTCTTTTCAACCCAGCCACACAACCAGACACTTCAGTAAAAACCTTTGATTAAGAAGGAAGGCTTTATTAGGGCAGCAGGCGCAGTCTTTTAACTCTGTTTTTTTCTGTTATTTGAACATTTTCACCAAACATAAAACCAACATATAATACACGGCCAACTTCACCTTAAGTTTCACCACACAAAAAAAGAAGCAAAAATAACTAATCTTTTGGGATTGAGATTAATCATCTTCCCCCATTTCCACGTCTTCTTGTAACCGCTGCACCATTTTGTCTTCCATCTGTTTGGCTTTTCCTAAAAAAAAAATTTAAAAAATCATGGCATCTTTTCGTAACAAATATTTAAAAATAGAATTGTACAGTCTTACACTGAGAGCTCTGCAAACTTTGCATTCCTTACACCAAATGACATTTTTAGTGTAATTTGACAAACCAAAGCTTTACCTGCATGTGGTGCTTTGATAAGATGGATATTCTTCTTGACTTCGTTGATATCTTGCTCTTTCTCCAACTCTTTGCTTTTCTTTAATCTATAGAGCAGACAAAAAAAACATACTTATAGCAAAGCAAATGGATTTTATTTTTTGTTGCTTTTTTCATTTTCCAAATCCTGTCGAATACACACACAAATAAATGTGTTTTACCTGTTCATGATATATCTTGCCTGCCGTTTCTGTTTGATTTCCTCAACCCTTTTCATTGCCTCCACTGTGGACACATTACACAGTGAGAGATTAAAATGCTGCTCACAACGCAATCTGGTGTTTTTTCACACTTTCCCTTTAAGAATGGTAATTATACATTACCTGTCTTGTCCCACAGCTTCCTGTTATATTTTATGGGGATGTTTCTGCGTTTCTCAAACTCCAAAGAGTTGTCCTAAAAAAAAAGTATGTGTGGTGGTTAAAGTGCGTAAATGGTAGATAAGCATCCTGAGATCAGAGCTAAAAGCAGCAGAGCATCTCACCACTGTCAGCTCCTTCCCTGATGCCTTTCTGAACGCTTTGGTCCATCTGGTTTTTCTGGGGTTTCGCTTCTTCTTGAAGTTCCTATGACATTTTGACCGGCAGAATCTGAACGACTATAGAAAAATTAAAATCAACATTAATTGAGCCAAGTAGGTAACAAGAAATGACAATGAAGTTCTGTATTTAAACTATATCATTCTTGTGACATAAAAAATAACATACAAAGATGTATAAGTTAAACTAATTAGTTGAATGTTTCTGTGGAGAGGTTTCCACCAGATGTGATGCATAAAAAATATAAAAGAATTCAGGTAGAATCAAAACCAATCGATCTTTTAAACTCAGTAAGTGGACGTGGCCACAGGCTGAGAAATAGGGGCAACAATAAAGATATTTGTAACCCTAAAGCTTATACTTAGCTTAATGATAGTGCTATGAATATTTATTGACAAAAATGTCAATATCACGTTAACTTGGGCACACCTAATCCCAGAAATGATAACAAAACCAGACAAAATTTCAGGAGTCAGATCAAGGGGGTGTTTACATTAACACAACCTGCTGTTCTTAGTTCGTATCACTAGAGGGCTCACTCACTCCATTAGTGAAAAACGAGGCCCGATTTACGGATATTCCAAAGATATCATTCGAGGGGTTCGACTAATTTCAAATATCGGTGTCACTTTTCTGAATACTTGAATGTTTTTTAACTCCACTTCCTCTCCGTAGGACTGTTAATCACTTTATTACGTACAGTTTGTCTCTGTCTCATCCCTGTGAGGGCCCCACGTGAGGTATCCGACACGTTATCAAGCTAAGGTAGCCATTCGGCTAAGGCGAAACTACCGACAGCCAAAACACCAGTTTCAGGTAACTATACAATGATAATAGGGTAAGAAAAGTGTACCTTACCTTACAGTCATTCCGTACAAACATCACCCCATGCCCGGGATAGACCGGACCGGAGCAGAAATAGCACTTTTCGATGCGCATTTTCGCAGCTGAGAGGCTGCGTGCCGCAGCTAATGAAAACAAGACCGAGCCGTCACTTCCTGCTTCTTCTTGTGCCCCAACACCTGCCAACCACCGCTCTGTTGGAGAGACTGCGCCCTCTGCTGTTCGCCAGACAATCGGCAATTTGTAAATACAAAATAATGGAAGAAGACATATAAAGACATATTTTGCTCAGTAGACCCTTTCTTTGCCTGTAGAGCTGGCCCATATTTTGTAGGCATTTCTTCTTCTTTTTTTGATCATATAAACAGTTGTAAATGAATCTTTTTGTTTGAACACAGAGAAATGTTGGACATGGAGGCCGGGGTCCTTTCCGTCCCCCGTCCCCCCCCCCCTGTGTGTTTTAGTATGTGCATACGTTGTTTGCTGTGATGAGGGCTTTACATGAGTAGCTGACCAAGCACAGCATGTTGTTTTTCATAAAAGCCAAGCTACAAAAGAGCTGTGAAGTCTTTTTTTCAGGTTCCCCTAGATATGTGTGGCATATGTTCCTATACAGTTCTGTAGACACCGGTTTGTGACACGTCCCCTTTGGATGGTTAAATGGATTACTTTTATATGCCTGAACACTTAGGAGAGAAGTGCTTTTAAAATGTTATTGTGGATCAAATACATATATTAAATGGTTTACTTTTAAAACCATTTTTTCCTTTAATTTAATTCCAAAGAGACATACCAGAAACTGTTGTAATACTAGAATGGAATATATGAAAACAGGATGTATAAGACACAACAGATGTGCTATTGTCTGTCAGAAAAATAAAAACAATTAAACCAAAAACTAATTAGTACTGGACTGTCAGGAATTCAGTAATAATCTAACAGCGAGATATACATTTTAACAGGAAAATGGTGCACATTTCGGGCTAGCACAGGGCACAGTATTCCTCTGAGGTCAGTCTTCTTAGACCCCCCCCATATAATCATCTATCAGTCAATCCTTTTATTTGAGTTAAGCATCAAACCCAACATTAACTTTCATAAAGCTGATTTTGTGATACACTTTTGATCTTTTTTTAAAACAGTTTTTTAAGTTAATCACTGCTACATCCCCTGTAGGGGCTGTGGCAGCGTGCCTTTTTAAAATAATAATAGTTATGATTCTTATAAATGTTGTCTTATGGGTTTTTTTTATACCTCATGCCCAACACCTAGAAAAGAAAGTAGAACACCTAAAGTCAGAGGTCTTTTTTTCACTTGCTTTTGAGACCAGAAAGAGTCTTGTTTCTGTCACTTTTATGCCTACACTGATTTATAATGATGTGTTTCATATGCATGTTTCTTTGCAATGACTGGATTCCCTGGACACAGTCAACAGAGGAGCACCGAGGCTCAAGTATAAATCTCTATAAGTGGAGCCCATGTTGAATTGGAAAAAAAGGGCTAGGAATATGTCACAGCCAACCATTGAAAAATATCCAAAACTGTACTAATCTTGGAAAGATGGTCTGGCTAGGAATCTATGGAAAAAAAAAGCTTATAATTTTATTCCTCCCAAATTCTGTTTTTTTGCTTTAAAAAAAAAAAAAGTAGAATACCCTCATAGTTGTAAAATAATTTGACAAATAATTTTTGCATTACTCAATTTCCTGTTTATGTAACTTTATGTTTAAAGGAAAAAGGTCAATCTGATCTTTTTGCAAACACATCATGATCTTTTCATGTCAGCAAAGATGGACAGCTTAGTGGAACACGCAGTATCAACTCTACAAGAAAACGTCAACACAAATGCTATTTTTTCCAAAAAATGTTTTATTATCTACTATTATTATGTAATAATCTTGAGTGTAAAAAAAAAAAACCTGCTTCAACATTTTAACACATAAAATAATATATTCTGCTGTTCATTTTGGATTAAAATATGTATTTCAATCATTAGTAACATTAAAACTGAAACGAGAACAATCTAAATCTAAATTTGAAATTCCAGAGTGAAAGAAGTTTCTTTCAGGTGAAATTTCAAGGTGGTAAAATGACGGCAGAACAACTTTGGACATCTCAAGTTTTGGAAAAAAAAACAAAAGTAAAAACAGTGTAAAAATGCCATTCTAGTAACCAAACCCACTGGGAAATCATATCACTTTCAAATGCAAATATTGTATATAATGTAAAGGAAAACCAAAGAAAATCACTAATTAACAGAGACTTCAAGATTCTTTGGTCAGGATAATTTCTATTACAAAGGTATAAAAAATTGATTATGTTGCTCTTCGCACAGAGGGTTTTCCAGGATGATAGTCAGAATCCTTTACTGTCACACCTGGACAGGAAACTTCAATGGAGAGAGAAGAGCATTCTTCATCCTTACAACAATTTCCATGAAAGGTGACAGATGATTCTCTCAATATAGAATAAATAATGTCATCTGTAACTGGCAGGACACACTGGATCTTTGGTCTTGTGTCAATACGTTCCACTGCATACCACGGAACAAGGAAATAAAAGAGGCTGTACCCATCTGAGGAAGCAGACAACTCTTTGGATAATAGCATTGGCATCACCTCTGCGTTTAGCAATGGTCTAGAAGGCAAATGGAGCACAAGGCATGTGCTAAAGCTGTCGCCAGAATAAAGCACTAAGAACAATTACACTGAGGAAACCAGCAATCTAAGTTATATTTACATTTCTGACAAGAACATTTGGCAAGCGCACCCCCAATGTACATCCACCATATTTTTGGTTGCCTTATAATTTCTCTTGTTTTATCAAAAGCTCTTTGGGTACAGTTTTTCTTTCTTTGGATCTAAACATTTATCATATGTAAAGCCCATTCTATATTAAGGCCATGTTAAAGCTTTGAGTTCAGTGCACTGATACCGGCAAACTCCATTCTTTGATAAAGCTAAAAATATTTTGGCAATAAGTGAAGAACTTTTCATCTTCGCAGCAAAGCTAAACAATGAGAAACAAAAGCTCTTTCAACCATGAAAACAGAGGCCACAACACAAAGCCCTAAAAGAGAAAGCACGACATGGCAACAAGGCATTTTCACGTTGTCCCCTGAGTCTGAGATAATACTGCAAAATGTGTGGTAAAAAGGAGGTAGTAATGTATATAAAGATCTGAATACTGAGGTAGATAATCCGTCAACATGAGGCTCTTCCACACCCTCCAGAGGAATTGGAATTAAAAATAATGAAATAATATCACAGTACCTTTCTGACATTCGTTTTTGACATTCATCATGGGTGAGCTTTGGTTAGGACAAACACCAAACACACAAACAGGTAGAAGGTTGTAAAAAAAAAAAAAAAAGGACATCAAATGCAGAAATGGACATTCATACAGAATCCTGAGGTGAGTCTGAAGCAAATGCACGTTTCCTCCACTGCAGCAGCTGGGCTCCTGATCCCTCGTCTTTCATAAAATACTGAAGGGGCTCCTCTCAGGAAGTGAATGAGGTAGAAGCGGCATAGCTTCGACTGCTAAAGGGCAGACACCGGCCAGCTGATGTCAAGAACTGGCGGACTGGGAAGCACACGGGGCAGGACCAGGACCAGGACCAACACCTTCTGAACTCCTGTGGGGCCAGGACGCGTCCGAGTGATGGAGGGGGAGGCTGGGCATCTCCTCGTTCTGCACTCTGAAGGACTGCTTCAGCTCTGCGGTGCTGCCCACGCTGTCCAGTCCCCGAGACTTTCCCCCGGAGCTCTGGCTGGTCGAGGGGTCGCTCACCTCTTCATTGGAGTAGTGTCCAGAGTCTCCTGTCTCTTGGCTGCCCTCGCTGGTTTGAGAGCTCTCTGAGTGAAGCGGTCCAAAAATGATCTCCCGGGATGAGTGGGGCAGAGGAGCCGAGCCTGGATGCTCATGATATCTCAGAACAGTTTTTCCGGTTTCATACAAGCTGGCTTTCGTTTCAGCCTGAAAAAATAGAGAAGATAGAGGTAAGATAACAGATATGTTTTTGAAATTAAACTAAATGACTGCTTTTTAATGTGGGATCCCTTACATCACTTTCAGGTGGATTCAGGATATCTCTGTTGAAAAGCAGCCACCTCTGGCTTTCAATATTGCTGCCGAGAGGGCCGACGCCATTTATGACTATATTAGATCCGACCTGGAATAAATATACACAAAGGTTTTCATGGTTGACAGCACATAAACTTGCAAGTGTGACACCAGATTAGAAGCTCGCTCACGTTGAAATGTTCATCTCACCTTAGGATCTATGAAGTGCTCACTTATCATAGGTATAAGGGCCTCCACATTCTCAGCGTGGCAGTCACCGGGGGCTGGAAAACCAGCCCGGGGGCCATCCGGAGCTCCACCAGCAATGCCTTTGGAACTAGAAGATTTTCTATTTGCAATTCAGACATTAAGAGAAAAAAGAAAAGAAAAACAGTTTTTGAAAAAATATTTTACAAGACTGCACCATTATTTTTTTATTGTTTAAAATGATGGTAATCCTTCCTACCTTGGTCGGCCCTTGCTAATCAAGATCAAGGCACACATAGCGATGCAAGTTAAGGCGATGCTCACACCCACCATGATCCCTGTCATGGATTTCTGGTCTATGTGGTAGAGACCATCGGAATACACTGGAAGGTGAACAAAACGCAGCATTTTGGATTAAACGTCAGGCTAGAGTTAAAACCAAGTATGACCATTTCGCTGAGGCTAACCTTCCGGATCGGGGAAGTTGTCAGAGTGCCTGGGGTTCTTGCTGCGGTGCAGGTGTCCTCGCCTCAGGGTCAGCTCCACAATGTTAGAGAAAGGTCCATCGCCTACCCTATTGGAGGCACATATCTTCACCAGGTAGACATTCCCTGGCTCCAGCTTCTCCAGTAAGGCCATTGTATGACTTCCTATATTCATACAAAATGACAGAGAACTTCAGAAATGAGAAATTGTGACACGTTACCTTCTAAGAGTAACTATTATAAAATCTGTGCATTTGCTGTATTGTTTAGGTGCTCCACAACCCACAAGAACTGTGAAAGAACACTTTGTGGCAGATTATTGTATTAAAAAATCAGCAACATTCAGTTTGGAAGAACACAAGAGACGTCAAAATATTCATGCACATTCACTGGTAAAGTGCACATCGAAAATGTGCACAGGCCATAAGGTTACCTCTAAAGTACACCAGCATCAGCAGCTGATCTAATGTGATAAAGCTGGGCACTCACCCTCTCTTTGTATTTTTTGCCAGTGACCAGCAATCCAAGCTTTCTGTGATGCATATAGGATGGTGTAGTGTGTAATGATCACATTGGGATCTGTGGGGTCCCTCCACGACACCAGAGCAGTGTCATCCTCAATCAGGGTTACTCGCACTCCTGCAGGTGGCTGGCTGGGAGCTGCACACAGAGCATCAACAGTCACAACAAATAAGCCTTGATGAGTGATTTGATTAATAGGAAACAAAGACTCTAACATAGGCTTTCTAATAAGAATCTACACTTTTTACCTGCAGGGAGGGTCTGATGGTAAAGAACAGAACTCCAGGGACTTGACATCTGGTCCACATGGAGACGCACCACAAATTCATAGCGAGTGTTTTGAACTAAATTCTTAACCATCACGCTCTGTTTGTTACTGTGGGGAAAAAACATTGATTCATGAGGGGGGATTTGGCATGGAGTAACGCTGACAATGCTGTTGAAAAAAGGATACACACGCAACCAAACCAAAATAACTTTTTTTGTCCATACTGTATTTATCAAATCTGACAGAGAAGTATGAGTTTGTTTCAGGGGCTCTTACATTTGCAGGTAGCGTATAGCTGACACATTATGTGTGCCCACAGGTGTGCAGCGGACTGTATAGCTAACAGCCTTTCCAGGTGGAAAAGCAGGATGACTCCAACGCAGCAACACTGCAGATGAATTGCTGGTCAAGACAGTCACTTGATGTGGAGATGGGGGTGCTGCTACCAGTTGGTCTCTAGTAGCTGAGTAATGGAGAGAAAAATTAGCTTCAACAGCTGTATTCCACCTTAATCTGCGAAGATGTTTAACATGAATTCTAGTCTGATATACTCACAAACACATCCTGGAGTGCTAACGGTTTGATCTGTCTGGTAACCATCTCCAGCTTTACTGACAGCCAGAATCTTCACGTGATATTTTCTTCTTGGATCTGGAAAATGGTCAAAATATTAGATTATTTCATCTAGCAAAAACTGAAAATTTTTTAGTCCCAGATCAAGGCAGTCGTTGCCCAGTTCCACCAAAGCTTGAAACATCACAAAGAGTGATGGCTAACAAAGTGAGCAGAATAATTTACAAAGAGATAGACGTGAGAACAATTAGTTGCAAGAGGGAGAGCCTGCAGGTCATAAGTGGCCATCCCCCTATGCACGGACAATACATGGTCTCCCATGTTACTTCAACCTCATTTATCATGTGTCCCTCTGTGTAAAAAGCATCCCAATAGATCAGTGGGTACCAATCTCTAACATGATCAATACAGACTGAGATTTTTTCCCTTTTCAAAACTACAGAGAGAGTTGGCATCATCAAACTTAAGAGGCACTATTCTGTGCTTTAAAACTAAATGTAGAGAAAAAACTGACTTTTATGAAAAATAACAAAGGTTAATGAGATAAGATGTTGTACATTTCACAGCATGTATCATCTCCACAAAGCTGTGTGAAGTTCTGGCATGTATAATCAGGAATTGGAAACATCACTGAGGTCTGTGGCTGGGAACGTTTCATTTGAAAATGTGTTTTAACTTGAAAAACTACCACTGCCCCAGGCCCTAAATCATGATGCTTTACGAAGGCTGAAAGGTCAGCCTTTGGGTATTGACCAATGACGGCAGTGTGTCCAGGCTTGTTTAGGGGGCTGTGCTGGGGGCAGCGTTCAGCTGCTGGGATCCTAAACCCATGGGACGTGGGGGGGATTTGACTGGGGTCACCGGGCCAGGCCAACATAGAACAGAAAGAATCTGGGTGCAGGGTTGCAGAAGTGGAGGTGGGCCCCTTTTGTTCCCCCTTTCAGTCTTTCCATTGGCCTTGTGTCGCAGCCTTAAACTTGGAGCAACAGCACAGAGAAATACAACTAGATTATTGAGTATTAAACCCATAACATGTCTTTTGATTTTTTAAGACCAAGAATTTAGCATGGTAACATATGACGAATGTAACTTTCTACATAAAGTTAGAAATTAAGATATATTGAAAGAATATTTGGTCACAAGGAACATGCCCAACAGTGTACCTGATTTGTTATAATCTGAGCAGGAGCTGTGCTTCAGGATTGAATAATATTGTCAATCTGCATTTATATCTACGTGGTTTTGGTTGATTTTGCATAAGGGCTGTAGGTCATTTACACGGACAGATGACCGACGGGGGCTGGGTCCTGTATCCCACGCTGCTGTCTCATGACTGGAGGTTAGAGGCTCGGTCCAACTATGGCCCATCCCCGGGCCTTTGTTCGTGTGCACCAGTGTCCAGTTAAAGGGAGGTGTTGGAAAAGGTCCTACAGGGCAGGTCTGGCCCAGGAAATAACACAATGGCCATGCATAATTATGCAGGCATAAGGATGGGAAACGGTGGTGGGAGGGACATCTGCTTACTGACCTATAACCCTGGGAGCCTGATCTCACACAATACCGCAATGAGGCCGAAGAAGATTGCTGGTTAGACAAGAGGGGTCAGCCCATATTGATTAGGACAGAGGGTGGAAATGCAAATGCAGCATCCAACTGCCCACTGAATTGAATTAAGTAACGCAGAAAAAGATTTCCCATTTAAGTGTGAAGTCATCGGTCACTCTTTGGTCCAGATGACAGAAATTCTCTAAATTGGTTAGATATATCCGTGTACATTTTTCTTTCCTCCCACTCAACTGTGGTTACTCACCAAGGCCACTGATAGTAAAGGTAGAAGTTGGAGCTTGCAGGAGGATGTTGGGCTGCTCTGGCTGACCTTCCTCGTGGTAGCACAACCGAAAACCCTGAGCGGCCACAGAACCAGGGGTGGTTTGCCAGCGTGCCACAATGGAGGTGCAGTTAAGAGGCTCAAGTTGAAGAATAGGAGCTGAGGGCACTTAGGTGGCAGAAAGAGCAGGCATTAGACCAGGACATTCTCATTTGTTGACATTAAACAAATAGGAAAACTGAAACAAAAGCAGTAGGACAGTTTTTTTTTTTCTTTTTTTGGTAGATGTAAAACTTAGCAATAGTTTTGGAATAAAAATCTATAGCTTGTTCTAGCTTTAAATAAATATATGTTAGCTCTTTATGTTACTTGACAACTAATGTTTAATATAAGCAGGGTAGCCATAACTAACTTTTTAAACATAAAATCTCCTTTGGTGAACAAAAACCTCCCCCAACCCAGCAGGCCATTTAAACAGGCTATTCTTTCCCCCACATAGAGGCCTGAGGCCCTCTCTTTATGATCCGTGACTGAGGACACTCTAACATCACTGACAGAGAGGGGCAAAGGTTTCTGGGTAACCAACACAAAGACTGTGGGACAATGCTACGAGAGCAAACTCTAGTCACATGCCACCTAGACTGCATGAACCCTGGTGGCTCATTGTATTCTAAAAGCAACAAAGATAAAAGTAATAGAAAAGTGTTTGTATCATTTGATCACAGAAGAGCTCGAGTGCTGATTTTTACCCAACTTTCCACTCCATGTAGAACTCTTGTGATAAGACCCTTAACAGTAACCTATATCAAATCTTGAGCTTCCAAACTTGATGACATCTCCTGTCCAGACTTTGGCGGGTTTACCTTTGTTGCTGGACACTTTGGGTGTGCGGTGTGAGCTCCACGCTGATGGCTCACACCAGCCCACACGGGTGGCTGCAGCCATACGCAGCAGGTAGATAGTATCCGGCTGCAGAGCCCCCAGGAAATATTCCGTGCTGTTGTGTGGTAGCTCCACAGACTTGACAGTGCTGTCTACAGCTGTGCGGTAGGAGAGCCTGTAAGCCGACACCCGTCCACGGCTAATCTTTGCTGGCAGTGGCTGCCAGCTCACCTGAATGTCCGTTGAACTGTGGCTGGTCAGACTTAGCTCTGGGGTACGCAGAGGCACTGCAGAGAATGGAAATGGAAATATCATCATCACATGCATCCAAAAAAATCCATTATTCCTGTTTATCCCCTGTTTAAACACACTCTGAACACATGCCAGCTGCATAAAAGCTGGGAGATTTCATTGCTTGGAATAACAGAGGTCCCACTGCTCTATGCTTACCGTCCTCCAAGGTATGCTGACTGACTTGGTCTGACATACGACTGGCTCCCATTGGCATGTATGCCACCACGTAAAAGCTGTAGTTTCGAGCCGACTCGAGGTCATCGATGATATAACTGGTGGTGTCGTTGCCGATAACAACTTGGTATTCTTCGTTGTTTAGCCCTGACATGCAACAAATCGTAAAGAGAGTTAGCAAACAGGTTCAGATTAGACAAAAAAGAAGCGACTGCCACAAAAGTTGTTCTGGCAAACACAATAAAAGCTGTCAGTGTTTTTAAAGAACACTCCCCAGTATCACAAAGATCTGCATCTGTTCTGTATGCCAGCACAGTTCAAGACACAAACTCATAACTTCCAAACCACTAAAGGAAATCCCATTAAACAGGTAAAAGACTTGACTTTATAGAGTTGGTTGGCTGTAAATAAAATAGCTAAAGTGAAATATCTCATTTAAGTTGTTGGTTTGCAAGATGGTGAGACCTTTAAACAGAGACTCTGTCTCTTTAAATGCAAGCAGAATGAGCTTGGGAGTGGACAAAGAGCTGACTAAGCCTGTTGTTATTTAAGTGAAGTTGCCATTCTAAGTCCACCTTGACCTCTGCCCTGTTTAGAGACAACAGATGGCCTTCAGCAGAGGAAAGCTGAACACACAAGTCACAGTGATGTGGCTTTTACAACCTCTACTACATAAGGATGATGCATCTTTTCCCATAAAAACTCGTCCAAGTTAAGGAATGAACATAAAAACTCATAAAAAATGTTTGTTTCTTGGTCTCACCTTCAGCCTTCATGTAATGGATGGAATAGGCAATGACTTTGTCTGCATTGTAGAGAGGCCTCTCCCAGGCCAGCAAGATGGCAGAGCTTGAAATGGTCTCAGCATGGATATTCCTCGGAGCACTGGGCCTGTCCTCTGACATTACAACGATAAGGCGAGCCACGGAGAGCACAGAACCCTGTTTATTCTCTGCCATGCACTGATAGATGGCATCATCCTCGGGAATAATTTGCGTGATCACCAATTTACTGTGGAAACAATGACACAAAACACACAGACAAGAAAAATAAGCAAAAGCCGATGAGGAGTTATCAGAGAAAGATCAAGGTTTAGTTTAGTTATTTTTTAAATCATACTTAATGGAAACACGGGTCCTATTAGACAATACCTGTTATACATCTTAATTCTTCCATTTAAGTGAACCTCTTCTCCATTCTTGAGCCAGCTGATGCGTGGCGGAGGCACTCCCTCTGACTGGCACATAAACCGGGCCGTGCCAGCTCTTGGACGGGTCTGGCTTTCAGGTTTCTCGACGATGGTTGGCGGCACTGGAACAGACATGAACGAAAATGTTTTTTTTTGCGTCATATGGCGCATAAGGAACTAAAACACGATTTAGTCAGAATACCATGTGGTGTAAGGACCAAAGAGTTTGCCGTACCTAGAACTGTGAGGTTGGCGGCGGCGGTGGTGTGGTTGCGGGTTCCAGGTGTGGTGGCCCTGCACAGGTACACTCCACTGTGCTTGGAACTGACATCAGTAATAACCAGGTTCCCATTACCCAGGACCTTGGCATTGTAGACGTCGATGGCTTTACTGTCGGCGCGGCTCCACGAGATGATGGGTGAGGGATTGCCTGTGGCAACACACTCCAGCACCACAGTTTGATGAAGGGAAGCTGTCGTATTCTGAGGTCCGGCGATGATTCTGGGCCTCTGACGCGGTTTAGGGCCAGTAACTACACAAAGCCGCAGAAATGTCAAAGATAAATTCTGTGTTTTCAAGGGACTGTGGGAGAAATAGTCAATACTGAACTCAGTAGGTTCGGCAGCGATACCTTTGTTGACAGTGAATGTGGCTTCCCCACTCCTCAAACGACTGCCGATATTAGTTGCCACACATCGATATTGTCCAGCATCTTCCAGCTGCACATTGTGAATCTGAAGAACTCCATTTGGCAAAACTGTTATTCTATAAATGAAAGAAGAAACAATGAGGGTCAAAATAAAGTCATTATATAATACTTTTTGGACTGATGAGTTACTAATATAAATGGATAACAAGAGGCCTCCATTTTGTGTGAAAACCCAGTCTGCTGGTACCTGTCTGTTTGTAGTGGCAGTGTACTTTGGTTGTGCTCCCAGGTGATGGTGGCTGGAGGGTTGGAAATGACAGCACAGGAAAAACGGGCCACAGAGCCCTCAGACACCACCACAGGTAGAGGATGCACCAGAAACTCTGAGATCCCTTTCAAATAATGAAAAAGAATTGATTAGGAAACAGACAAACTTAATCATTCAGGAAATTGTGTAACATCTGACTTAATTCATGCAAAGGGCTGACTTTGATGAATGTTAACTGATCATATAAAAAGGAATTGATTTCTGTAGGACATCAGCCACTTTATTTCAGGGGAGCAATAGGGTTCCAATCTGACCAGCTGTCCCAATCAATGGATAAATTGAAGGATGACAGTGAATGATGCATTATTATAGATACAATTAAATCAATGCACTTTGCATAAAAATGACTGCAAGCAGAAACCAATGGAAAATGCACAGTCTTAAAAGTGTGTGTGTGTGTGTATGCTCTAAAGAGATTCTTCCATGTAAAAAATGATGAGAACCATAAATATACTTAAATTACAATAACTACATTATTATAAGATATATGTAACAGCACTTATATTCACAGGTCTTTTAATAATGAGCAGACACAAGCACCCACAGTCTGCATTTAACTGAGACACACTCGATGTGATATGATCAATGACCTTCATTCATTAAGGTGATAAGTCCCCCCCCCCCAACTGCAGTCACTGGAAAGAAGTCAATAAGATGTTAAAGTAAATCAATGCTCTTGTTCTCCCTCTGAAAGTCTGCATTTATACCCTGAGCCACAGGACGGCAAAACAACAAAACCACTCTTTAATTTAATGTTCTGATGTTATTGATATTGAACAAGTAAACTGTTGTTTATGGTGCTATTGAAGAGGCATACCAAGGCCAAGGATTTTAACTCTGTGAGGGTGCATTAGTCATTGACTCAGCTTTATGTGCAGTGTGCATGAAACAGCAGAATGCATGTTTCTATGAAGTATTTCTCTTTGCAAGATGTCTGGCAATATGCATCTGTCCTGTCTCAAACTGGTGACCACAGCGAAAATGCTAAGCCACTGATAATAAGTCAAAAACAATAAGTTGCTGACTGGCTGGATTCAGCGATGCAGGTGGTGGGTGTGGCCTATCTGCTAATGTGGTCACGTCTGTTGGAGGGAACTAATCAATGTCTAGGTCCAGCAGCACAAAGGTTTCCCTAAAGAGGTCAGAGGCCACTTCAACCCCCCCTGTCCAGTTCATTTTAGCCTAAACTGGAGCCAGATCTCAAAAAGGTTACCATTTAAAAGGAGAGGCTGGTACTTCCTATGTCACTAATACTTGACAGCAAGATAGTGAGCCAGTGGATCCTATCTGTTAAGCATAGATGGACATGTCTAATAAAAAGTGGAAGAAGCACATAGCTTTTAGAAAACAGAAGTATAATTCTTGAAGGTGTAAAGTGATGGAGGCCAATGACTACTTTACATATAGTAAAACACTTCCTGTATGTAATTTAGTCTTTACTCTTTCTTTTTTTGAAGTACTAACACGTTTCACTGTGCTGATTCGGATTAATTCATTCACATGACGAGCCGGCCTTTCTTTAACAAAAGCTCTCTGCATGACAGGGCAAAAGAGGGCTTGATCCAGTGAAAGGGACAGAGGGCTGAGAGAAAGAACAGCAGGGCTCCCAGTCAGAGCAGGCCTGTGACATCACAAAGGCTTTCTCCTGTTGACCCCAGACCCCTGGGACCTCTGGACAGAAGGGGAGCAAAGAGCAGTCCCATCCTCCACCCAAAGCATACAGCTGACCAAAAACCTTTAACCTTTCCGCTGACTTAGGCTGGATACCAGACCAAACTTGAATTTGGATTTCAAAATGTGGTCACCATGTTGAAAACTAAGTTTTTGGTCAGTATCTCTATGTGATATTCAGGGAGGACAAGAAAAAAAAAGTTTTGTATGTGTGAATGTATATGTGCATACATTCACACATATAAGACTTTTTTATTTTTCTATCCATGGGTGTATTTGAATTTAAATTCATAATACTAAAAATCATCACAGCAGAGATTTAAAATACCTAATGCTAAAAGATATTTCAATGAAGGTCTACACTACACCCCTCAGAGTCAATGTCAAAATCAGTGCCCTGCAGAGGGTTTCCATGGCACCAGCCATGGGATATCCCCTTCTAAGACCTTTGAAAAGAGTCCACGGTAGGCAAGGCCTATTGAATAGACGCAGCTGTCTTGTCCACTGATATGTGGACAAACAAATGCCCTGAAATCTAGCCTTTTCTTCTGGGGCAGTCAGGGGCACTCCAAACAAAGGCTAAAAAGCAAATGGCCTTTCACAGATTCCTCTGTGTAGCGGACCATTCCACAATCACACAGAGCCATGGCCTGCAGGGTCAATGCAATCCTGCAAACATTCAAACTCAGAAAGAGATCACTTCTAACATTTTAGTTTACAGGTTGCCTTTTGCCTTTAAGTGTGCAGGTGGTGATTTTCCCTTAGACTGAGAAAAGCTAGTGGCCACAAGCTTGGGATTCCCTATTTATGGAGTATTTACGAGCTTTCGGATAGACTCCCCGTTTATCTTTAACTATCTCTTAAAATGCTCCTGTAACTGGCCTGACATCTTTAAACTCAAGTATGACCAACATCCACTGTCACGGAAGCCAAGGCATTAAAGGTTTTTCCCCAGTAAAGAAAAAAGAAGAGAGTGTGAGGTTCATCTGCTTCACATCTCCAGGTTTATTACCCATGAACTGCCATGCTGATGCTTGGATGTTGACAACACCACAAAGTCAGTATCAGCAGCAAGTGCAACCAATCTACTTTCCAACGGTAAAAAAACAGCCCATGTTAGCACCAGATTATCCTCTCTGCTCTCCATACTTACTTGCGATAGTCAGACGTGATCTTTGGCTTAAGATAGCTCCATATCTGTTTTGAGACAGGCACTGGTAGAATCCTTCATCCGAGTCCTCCTTGGTGTGCTTTATCTTTGGTATGTACAAGGAGCCATTGGGCAGGAATTGGAAGTGTTCACTTTCTGCCAACTTAACTCCATTTTTTAGCCACTTGATGGTAACTGGGGGCTCCCCATGAGCCTGGCAGTCCAACACAGCAGGATCCTTTGGTAGTACCGTCACATCGCTGGGCTCTGTGATGAAGGACAGTTCACTGAAACACAAAACACCTCCAGAGAGAAAGGAAGGGAACATTAGTGATGGCTCAGACAGGGCGCAAAAACAGAGAAAGAAAAAAAAGACAGACAAAAAAATGTGAAGTTTAACTTAATACATAGGCTATAAGCCTTCAGGACCAGAATAATTTTTTTCAAAAATTGGTTTTCATAACTAAGTCAAAGGGTTTCCAGAGATGTGTAAATCCACTAAACCAAAAAGACTTTATCTGTCCTTCAAGAAACATGATTCTGGTTTTCTAAACACTTTTCATTTTCATTTCCCTCCGAAATATCAGACACGGAGCTGAGGATGAATACTCGTAGAAAGTTCTAATTACACAACTCATTTCAATAACACTCCCATATCATTCTGAGCAAAAAAACTCATAAAAACAGCCCTGTCGTTCATTTAAAGGCAGGTATCCGCTTTACTGGGACCGCAAACAGGGGGTCTCCACACAAAACTGGAAAAAAAAGGGTACTTACTTGATAATGGCATGAAAAGAACAAAAATAAGCCAACGCTGGCGAAACTTCATCTTAAAATTCGTCATTTATCCCCAAAAGAGTTTCATATTCCCCCTCTACGCGCAGCTGCTGTCCAGCGTGCCGCCCCGTGGGTCCTCAGACTCTCTTCTGCCGGCAGCGGAGCACCACGGCTGGAGGGGGGCGCCGGGAGCCCCCCACCCCCCCCGACCCTCCCGGCCCTCTGACGCATGCGCAGACACGGGCGTGACAATCCGGCTTTTTTTTCAAGGTAAGTTTGTTTAATACAATGGTGGATAGGTGTTCTCGGTCCAAAAAACCTCCTCATGTATGGGGAAATGAGAAAATGTGATCTGTCACAGAGCAGTATAAGAGCTGGGTCTGCATCTATCTTCACATTTACTTTTATGATATTACATCTGGACACTATCTTGTTCGGGTGATTCTTTCCCACACTGTGCATTTTAAGGCAAACTCAACACCTTGTGACAGAGGCAGTGTGTGCATAACACAAAACATTAGGGGGAAAATGTTATTTGACTGAAGTGAATTCCCTTCAGATTATTCCCTCGCTGTGTAAAGCTGAATCAACTTCAAACTTTGATCATTTGAAGCATGACTGGACCCTGCAAAGCATGGTTTGGTGAGATTGTCTTTTCTTTATATCAGATTAAAGTAGATGAGGATGGCAAATTATCAGTCACCGGCGTGTAGGAAGGTCACTCTGGACAGCATCTGCTCCAAACGGAGAATCCGGTAATTATGAAGGGATATTGATGGCTACGTGTCAGCTGCTTAATGAATTCAGATATTGATCCAGAGACCATGCCTTTTGACAATGACCCCCTCGCCTTCCAGCCCTCATTCAATAGTAGTACAACGGGCTCCAGCTGTGAGATCGGCCATGTTGGCTCAGCAAAACACTGGTAAAACAAAGGTAAATAAAGTCCACGCATTTCCACTCACAAACTCTAGACTAAATATATCAATCTCTTTCTTTAAATTATATTTATAGATGTTTTACAATGATTTTTAGGTATTTCTACCACTGGCAGGCACCTCCACACTTCAATATCCAATCAAATAAGGAGAGTGGAGTGTAATTATGTATTGATTAGAGCTAACTATTGATTAAATCATCTAAGGCCCTGGTTATAATTTAAGGATCAGAGCAGTTGTCTGTTTGATAGCTTCTGATAATGTGTTTACTCAGTATTTAAGATTAGTTTTTTTTCTTTCCATAATGATATTTTTGAATAATTTAACCTTTTTACTGAAAAAAAAACAAAGTTTTTACACTACATATTGAAATTAGGAAAAAAAATAAGCTAGTTTTAGTTATTTCGTTTGTGCCTGACCATTTACTGCTGGACTTGCAACAACATGCAAATGTGTGCAGACCATGTTTACTGGAAAGTCTAAAACTGACCTTTTAGACTTACTTCAAAACAGAAAATTATACTTTGTCACGGCTTAATCAGTTGTAAAAAATAACCAAAAATGAGTATTTATCTGTGTTTATTCCTCTTAGTAAATGGGTCATCTGAGTATATATTGTGCTGTGGAGGTTGAGGTAACCAACACATGGCTAAAGGTCCAGCTGTTTGGCCACAATCAATAGGGTTAAGGTCATCAACATGTTATGAATGCCACGAGGCCCTGGGAAAGCAGAAAAGAGGACCCCTGATCTGGGCTCTGATAGGCTGGAGTTGGTCTCTAGGCAAGGCCGACCCCCCAACGACTTTAGATGTCATCTGAAGGGCTGATGACCTCTGACCTTATGCTAAGAGGGTGATGTAAAGGTTTTGAGTTTGAGCCGATAAAAGTCAAAACATCACCTTGTTTAGAGACTACGTGCTACGTTTCTGAAGTATTTCTTTCCAAATATAATTTTAATGATGCTAAAACACCAGGTGTATTATCTACAAAAAAGGAAACTTGGGAACAAAGTCACACAGTGCTGTTTCTTTCTTTTTTCTATTCATGTTGTGCAGCACCTAGTGTGCCTGAAGATTTAAAATCACCAGTTCAACACAAAGCGTTCTTTAAAAAAGGTTTATTGGCTTTTAAAACCACTTTAAAAATCTCACCAGTGAGTACTTTCCATTGAAAAAAGAAACAACGTGTTTGCAATATTAACAAGCTACTGTACATGAAGCAGAACACCAGACAACACCACAGAGGAGGGTTTTTTTCTACTGGTAGAAATGGACAAGATAGTCAAACAGAGTTGGGTTTGTCAAAAGGTAAAGAATCAGAATCACTGCTTGATGGAGCTTCTGTAATCATAAAGAGGTGCATTTCCTTCATTCAAATTCAAATATCAGTGCCTTATTGTTAAGGAAAAAAATGAGGAAATGGAAATTTTCTTTACAAATGCATTTAGGTAAAAAAAAAAAAAAAAAAAAAAAAAAAAAAAAAAGGAAATGAAAAGTCATCAGAAAATAGTCATTAAAATAAACATATAGAACATTAACTTAGTAAACCGCACACACAAAAAAAAGAAATGTAACTCATGACACTAGCACTGCAAGTCTGGTTAACAGAACCTGCCCAAATCACAGAAGACAGTGGTTACCAAGAATACAAAGTACAACAGAAGTCATCACACATGCGTGTGTACAATCATTTATCAACATAATGAGCATGTAGGTTTTAAAAGGTTATTTAACTTTTTTTTCCCTCAATGCTTTGTATTCTCATGTATGAGAATGAGTTAGAAATGTGTATCTCACTGAGATTAAAGCACATTTTGCTACAAGACAATTAGTCATTTTCTGACAATCCATTTTATTTCCCTACTCATCTTGTCATAAAAAATATCCTTTTTCTTTTTGCGGGCATCCATCATTACATTTGTCCATAAGGATGTGTCAAAGCCACGTGTCATAAAAATTTAGTGCAATAATGTGAACCTCCAAAGTTTGTTGAAATATGAGTTATTCTTTTTTTTTTTTTCCAGTGTCTGCTGAAAGACTTTGAGCACAATGTCTGTCACAGATGTCTGCAACCAGCTAACAGTATCACAACTTTTTTTCCTCAACATACCATGCTATTGATCCTGCTCAAAGCACACACCAATTCTGCAACTGCAGAGACCTATTACCTTTGAATAGGAAAAAAAAAAAAAAAAAAAGTAAAATCAGCAAGCGAGACCAGACAGCATTACTGTTACGACACATTGAGCCAGAAATGTAACACACAACATACAGTATCTTGCCGACTATAAATCTGTTAAGCTTTTTTTTTCTTTTAAATGGCACATACTTAGCTAGAATAATGGCCATAATATAGTGTCTTGATACATCAAATCTCTATGCATCTATCCTATTTACAGATGGAGCTTAAACATGACTTATACAACATTGACAATAGCCAAAAACTCAAGCAAGCATCCTACTGTATCACATAGCCTACCTGGCTTGCAGTGATGGTTTCAACATGCTTTCAGGTCCATGGTTACCTATAAAACATAGGACGGTGACCATTTCACAAATTTACAAATTTGTACACAAGTTTCACGCAACTGATTCCTTTTCCTCAAATGCAATAGAAGTCTCTTATATCTCGGAGGCTGCGTGCCTGCTTCCCACTGTTGTTAACGTTATCGTGGAGTGTTTTTATGTGTAAAAATCTCTTTGATTTCCAAAAGAAAAAAAGAAAATTTTCTTTGGTATGGACATAAGGCCAGATCTCTCCAAACATAATTTCCTCTTGATCTCTAGATGACATCAAAACATACGGCCTCTAGGCCGCTCGTGTAGCGAAGCCGTCTCCATACCATTGATATTGTGATCCATGCTGGGAGTGTAGCATGCCCAACAAACAAAAAAACAAAAAAAACCTTCTTTTTTTTAATCTCATGACTGAAAGTGTGCCTGCCACGTTTTTTTCTTTTTAATGAAATGACAGCATAGCAAATCTTTCTAACACAACTGATAAGGGCACACACAGTGTAATCGTCAGCCTGTACAATGCGCATCTTTACTGTAACACTGGGAAACAAAAACAGAAGAAAAAAAATAGTGCGGAAAATATCAGAGTAACAGCTGCCTTGATAGGATGAAGCTCAGGATGGTTCTGAAGATATCTTAACGTTGAACTATATACAGTCTTTCTAAAGATGGCGTAAGGCCTTGAACTTTGGGAATAAGGCAGCCAGTTGTTGATTCCTTTCAATTATAGTCCACAAAGTGGCCTGAATCCCCATCTTCTCCTTACCGACTCATCTACTCCCTTTATAAGATATTAAACAGTACAAGAAGTATAGGCTTAAGAAAATTTCACTCTTGGACAATGCTCAGATGTGAATCAGTTTTTCACTGATTTGGTTTATGATAAAGTATAAAGATTATGTCAGAAATTCAGCACCTGGCAGCCTAAGATGCTACCCTTTTTAATATTTAGATATGGCAGGCAAACGTACTACAATTATTATGTGCATATACTACAATACCAATATTGTCTCCATTTGGTTGAACTTGAACTGCACACGTTGAAAATAGTACACAACAGTTTTTGGTGAAGTCTTGTGCCAGATTTCCTATCCACCTCACTTTCCTTAATTGTTCATGAAGTACAAATATTGCATTATTTGAAGATTATCCTTATCTCACTGTCCGCGGCACACATAGATGCTCTTTGTAAGTGTGTGCCGCCGCTGAGCGCTCACTCTTTACTTGAAATGCTTACATTTCTGAATTCAGACGAGGGAATAAAGTGGTTAAATACTGAAACTCTGGGTGACAAAACAATAGAGGAGGGAAGTAACTAAACATCAGCAGGAGAGATTTTCTGGTTAAGCCTGGCACTTTGAACAGAACAAATGGCAAAGTCCAGACGAATCCCAACAAACTATGGTGTAAAAACAGGTACTACATATGCATCAATTCAAACAACAAAGAACAGAAATAATACAGGTCAGAAGGTAACGTTACCCCAGCATCTCTACTGTTGTGGGCTGGTCTTTGCTTTCTAGCCAGTCAAAACCAGAGTTCACAGTATCACTGCATATCTGCTGAAAAAGCGGGTCGTTCTTCAGTTCTTCCAGTGTTGAGTCTTCATATTGTTCCTGCTGCTGATTGGGATCGAACAGCAAGTTGGTGTCCAAAGTGTTAAGGTCAGTGATGCTACTGGACAGATCTGAGGTCAGTCTGATGTCGTTTGAGAAGTCGGACGCCACGGCATTGAGCTCCGAAGCTACCTGGCCGACCAGCTGGGAGCTGGGGTTGAGGCCGTCCTCTCCCAGCAGGTCCTTGACAGTGTTGTTGAAGTCCAGCTGCTGCTGTTCGTCCTCCGCCTCCTGCTGCTGCGTGCTCTGGAGGAGGAGCTGGGGCTGGGTCTGCACGGGGTCCTCCTGGAGCTGCTGCTGCTGCTGCTGCTGGTCTTGATCGCCAGGGCCCGCTTGTGCTTGGCCGTCCCCGCTGGGGAAACTCACCTGCTCTCCGCTGCCCGTGGTGAGATAGCCGTGCTGCTGGAGCTGGAAGTCGGCGGGGTTGGAGCCGGCCGGCAGCTGCGCCTGGTGTGCGGCTCCCCCTGCGAAGCTGGGGGTCGTCTCCAGGATCTGCGTGAGGTTCATGCGGGCCGTGTAGTTGGAGGGGAGGTTGTTCATGCCCAGGCCACGCACGGAATCGTCCCCGTCCGATTCCATCTTGCTGAGGAGAACGTTGGTGATCTTGGCGGTGTTCCCCTGACCCTGCACGGGCAGCATCTCGCTCTGCATCATGATGTTCAGGGGCACAGACTGGCTGCGCTGGACCATGCTGTGGACAGAGCTGACTGTCTGGCTGTTGGAGAGGATGCTCAGCACCTCTGAGGTGATGGGGGAGTTGAATGGTGAGACCACGGCTCTGGTTGTGGTGGTGGTGCTTGTGGTGGTGGTTTGAGGGCCGGTGTTTCCACTGAAGTTCCTCTGCCGCACGGCCGGGCTGACACTGCGGCAACGGAAAGTGCTGGACGTAGACGAGGTGGAGGCCTTGCCGTCCAGCGGTGCAGGAACGGCAAAGCTTTCCTGTTTGGTTGGAGTACTAACACCTGTCGCCATATGCTGCTGCTGCTGCTGCTGCTGAACCGGAGAAATGGGGGTCAAGCGGCCAAAGTGAGCAGCGTCCTGTCTGGTCTGAGACTGAAAAGACTGGCCAGGGATTGCAAAAGCATGAGGCTTACGAAACTGATCGTCTACTAGGTCTTGGTAGCTGGGCAAAATGCCTATGCTATGGTTGGACAAAGGGCCGGCCGAGCTGCTGCTGTTGTAGCGGTTGTTGATCCACTCCAGCTTGGCCTTGTCGGGGTGCGTTGCCATGGGCCTCTGCATGGGCTTCACGGGGCTGCTGGAGACGATACTGGCATCATGGTAACCCGTGATGCTCGAGTTGATGGGAGTGAAAGCAAAAGGGTTGCGGCACTCCACCGGGCTGGGCGGCACGCTGCTGCTGCAGTTGGACAGCGGCGTGCTGATGGGGGTGTGGCGGCCCATGGCTCCGTCCACGGGGGTGATGGGAGCCATGCGGGAGCAGGGGCTCTCTCTGGTTGGCGTGGGTGTGGGCGTTGGGGTGGGGGTTTGGACGGGAGTGGTGCTGCTGTGGGCGGAGTGGAAGAAGGCGGTGCTGGCCTGGTGAGCGCTGAGGATGGTGCTTTGACTACTGGCTGACTGACTCTGCAGGGACACGTCCACGCAGTTAGCAAACAGCCCTTTCAGCTTCATCTGCTCCTCCATCTGAACCAGCTCTTCCACTATGCTGTCCTGGGTCATGTCATCGTCGTTGAACGGGAAATAGTCCATGTTGGCTTGAGAGCCTGCAAAGTCCACCATCTCCTGGGTGAGGGTGAGTTGGCCCGGGGCCTCCGAGGGTTGGCTCATCATGGAGAGCTGGTCAGACGGGGCTTGTTTGTGGTCTGCTGGTAACTGCTGCGTCTCCCACATTGTGCTCTTTAAATCACTCATCACGGAGGCTTGGTGTGGTCCTGAGTTGGCTGGTATGGCACGAGGGTCCCCGGTGATCTGCTGCAGCAACGCCTGATCGGCCGCGCTGTTTCCGGCCCCTCCGGCGTTAGCCTCGATGGCCATGGCGTGGTCTTCGTGTTTCACCGCCAGGTCCTGCTGTTTCACAGCGGTCTGGGTTCCCTCTGTGTGCGTGATGGGAGCATCACTGAGTGCAAGGATCTGCGGGGGCCCAACAGAAGTGTGTTTCACAGTCCCTTTGCAGGGGGCACTCTCTGGTCTCGCAGGGGTTCCTGGCCTGGGAATCCTCTTCACTGCAGCACTGACCCCGGGTTTGGGATTGTCGTTTACGGCAACGGGCTGCTGGGAGATAAACACCCTCTTGACAGGAATGACGTGGGACTCCCCGGCTGTGCGCTTCCTCGGGCTCTTGGCATCTGAGCAGGGGTCCTTGGTTGATGGGGTAACAGCAGACGAGCCATTGGATGATGTGTTGGAGTTCTGATTATCAACAGTCAAGTACAAGGTACTGTCATGGCAGTTACTGTTATTGCTGTCCTGACATCCAGCTACAGAGGTGGGCGGGGAGGTGGAGTCACTTTTTATTCTTACGCCTTTGTCTGGTCCTGGAGAACACTTGACAAGGAAGCTTGGCTCACTGGCAGCCCTGAACTTAGCCACTCTCTCCTCTTTGGCTACGACAGCATGTTTGTCTGTGCCGGACGTGGAGTTATTGTCACTCCCAGCTTCGGACACCCCTTTGCTGTCCGTGGAGAGGGCTGGGGTTATTAGCTGGGCACACGGTCTGACTGCAGGAGACTGGGGGGTCAGCAAACCTCCTCCCTGTGAGTGCTGGGAATCGTCCAGAGCAGCGGTGGTGCTCATGCCAGCCGAGGCCGGCCGCACGTTGGTGCTGCTGTTACTGCTGCTGGGGGCCAGAGCGATGGCCGTCATCTTCACCACGTTGACCGAGCTGACGTGGGGAGTGGGCATCACAGTTTTTATGGGGCTGTTGGTGATCAGCAGGGCGGGCGGGGAGCGCAGCGTGATGGCACTGGTGGCGGAGGGCTTGGGCAGGATCTGAGCGTAGCGCGTACCGTGACGTGCCAGCCGGTCGCCCACAGGACTAGCCGAGATGTTCTGGGGAGTTTTGGGGGACTGCTTAAGAGACTGAGTGACCACTTGGAAGTTCACAGGCAACACCTTTCCTTCTGCTGTCCCCACGGGGCTGGGTGAGGTCATCAACTGCCTGCTTCTCTGTACCTGGAAAAGCATATAAAACAAACACATCAGCGCATTCGCACACAGTGGTGGGAAACATCTCTGGATAGAATTTAGGGGGAAAAGGTCGTACCGTGACTGGGCTAGGGACAGCCGCTACTACGATTCCTATGGTGGGCTGAGGGGACAACAGAGCAGGGCTGCCACAGGGAATGGTTGGCCCGGGAGTGCTGGCCTCTGTTCGCTTGACCTGGCTCTCACTGGGCAAGGGCGAATGGAGCTTCTGCTCTTGCTGCTTTTTCTGGATCTTGCGTTGCAACTGCTGCTTTGCATCAACAGAGGGAGAGGGCAAGGTCTTCACCTGGGGCTGGAATGAGTTGGCTTCTGCGGTGGGCACAAAGGCAGAGGCAGGGGTTGGGGTCTTCATTCCTGCTGAGATGTGATAAAACAAGAACATTTTAATTAAGAGGACAGTGCATGAACACTCTGCTTCTGAGAGCCAGGTCAGATTTCCAAACTGATCCACTTCTAATCCAAAAATGGGCAAAGACAGTAACTCGCAGAGCTAGTGACCTTCTTTGCCGTTTGCATGCAAAGATCATTTGTGAGCACTGACGGGTTGTTGCATGGGTTGAAATATGTGAGTGTGCACATGCTAATTTAGTGAGACTGGCCTCAGGTTTAAATACATAAGAGCATTTGCTGGGCGGCAAGTAGAATAACCCATTGCCTCACCAGGGTGCGAATGTGTGGACTCAAACAGACAAAAGACATGCTCAGTACACGGTGAACGTTCATAAAACACCAAAGAAAATCAACCCTTTCTACCTGTGGGTGTTCCAGTCATAACAGTGAGTGCAGCCATGGACTTAGTACCGATGTAGTGGCTATTGAGCAGGAAGCGAGCCAGGTCCTCCACGCTGTCAAACTGACGACTGAGGACCTTTTGTGCCCACTCGCAAACCAGCCCGCAGGCGGCAGATCTCATCTCATCCTCGGCGCTGGGAGACTGGCCCGACGGCTCCATCAGCTCACACTAGCCGCAGAGGAGCAGGCAGATTTAGATTTAGAGCATCACACTGGTGCAGGAGGAGGACTTGAGTCAAATGTTTGGCGGTGTGGTACAACTTACCCCGTCACCGGACTTCTGCAGGTCCAGGTTGGGTAAGGTTGGCATGTGAACAAAAGCTTTCTTCCTCAGTCCGCTATAACAGTATGTGCAAAGGAGTTAAGGCTTAGGCATCACCGTAACAGGAACACTGACTGTATGGCAGCCCTGCAATGACTTTCCGTTCCTCAGCCTTTCTTTGCTTTGCATCTGCTTACAATTAGCCACAGTCCGAAGCTAGGTCTCAGCCAAGGATGTCCTGTTATTTTCCCACTAAAATATTTGATTGTGGTCAAAAATGCTTGTCTTATATGGTTTGACGTCCTCCTTTCCTACGATCAAAGATAACCTGTCAAAAATTTTACATACAGGGCCTTCAATAAACCACTAAGTGGTAACTGAACAACGTAAAGTGAAACAATGATTACAGCCTGCACAGATTCGGCAGGTTTTGTTATCATCCAGTCAGCATAGTCTGTGACACACTGTGGATTCCAATGACTTCATGTGAAGGCAAAAGTTTCACTCTTCAAAAGTGCCCTGAGGCAAAGCGGCCAAGGATCTGTGTGGTATCTGCCTTTCTAAAAAAATATTAACGAGAATATGTAAATGCTGCCACTTGTAACGCCGTTAAACTTTGTACAGAGCTGGTTCACGGGCAAAGACACAAACAGATTAATATTGATGGAGGTCTGAACATTCCATCCTTTAAACTGCAAATCATAGCGTTGGCCTTGGTGGAGGATACAACGTCTGAGAGCAACTGCCGGCTTGTTAGATATGCCGACAATTTAACAGCTATTTAAAGATGGAAGGGGGATGAGATCAGACTAACCTGCAGCCCTAAACACAACCTCACACATGCTGATTCAAGCTAATCAATGACTTCACAGCAGCAATGCACGGGGATCCTGCCACAGTTACATTACTTCTGCACGGAAACAGTCATCTGGAAGCATAAACTGTGTTGCTCACAGAAACATAAAGATTAAAAATTGTGTTTATCATCAAAATATAAGGATATTTGGATTTGCCCCTCATGCCCAGTCGACGTGCTTTCATGTTGGGAAAGACATTCTTCATAATCTTCCCAAAGTCTGCTGCGCTCAGTGGATTGTAGCCAAGATTGTCACAGTAGCTCCTGGAAGACAAAACAATCCGCGTGTAAATAAAAAACCCAACATACACCTTGTATTAGAGTGGAACCCCCTTTCTGTCCCTGTCGTTGGCACTCACTTGTATTCATCATACACTTCTTGCTTCGGAAGGGACGTCTCCGGGTGCTCCTCTAGGTGATTGCGTATCCAGTTGAATGCATACATCTGTTGAGTACGGCTTGACGACATGGAACTCTGATCACTGAAATTAGCCAAAAGAGAAATAAATCTGGTGAGGCGGTGCCCGTGGCTGCCGTGCATCATTTCTTGTTAATACAGAAACTGTAATACCATAATCCAGGAGTGGAGGACCCCCTCTCATTCTCAGTCCAAATGGGTAGAATTTGGGGGTTGGGGTGATGAATAGATATGGGGAAACAAATGAAACACAGACAGCTAGGTATAGCAAAAATCTACATTTTTCAGTGTTTTGGTTCATAATGATAATCATACAGCTGAATAACGAGGTTAGAAAATTTGCTCGAAAAGGAGAGAAGAAAAAAACAAAAAGGATTAACAATGCTAAAAATGCCACAAGACAAGAATAAAGCTGTCGACTGGTTTGGCTTCGGGGGCTTTCAGCCTAACCTGTGTCTGTGTTTAAAGATTCGAATTTCTGACAAGCAGTGACACAGTGCCAATTATGCATTGAGACCCACAAAAAAGAAGTAGAGGAAGAGGAAGAAAAACCAACATGTGAGCGTGTGTGAGAGGGAGAAAACAGGAGCAAAGAGCAGTGGACTTCACCTCAGGAGAGCGTGTGTCTGTGACGTACCTTTTATCATTGCCACTGCTGGGACCAGAAGGCAACTTAAGGTAGAGGTAGAGTTTTTCGATGTCTGTAAACTTCTCAACATCTTGCTGCAAAAAACGAAAAACAAACACAGACGGAAGAGTTAAAAAAATTAAAAAATAAATAAGGTTTTGGTCACGTGTGTTCTTAACCAAAATAAACTCTTTTCATGGAGAACTAAGCTGCTCATAAATGGATGTAATTATCTGTTTAGATATTTACAGGCCAAACCCTTCCCGCTCACCACTGCCACCTTCTAGTTGTGTTTTGAATGGTTTTGTGTCACCTCTCCCTCTTCTATTTGCTTCCTTTGTTTCTATGGGAACCGTTGATTAAATGACTGGGGAGAGAGCTGCAAGCCAATAAGCCGTGAATGAAAACCTTGTTTACTACCATAAACTGAGTGAATTACACGTCTGGCATAGCGGCGTGGACCTGCATCAGGGTTCCAGAGTGGAGTCGGTTATTTATCTGCTGATTTATTTGGACTCTTTATAGGTCGGTAAGACGTGTTTTTTTTTCCAGCGGACTTTGTCCTGAACAGAAAATGACCGTATTTGTTGTCACTTTCACCATAAAGTAGGGGCGTGTCTATAATCACACAAAGCTGTCCGAGACCATTCGCTAACTTTCATCATCAAAAAAAGGGCTTTTCCCGCCCCAATCAGGTTCTCTACTATGAAAGGGAACCCAGTCCCAGCACGTCCTTTACAAGAGACCCATTTTGTTCACATAACTTGATTTGAGGAATCACTTGTCTCAGACACACCATCTGTATGTAGAAATGCTCATTTTTCAAACCACAGTCAGAGTTTGAATCCAAATATTCAACGACGACATGACGTTCTACCATATCTTTTTAAGCAGAAGATGGAATCATGTTTTCCAGTCGTTTTTCATAAATGATTTGATATTCTGATTAACAGGTTATACTGTGGTAACGTCACACCTGCTTCAGGCATGTAGGTCACAGGATAGAATAAGTCGGACAGGTTTTTCTTAGTAGGTGAAAATTCTAAAGCAGCGTTTTACCATTCACAGTGTTAATGATACCATCAGTATCTAAACACACCAAATGCATTTTCCTTGAGCAACTGAGGAAAAAAGCCTGATGTGACATATTAGATTTATAATCTTTCTTCTTTAAAAAAAAAATCCTGTTGGATGTAATATGTACCAGAACACTGATGTGTAAGCATCAGAGGTACCAAATGGTCATGTACTTTTGATGTAATTTCATCAGGACTATAAGAGACGAAAGCAGCCAAATTCTAGACTCAGTGGCTGAAATTAAAACACACCGTTTCTTTTTTTATATGTTAAAAATAGACAAAGCTTCGTTGTGTCGCTTTGATGTCGGTGGTGTGGCTCTATGAAGTTCAGCTCAGACAAATCACAATGCACGATGTGCACAAATAGAAGCAGTAAAGAGGCAAGAAATGAATGAAGGACTTACTATTCCTGACATATATCTACCTGTCCTCACAAATATTTCAAACACTTAGCAGTTGCTGGCATTTTCGGACGTTTCCACAGCAGAGCATTCACCATTTTCTTTGCACACCTCATAAACTAAATTCATGTACAGACTAATTGGTGGGACAAATATGTAATATATAAAAAAAAGACATGGATAAGTAATATACATAAAAAAGAAATCATTCAGAAGTAGGCCAGTGCTTGTGAATACTCACCAATATGCCGTCCACTTTTGATTGTACAGATTTGCTACAACGAGAGAAAGAACAAATTTGTGGAACGTGAGATGAAACAGCAACAATTTGTTCTTGATCAAACGCTGTCAAATGACAATTTGACCGTTCATTATCTTTTAAAATTTTAGTGCATTTCTCAGATTTCTCACACGGGCCGAAAGGTCTGAAAACACTGGCCTCTGTCCCTAGAGATAAACAGCATTAAAAGGTGCTGCTTGCTTAGCTGAAGAAGCCGGACTGGACCAGGGCTCTCTGTGGACATAGTGCCAAACCTAACTGAGGCTCACAATGCACTGGGGAGCATTTCAAACTTTACACCTTCCCTCACGTGTATACTTCTACTGAGAACTCCTCAGACCAGACCCCCACAGCATTATTCATGTAAATATATGATACATCAGTAAGCCAACATAAACTAAACCTGGAACCTAAGACCAATGCAATACAATCCACCTATGATTTTCTTGCTGTGGAACAGAATGGGGGTATTCATGGTGCTTTTGCAGTCCACACAGTGAAAAATGACATGTCAGGCAGGTAATATGACAGTGGGCACTACTTTGAATACAGGCAGAAATCTGAGACAAGACACAATGGAAACCGCACAGATCATCAAACCGATTCCAGCAAAGGATGAACAGGGAAGTGTGTGAGGACTCATGCACATTTCATTTGGCTAAATGAGCAAAAAGCTTGAAAACCCCGTTTCTCCCTTTTTCACTGTGGGTTAACATACAAACTGGATCTATCTCAAGTGCAAGTGTGGACAAAAAAAAAAAGTGAATCGGTCTGAATTCTGTTAAGGCTGGGCATAAATAATGGGAGGGGGTTGGGTGGGGGGATTGGAGTGGGGGGGGGGGGGGCAACAAAAATACAACCCAGCTGCTTTGAGCAGCTATTTAGCGGGTAAGCAACAAACGGGATGGGAATCTCCTCCAGACCCGCCGCACGGCGTGAGGAGCCCGGGCTCGGGGCTCCGGCCGGGTCCGGGGGGCTCCGGCCGGGTCCCGGGGGGCTCCGGCCGGGTCCGGGGCTCCAGCAGCGGCGGCCTTCCTGCGGGTCGGAGCAGGCCGGGCTGCCTCCGCGGAGCGGGGGGCTTTGACACCTGTCATCCCGAGCACCAGCACCGCCGGTGTGCTCGGTGTCATCCATCAGAACATGGCCTCCTGCGGCTCGACGCTACCCCCCCCTAACCCCCCCTCCCCACCCCCCCCCAGAGCCGCCGCCACCACTGCCTCCAGCAGCCCCCGGTGGCTCCGCGGAGGCAGCAGCGGGAGCCAGGCGGCGTCTCCCGGCTGGCCGCCGCCGTGTTTCGGCCGGATATCTGCGGCTAGCTTACGGAGCTGTGTGGCTCTGCTCGGCCCGCTCTGTGCAGCCCTCTGCCCGCCTGCCTCCCTCCTTCCTTCCTTCCACTACAGAGTTAGATACGCTAATTATGAGGCTACGGCTAGCGAAAAGGACAGTGTGGCTGCTGTCTGTCGGGGGAGGGGGGGGGGGGGGAGGGGATCGCTCCCATCCTTACCAAATTGAATTCTTTATTTTGAACTGTAACGCGTTAGCCTCGGGCCCCTGGAGTCCTGGCACCAGCGCTGGAAGAGAGCCTAATCCCGAGGCAGGCTTCTGACCAGGTTGTTGTTGATCATCAGCCATCGCGATGGAGGGGTGGTGGGGGAGCTTTAACAAGTAGGCCTCATCCCCGGCTGTGCCCCGCACCGGACCCACCGCCGCTGCAGCGGCTCAGCCAGCTAGGACAGGCCGCGGAATCCCCCACGGGCCATGGCTGCGAACCCCGCGATCAGACCCTCACGAAACGCAAGCTTAAAAAACACCACCGGGCACACAAAAGGCATTTCGCAGAGGTATCTCCGCTGCCGCAAATAGCACGCCTGCAGCAGCCAGCAGCAGCTCCAGACGGGCTGCGCGCGTCAAGGTGCGCGCACCAAGCACCGGCAGCACCGGAAGCGCGAGCCCAGTAAAACCGCCCGGGCCCCGGTGCTGTGTGGAGGTGAAAAAAGGCAGCGCACCGGGGGGGTCCCGGGGATCATGGGGGTCCCGGGCGTTGGGGGGGGGGGCGTTCAAAGAAGGGTGTCTCTGCCACGAGGCGTTTCACTGAAAGGAAGATGCGAGTCAAATTCCAGAAAATGTTAAGACAGTTAAGCCACTGCCAAGGCCAAGTCTGTCTCTCTATTTGTTTGTTTTAAATCTCACGCCAGAACCTTAATTTTATTTTTTTTAGCGAAAAAGGTTTATTCTTGCAGAAGGGAAAGACGAAAGGTTTAATCTCCCCGCAGAACCCCAATCCGCCCTACTCTGTGCTGTATAGTGTTGAGATGTGAGTCAAACTGGGCAGGTTTTTTTTGCATACCAGCTCCTTTGGCTATAACTTATTATCAGCCATCAGAACAGAGGCTCCCTGAGATGATGGATTCTAAAATGGTACATAAAGCAAGCAAGCAAACTGCAATACAACGTGCAAGGCCATTGACTATTACCTGTTGAGATTACCAAAGCGAACATCTCCAGCACATTGAACCCCTTAGAGTAGATTTACAGTTAAACATGAATATACCCTGGAGTTTTCCCATTCCATTTCAACAGTTCAGTGCTAAAAACCTCTTCATTTTAGGCAGTGCTTGATCTGGCGTTGAGTGTGTCTTAATTTAGAATGCCTCATCCGGAAGTGGATGTGTGGCAGTGTGCAGCTTGATGTTGTGTACTGGCTGCAGATCCACGGACAGCCGGCGGGGGGCGCTGTTGCAGGAAGCAGGCTGATCAGATAGTGACAATGACGGGTAAACAGCCAGGATGATATCACTGGGCCATACAAACGCGGGGCTATCGAAACGTTTATTGATCCCGATACACGCTGCCACGTTGATGTAAAATGATTTCAGTATAACTCAGACTATCCTGAGATGGGTCTCCGAAACGTGAATGCTCCAGAACCTGCCGGTGTTCATTAAACACATTTGGCCACTATTTCCCCCCTTCGGCTGAAATCTGAGACACTCTTAGTCAGAAAACAAAAACAAAAAAATCCAAGATTATGATTTGACTTCATGCTGTTTGTGCAAGATGTGAATCCAATGAATATTCATTATTTCCGTGTATTGTATGAACACAATGATTACATGTGTACACGTGTCTATTAACTTTATTTACCTCTTTTTTGAACCAATAAAGGGCCAGAAATTCTGTTTAGATGTAATTTTTATCATCATGAAAATAAACGTACATAAATTCAGGAGAATGAAGTCACCAGGTCACGAAAAACAAGATCTGAACGCACGCTTTCATGTTGGCTGGTTTTGTGCTGCCATCTGTTGATGGAAACAGGTAATGCTACTCCCCGGCCTCACGCACACCTCCGCAAACAAACGCGAGGCCACAGCCAAATCCACGCCAGAAATGATTGGTTTCTGATCTTTCCTTTAACTTTAAGCGCCTTTAAGCGACCATAAATGTATACGTTGGTGCCCAAATGGGGTGCACATTGGTTCTTCCCAGAAATGAGTGATGTGCACAAATATTTTGAATAAAAAGTAGATTATGATACCAATACATTATAAGATTAGATTTAGTGGTGAGATAGCCACAGATGGTGGCATTCAGTGACTCTAAAGGACACCTCATCTGTGTCTATTTACTTAAATTTCTCCCCAAAAATATTCTTATTCTCAAAGGATCTAAAAATGTACCCTTTTTTTAAAACAAATAATAACATAGGGAAATAAACAAGTGTTAACAAAAGTTAGTAAAAATATATCCTTTAGCCAGAAGAGGGAGTGACATTTTCCACAGACTTCTATTCAGTAGGTGTTAGATAACTCTAATTTGATAACTATCCTAATAGTTTGACGGTCAGAAGTAACTTTTGAGCTTTGATTGCATTTTTTTTTCAATCAAAGGTTTATATGCACATACAGATTATTTTTATCTAAGTAATAGTTCTGGTCTGTGTAACAACACCTCTATTTGTGAGCTGTGAATGAGCCCATATCTATTCCATTATGGCATTAGGTCTTGTTTCCATACTGAGGGGACCCGTTTACCTTGTGTTTATGTAAAGACATGGTTTACTATTATGCATGCCTAATGACAATGGCTGAAAACTACAAGTTTTCAGACTAAATGCAAAACAGATTATGCAAGTAGTTCCCCCCATAAATAACTTCCCTACTGGGGCCAGAAAGAAATTCCGACTCTTTATTGTGAAAAACAAAGTTTTTATTTGTTGAAGAAGTCATTTGAGTTAACAAACAACTCTGGAGCGAAATACGTAGCTACACACAGGTTATTTATAAAATGAAAAAAGGAGATTCTCTACTCTTTCTTTTTGCTTCTGTTGGGAAGATACAAGTTTGCAGAACACAAGTCAGACAGAGGACGATGTGAACGCATATTTCCGAAAAGAAAAATTGGGATCTGATGGCCAAAATAGAAAATGTCTCATTGTCACTGCTGCTGAAAGTTTTTGTCAACTTTTTTGTCAGTAATGTGCTACATAAAGTCCTAAAATGCTGTCGCTGCTGGCCTGTGGATCAGCCCAGTTTGTGGAACTGGGGCTCCTCCTCTTAACCTCAAGAAAATGTTGTTTCTTAGGTAGTCATTGTTTTCTCACTCTATTTTTGACCTTCGGTTGTTGGCTATTCTGGACTGATTTATTTCACTGTCAATCTCCTGTCACTTCTGATTTGGCTTGGAAGGTCTCATAGCTGCAGACTTTGCCCTTGCTCATTCCTCCGAATGTTAAGATTTACACAACCTTCGTCCCAAAGAGGCTGCCACTTTTGTGGCCATGTATTGCAAGGATAATATTTACAGTGGTTAATTACTTGATTATATTTTCTGTCTTTAATGCATATTAGCTATTATTCATTATGAAACAAGGTGAAAAAAGCAGATATACTGTATGAGTATCTGTAAAAAAGTCAATGGACCGAGACCACAGAATTCAAATGAAAGTCAAAATGAGTCATTCTGATGAAAATCTATAAAAAATATGTAATGAAACTTTGAATTATTAAATAAAATGAGAAGGAAAATAACTAATTTGGGTATTCTAATGTACACCATTTACTCTTTGTACTTTATGAAATAAAAAAGATTTAAACACATGGTTACTGAACATTTTTGAGCCCTTTACTCATTTCATATCATTTTACCTGGCAATCAGGAAATAATAAACTTTTAAGTTAAAATGCATTGTGAGCACCTTTATACTTCAAACCAAGCCTGAATCCTCCTTGTGTAGCATTTAGGAATAGTTCTCCATGCCTTTTCTTTGGATGATTGGGGATTTTTAGTTACACAGTTAACAGTTAGAAGTAATGTCAATGTAACATGAAAATATGTCTCAATTCCATATCTAACAACCACGTGTAAAACAGAATAATCTCTCACTGCAAGTGTTCATGTGTTGAGGTTTAATTGTGAAATGGTCGAAGTTTCTACCTCGTTCCCATCATCTCTTGCTTTGGGTCCAGTACACATAACTGAACAACATGATCCCTGTCTGCTATATGAGTTTGTTTCCGTGACACCTCTCCTGCAGATCAAGCAGGTCACATTTGATTCTGGCTCGGACCTGAAGAAACACGTCTTGTGGTACTTGTGAATGTGGGACGGCGAGGTCAGTGTAATGACGAGGTCGATGAGTCTGGCTCTCACGTGCTCCCACAGCCAGTTCAATCCTCTTACAACCCCCTACTTCCTCCAGCACTCAGGCTAGACTATGAGATGAACTCTGTGCTCGGGTCTTATCTCGGAAGATAGAGTAGATTCTGAGCACGGAGTCACGCCAGCAGGTATCAAACAGCCTATTAACTTCTGCACACATGTTGTCGGCCGGCTTGCCTGTTGCTGTAAAACCAATTCACTGTATTGTACGGTGCGACAGGAGATACGTCCCCTCTAATCACACCACAATCAAATTAAACTGTAACATGCTAAGCCACGATAACGGTGTCTCACTTCTCAATCAAGGTCCAGACAAAAGTGGTACAGCCGGTAAATGCTGTGGTCATTTTTGTGTCCCTTAAACAATTTCAGAGGGGAGAACAACAACTTTTAGCCATGCACTGAGGAAGCATAAACCCAAATTAAATCTGCGTGTGCACGCAGGCCCACCTTTTTCTTTGTTCTCGTATTGAAATTTGGGAGTCCCTGGCTTTGACGTCACTGACAGAACATTTCCCGGCCCAAGCTGTTATTGCAGATTTTCTGTTGTAGTTTTTTTCCCTCCCTTCTCTTGGCGTCCTTTGGACGAGCGGATGGGAAATTCTGATGTCATCAACCTTGGCGCAGCAGGATAGAGGAGCATGCAGACCCTCAGGGTGCCACAATTGGTGCCCATGTGTTTGTGCCCCGTAGATGGTGAAATAGATGGTGTGGTGCTGCCCGCCTGTGCTGCACCTGCGTCCCAGCATGCTGATTGATCAGTTTGGTCATGTGGAATGTCACCATCTGCTCCCCAGTCCCACTCACCCCTTCTTGTGTGAATGCCAATCACTGGCAGGAAGACAGTTATTTAAGCCATGTCAAATCAGGCGCATGACGACGAGCAATATGCCAACAACCCCTTGAAGTGTGTGTTGCAGGCATAGTATGCACAACATCCAGTTTTACAATAAAAGGACAACCACTCAAACTGTGGAGAACTGCATCTTTTTGTTTGCCGCAGATCATTTAACTACCTCTTCTGTCACCTAGGATTGTGAAAGTGAAAAAGTGTGTGTTTTTAAGCCATCATTCTCTTTTAAGCATGCTCCTTTTTATTTCTCCTTCTTCTCCATCCATTGCTCTTTTTTTCCTCTTAATGGCCAACAACTTATCAGGGGGCCATCAGGAGTGACATTCTTCATTGTAAAGCGTCTGAACCAATGACATTTAAGCCATGGGAAAATAAAGATATGCAAATGTAATCTCATTAACATTTGCATTACCTGTTTGAATAATCACACTTCTGACAAAACTGCAATTAGCTAAGATTGATTCAAAGTTCATGGTAAAAGGACTGTATATATTGACTCTTGAATCAGATTCGTGTGTGTTATGGACGGTTAGCATGTCAGATAGGATGACTGATCGCTGTCCGAGAAGGTTATCCAGTAACAGGGTTACTTTAAAGAATATGCTTGAGACCCTATTTGATATTTTAACTGTAACTATTATTAAAGGCCCCACCCCCCGAAGTCCCATGTTTGAATTAAATCTATTAAAAGAAAAGAAAAGTCAACAAATTACTGCTCTGTTGAGGATAAAGGGACTGACCTCCTAACCCAGTTAACACTACCATAGGTAGTTAGGATTAGACTTTGACTTTAAGGAAGCTGAGCTGACAGCAGCTCACCTTTCAGACAGATTGAAAGCAGACAAACAGTCACGTGTTTGTTACAGTTTCTAATTGACCATCCTGCCACTGCATATGTATATATATATATAAATATGTATATAGGTTTTTAAGTACCATATGGTCCCTACTGGCTCCAGAAATAACACTGAAGACAGCAAATACCAAACTGAGCATCTGAGCAGTCTATGGATGGCATCATGGTAGTCTATGGATGGCATATGTTCCTTTGCTTCATCACACAGTGACACTTCCTGACAAGCGTACAAGTATTAAAAAAATGTGTAAGTAAATGCTCTCTGAAACATTTATTCTGTTTCTAAATGTAGGTCAGACAAGGGTGTGGTATCATCTGTTTACTGGAAACCTCTACCTGTCTAACATAAAACCTTCTTAGTGAATTCACCATCACTCACTGGTCCAAATGATTGGCTAGCTGTAGTAGTTGTTTGGTTTTCGTGTTAGTTATGATTTTTGCATGTTTTGGACACAGGAAAATGTTGTTCAGGCATGTTTTTTTTAGAATCCTATTATAATGAATATTTTGTCTTCACGCTTGAAGAAAATCAACTAAGAAAATGTTGGAATCTGAACCTAAACACGCAGTCAATGAAAGTTAGAAAAAAGATAACAAAAGCAAGAAACAAAACCAATTGATAAGACATGCTTACATATAATAAAGTGTACACCTAAAGAAAACAAAACAATTTTCCCTTTTTTTAAAATGGTTTCAAATGTCTATTGAACTTCATACTTTTGATAAGATTATGGTTTCATAGACATAAGCAGCTTTTGAATTTTTCCAGAGCAACACATTATTAGTTTTACCAAAGCTTTGCAGTAAATGCTTGCCAATCAGTAAAATGTTTACAGTAAAGACTTTAGTGTTAGCTGACTTGCAATATTCGTCATAAAAAGAGTATGTACTTCTACTACATCTATTTCATCATTGCATTCCTACATTTGTACTCTGTGAATTTCAGCTTAGGGCCAGCAGACAGTGGAATTGACCTCGAACGGGAAGACTGACTGAAGTTGCATGCTAGACAATCACTGAGACAGACAACATGACCTCTGACCTCAGCCACTAGAGTAGCTTGCCATGCTACACGTGCCGACAAATTAGGACTAGGTTCTATTTGTAAATCTAGGTCAGACAAGGGTGTGGTGTCCACTGTTTACAGAAAACCTCTACCTGTATAACAGAAGATAATCTCTGGTGCGCTCATGTTTCCCTCACTGGTGCCGGGGGTTTCTTGCCCTGATTGTAACTGATTTTTTTTCGTATAGTGACACAGTCATAGGGCAATATATTTAGAGCTAAAAGCATGTGTAACCAAACAGATTATGTCTTTCTTTGCTCTGGTGTGTTCAGGGAGGTGTTTGCTCATGCTTGGGTGGGGGATTCCCTAATTGAAACAGGTTTAATTGGTCCTTATCACAGGTTTTCGTTCGTTAAAACCACAGTCAGCATAAAACCAGTAAAAACCACAGCCCATTGGCTTGTTTCACAAAAATGTCCTTCCAAAGAAATTCTGAATGATTCTCCCCTTAACACTGATGCTCAGGCTTGAGCCCCAGCAGCAGCGTCATCCATTGGCCACCCCTCTATGTCACCTGAAATGGTCTGGCCCTGATTTGCATAAGTTGTCTGCGGGTAGCTGCATGACCAGCAGGGGTGGGTTAGGAGAAAGGAGTGCATGTGGACTATACACACATGAGTAGAGCCGCGGACGGACGCAGGAGCTGTGTGTGGACTGTACTGTGAAGCTGAAGCCCCGCACTGAACCAGCCAGAGTTATGTACTGTGCTCATCCTGTGTCCGGCACAGGCAACAGCCCACTCATGTACTGCTACAACATGAAACCAGTGAGTACATTTGTTTCCATCTGTTTTGTTTTTTCCATCACACTGTCAGTGGGTTTGTGATGGAGCTGAAATTGTACCTGTCAGGTGATGAGTTTGTTTGTTCCCGGGTTTGTGGGTGAACAGACAGAGCTTTGAAAGATGTGCAAATTTCCAATAAGCATGTTTAAACTTGTGTAAAAGTTTCAGGATTTTACTTATGCCATTATTTTGCCCTTTTGTAAGCCTCTAAAAGAGATGTTAGAATTTTTTTATTGTCCTGAACAAGACACTTTGACTGGATGCAGTGTTTTGTGTGTGTGTGTAACAGTGTTATGTGTGTTGGAGTGAGACAAGGAGGAAGAAAGCTTTGTGTTTTAATGAAGTCAGAGCCTGATAAGCTGCACAGGAGCGCGGTTTAAGGCTTATTCTTCCACATAAGAAGTTGCAGTTTAGAAGAGTTATTGCAGAGGCTGCAGTCTGTGACATCATAAGGTTGCATTTATTTTTTTATTATTAACAGTGCATGTGAATGAAATAATCAGATAGATAAAAATCATAAGCTCACTCTAATACTCAAACAGTCCCTCTAGATAACACTACCATATCTGCCTGATTTTTAGTTAAAAAACAAACACAAAAAAAACTAATCTACTCATTCTAAAAATTGCCATGATGAGACTTCCTGTTTCCACAGAACCATGTAAGCCTGGCAGCTGAAAACATCTTGACATGAAGCAGATTGCTTCTATTTCTATTTGATTTAGCCCCGCTATGTTGGAGCAGTCCCTCCACCACTGCAACACTTATCAAAGGCAGCTTTGATCTCTGAGAGACTAACCATATCCAGACATTGTGGATCACAGAGGCATAAAATTGGTTGCATGTGGCTGGAGTTGGCCACGGTGAAGCAAAGCATGGGTCTTGAATAGCAAGTTGATATTTCACTTATCTAGCATCTTGATGCTGGGTGCATTTACAAAGGGAAAGGTGAAGCAGCTGTTGGCTGCCCTTGTAAAACTTTAAAGGATAAGAAAGCTTTCTTTTTATATATAATAGTCATAGAGGACACTCATACAAAACGAGCATTTTAAGAAAACATTGATATATTGTATTCCAATTTTTTTCTTATTTGCATCTTAAACTATAGGGTAGAAAAAAGTCCATTATCATTTGTGATTTCATGATTGATGGTTCCTAAATCAATGCTATGCTAAAAGAGGATGCCATGGTGACGGCCCCTCTCCAGTGGGGGCCAGAGAGGGCGTGCTGGGGCGGGGGTGTGACCATTATTAACGGGTCGCCTGCTATGCTGATGGTAAGGAGGACAATTGGCTTTATCCTCTGCCATATGCTGCCCATGGCGGCTCAGACGGGCCCAGTGTCGACAGGGGCTCCTCTGTTTGGCCAAGCCCACAATCACCATGGGACTCATGCCAGGCAGGGTCACGGCTGCGTGTGTGTGTGAGTGCGCTTAAATGTGTGAGCCACGCACAAGCATACTCAAGAGAGTCCTTAATAGCCTGCTTTACAGAACTTGTCGTCCGGGTAACTGACACCCCATTGATGCTGTGCAGGGAGGTTTTTTTTTTCATTTCCTGGGGCACATCAAAGCAGTGGAGAGAACTGCAGGTGCAGCCAAGACCTCGTGGGGTGTGTGAGGGAGAGAGCGAGTGTTGGTGTGTGTTAGGTGCATATGCGATGTATGCATTCTACTATGCAGCTCAAAGAATAAAAGTATCTTGCTTTATTGCTTAGATTTGTTTTGGCTTTTAATAAAGTTTTGTCTCTCACTGGGAAAGAGTATTAAAGCGAGAATCGGTTCTCATCGTGGTTTATATTCAAGTGAGAAAGGTTCAAATTCAATTTTGTTTTGGGGTGAATTATGTGCGAGTTGTATGAAGCCAGCCAAACCTGATCATGATTAACACAGGGATTTCTCATGGTGAATGGTTCCTAAATCCGGATGAGGAGGTGCATGGATCTGCAGCTTATGGATTATCGCAGTAGCTCTAAGTGTGCATCAGCTCTCTGCTTTGTTTTCATAATGCTGGTGCTTCAGCTTGCACTCACAGGATTCACTCATTTGTATCAGTCAGAGTGGTTTGAGTGAATTACACATCCTAAAATTGGAATGCTTATATATGTATATTTTTCTAATTTATCTTTTTAGGTGTATGGTCAGTCTCCCGGCACTGACAGCATCAACCAGAACTCCTCTTCACACCCATCGAGCAAGGCCCCCAGCAATGTGTTTGCCAGCACATTCTTTGGTGAGCTCAAACCCTCCAAAATGTTTATCCATCCATAACCCATGTACATGTGACCTGTCATCCTGTTAGCAAGCTGGCCCCTATGACAAACACAAATGCAACGGATCAGAAAAAGGTTTTATCAAAACAACCACAGGACTCTGCCAGCACGCTATCTGGCCTGCCTCTGGTTCTGAATGTGCAAAGGTGAAATGTTCCCACCTTAGAGCACCTTTAGGCATTCATTAAAAAGGATTACAATAAAACCAAATAAAGTTAAGATTAATAACAGCAATAAAAAGACAGATAACAATGACTTAAATGCTGTTTGACAAAACTCTAAAATCCTGCACACTGATGTGAGGCTCTCGTCTGCTTTATTCAAGTATAATGTTCCTATAACTTATGTCCCATTACTGTATCCACCACCTTAATTTAACATTCTGCTCATGAACATCTACATATTCGCAAAGCACACACCCCAATTGGATCTGTTTGCTAAGCTGAAAATCTAAATACTGGACAATACAAGAAGTTGAAAGTATATATATAAATATATATATATTTAGGTATGTTTTCTTGGTTACGAAACATTTATTCTTTCAAATGATAATGAGCCTATGTTTGAGGTGAAGGCAGTCAATCTACAGACATACAAAACTAAATCAGGAAAATATGCAAAACTTTCCAAATGAGGAGCAAAACCCATTTTATCCTGAAAGACATGTAGTGCATGTGCGTTACAGTGAAATTCCATTGTTCTCATGGGGGCCCCCCCTTTTTCTGCCTCACAACTTCATGACTGGCTGTTTTAGATGCTGTGCCAGTGCAGGCCATAACACGGTTCTTTATTTCAGAGGGGATGAGCAATTCGCCTGACATCTGGAATGCTGTAAATGGGCTGAACCAGCAGGGCTATGAAGGTGCGCTGGGAGCCGCCTCCACCCACCAGACGCAGCCGGGCAGCTTCAGCAGCCTGCAGCCAGCACATGGTCACCTGGTGGGTTTACCTTCACCTGGATGTTGACATTAAAGCCCATTTTTTACACCTGTGGTCCTAACTGTGTGTTTGCCGCTATTCAGGACTTCTCTCCGCATACAGCGGTGGCTGATATGAACCGGAGTCTTCCACCGATGTCCACTTTTCACCGCAACAGCGCGGTATCACACACTTCAGCGGTCAACTCTTCAGAGAACTCAACAGGTGAGGAAACCGATGGGAGGAAAGTGTTTATTGTGTCTCTGGTTTGAACCCTTCTGATTACTTTTGCCTTATGTGGTTTTGTTCAGTCTCAGGGAGCCATGGAAACGTGTCAGGGGCGTCACAGACTGGTGATACCTTGGGGAAAGCTCTGGCATCTGTAAGTACTCACTTGCTCAGCCCCATTATGCCAGCTGATCTTCTGCGCTGGCTTATGTTGACAGTCAGGTCAAAGTGTAAAAACCAGTCCCCAGAGGTGTAATGCAAGGCCTCTTCCCTGCCAGTAACAGGGCAATACATATCAAAGGAGGGCTATTCTCATGCAGCGAGACTTTTTTATTGGCTGCAGACTTGTAAAATGCCCAGAATTGATGAGTTTAGTTCAGGTTATGAGTGAGCCAGAGCGCTGCGAGGGTTGTGGAAGCAGCTGTAAAAGCCTACGTGGAAATGACAAGTTGTGCTTTTAAAATGATCCATGCCCCAGTCTCACTTCTCCTGCTCCCTCTCTCTGTCAGATTTATTCCCCTGATCACACCAGCAGCAGCTTCCCCTCCAGCTCCTCCACTCCGGCGAGGTCTCCGTCTCCACTGCCAAACACAGCCGAGCCTGCAGGTAAACAGCGCCCTGCTGCATGGCTGCAATGCAATATGGAAAGGTTTTTTTATATGAATTCCACATCACATCATGCCCCTTCTTTTTGTCTTTTTTCCCTCAGGTACGAACATGTGGCCTCGCAGTTCAGTCCAGGCACCAGTCTCCCCACAGTATGAGTCCTCGCTCATATCAATGGTAAAGAGCTTCTTTATACAGCTAACATAAAGTGAAACCCACCACACAAAGGGGGTGAGATGATGATCACAGGGAGGGAAAAATCTGAAAAGTACTAACACAGTAATAGCACTGTCAGAGTCAGAATCAACCCATTAAGATTACATAGCACCTTGTGGTTGCTTTATGCATTTTGTGGATTGCCACTCTGCTCTAATAAAATTAATCAGATACTAGAAATCCAGCATCATCAGATTAAAATGAAATCCCAAGTAACTGAATTTAACTCCACTTACATGTGTGATGATCAGACTTAGAAAAATAATTGTGAGTTTAATGTTTTCTCACACAGTCCACACATCACTGCCTCAGATACATATCAAACCATAACTCAGCTCTACCTCTGACTTTTGATACTGAGGCTGTTATCCAGTTAAATTCCTAATGATCCACTTAGAGATCACCACTTGACTTAATACTATTACTACTATAATAGATATCAAGATTGAAGGAAAAATAAAATGAATAAATATAGCTTTGCCATACATGCCAAACCACATGTATAATCCTAGTTAACTCTCAAAAATCCCCAGTGATCCTTTCATCTGATTGAAAAAATCCTTTTTAGGATGTTGCTTTATAGTTTAGAATTGGCTCAACTCCATCTTAAATCAATGCTAAAAATCTTTGTCTCCTGATGTTTTTCAGTCTCAGGTGGAGGACCGACTGGACAGACTAGATGATGTAATCCATGTTTTGAGGAACCACGCTGTGGGCCCCACCGCCGGTCTCCCCACCGACATCCACGGCCTGCTGAACCAGTCCCACCACGCTCACCCAGGCTCTGCCAGCACTTTACCACTCACCTGTCACACTCCAGCCATGGTTAACAAACATTTCTTTGAAGTATTTAAAGCGGGGAAGGGCTCTGCGCATGGAAATTCCATGTTGAGTGCTGCTGGTATTCAATTTCAAGAATTTTCCACCAGCTATGTCTGCATGTTTTCCTCATGTAAAGGTTGTTGTCCTTGAAATAGGAAACTGAGCACAATGGGAGAGTGCCGTAATGTGTCACCCTTGTATTGAAAGCGTCCAGTATGCGCATACTGTTATTCCACCGTGGGGTGATGGGGACGGCAGCATTGTGCTCTCCCGTTCCAGCTCGTTTCCCTTTCGGCAGACCTGGTGATTTCAGCCCAGCTGGAGTGGAAGTTCCCAGTATGCAGGGGCATGGGGTTTTTGGGCTAATCCTTCGGGAGGTGGGGGTTTTATATTCCTTACTTTTATGTTTTTTTTCCAAACAGTGTGTCAGATAGAAGTTAATCATTCCTGAAGAGAATTAGGGGTATGTTTAGGGAGCATATAGTAGTTTTAAGAGAAGGATTAAGATCATCTTAGATTAAATTAATTCTGTAGAGCTTGAGAGCTCCCCTAGGGCAGATGTTTGAGTTGTGACCAATGTGCCACTGGTTGGATATTGCATTGTAAGCCATAAGATTGTTTTCTCAACATTGAGAGGGTCTCTATCTGCAGAATACAGAACTATAGGCATAAAACCACACTTGTCTCATTCTTTATGTCACAAAGGTTGAAGCTGTCACTCTGAACAACAACCACTCAGCCTTTCAGAGCCGCGCACAAAATGGCCACCCGTACCCGGCCAGACAGAGGCCCACACTTCAGCCTGTACAAGGAGGAGGAGGTAGAGGAGTTATTGCTCTCATTCATCAGCCTCTCTGTTTATACAGTTGACCTCTGTGTAAACTTTTGAGCCTTTTTCTGTTGTTTTTTTTTAACTGCTATACTTTCTATGACCTTGCACAGGTGGTTCAGGACTTCAGAGTAATCTGGAGCTTAAGATGGAAAGCAGGGAATTGGAAGAAATGATGCACAACAATCACGGTTCCGACAGCCCGAGATCAGATGAGGAGAGTGAGCACAAAACACACAGGTAAAAAAAAAAAAAGCATTCAGTTGTTCAATAGAAAAGTGTTTTAATGAATATGGGATCAGACCTGAACCGAGTATTAATAATCTGCTATGGATAAAGCTAAATCCCTAAATCCCAAAGAATAATGTGCTATGACACATCAATATAGTATTTTTTTTTCAAAGTTTTTTTGGGCTTTGTCACTCCCCAAGGATCATTTCAGTCAGCATTTTAAGATGCTAACAGGATTATTCTTCAGAATATGATAACGCATCAAAGAAAATGTGTGAAATAATTTAGCATTATTGATAAATCACTTACTTGCTTGGTGAATCAACTGTGTATGTCATGTTTGTTCATCACATCAAACTTGGCCTTAAAAACTCACAGATTAGGGCGCCTGTCCCGGTTTCTCGACTTTTAGAAGTTGATTTAGGTTAAATCTCTTTAACAACATCTGCCCTGGTGTCTGAGTGGGCGCTTTCCATTTATTTGCATATAGTGACATCTACAGTAAGATGTTGATCTCCTGCAACAATTTCCTGTCAACCGAATCAAAATTATGCAGAAAAACTATAAGATAATGCAAAATGTTGAATGTGACACTAAGAGTGGATATCAGTCTAAGATAGACAGTTTAAAAGTGATTTTCAAACAACAATCTTCTCATGAGTTAGCTGTTGATTTGATGTCCAAGCTGAATAAGCGTTAAACCTTCTGCCAGTGGAGATTATCTCAGAAAACCAGATCATAATGTGGACTCATTGTCCAGGAGAGGGCAGAAAAATCCACAGTGTGACACAACACAGCTCCCCTTTTTCCACTGTATTCGCATCCAGTGTTGCAGGAATATGAGATTTTCAAAAACATATCTTTGCCGAACAGTACTCATGAAGACGAGGACCTGAGCCCAGAGCAGAAAGCTGAGCGCGAGCGGGAGAGGAGGATGGCGAACAACGCCCGGGAGCGCCTGCGTGTGCGGGACATCAACGAGGCCTTCAAGGAGCTGGGCCACATGTGCCAGCTGCACCTGAAGAGCGAGAAGCCGCAGACCAAGCTGCTGGTGCTGCACCAGGCCGTGGCCGTGATCCTCAGCCTGGAGCAACAAGTCAGAGGTCAGGGCACGGGAGGGCCGGGAGCTGCTGCCAGCCCGTTTATTCTTAGATGAAGATACGGGCAACTTTCCTTCTATAAGACTTCAGGCAATGTTTATTTATTTATTCTTATGAAGAGGTATTATTTCAAATGCTGCTCTGATTTAAGTTGAATGTGCTTTAATGCATACGTTGCTGACCACACGGGGGCAGCACCGTGTGGCCTAAAAAGTGGAAAAACTCACATAGAAGAGACTTGCTGAGGAGGTGGTGGTTTTGCCTAAATGACTAAAAATGCCGAATACCCACATGAACCGAGATGTTTCTGACTTTGATTGGTCGGAAGGCACATGTTTAATTAGCCACTTATCAAAAATATCAAAAAAGCAGTTTCCCAGAACTGAAGTATTTGGCTCAGCTTTGTACGCTTCAAAGTGTTGTCATCAGCCATGATTTACTGTAAATGTTTAAGTTTCGTCAATTGCTAACACTTCCCTGCATCCCACAGAGAGGAACCTGAACCCAAAGGCAGCGTGTCTGCGGAGAAGAGAAGAGGAGAAGGCATCCTCCATCATGGCAGATTCTCATCTGGGCTTTCACCCAAGTCTGACAGACCCGGCAAACCCCATGGGCCACCTCTGAGCGCCTGAGCCCCAAAGTCCATAATCAAGTAATTACCTTAAACCATACATCTGATCAGTTCAAATAAGCATGTCTGAATGTCAGCTAGCAAAAATACCTGTGATGCCTTAAAGCTATCTCACTTTAACCTATAAACTTTTCTAATGCAGTAAGGATGAGTTACATATGATTAAAGAGAAATGTATAAATTGTATTTACAGTTTTATTGCCTATTCACTGTTTTTTTTTTAACGTCCAGATGTTGACTGAAGAACACCCCAGGGCCACCCAGCTACGTCCGAGGTCCAGTGTGGATGCAGACCGGAGCAGAGAGCTCATCCTCTCTGATTAGAACACGTGATGCAGTTGAACAATCATCTCTTTTGCTTCCCAAAATGGACTTTCTACTTTGTGCCTGAACTTTACTTGTAACAGACAAATGCATTGTACGCTGCAGATGTTTTGTACATATTTTGTATATTTATTGGATGTGGATGAAACCCTGGGACAGACACAGGCTCATCTGCAGGTGGCGTTTGGGATCGACATTCTCAGTGTATTGCTACTGACCACGTACACTTTGTAATGAGCTCAGAGGACCGACATTCTCACATTTATGTTTTCAGACATGTTTAGTTTGTCCTGTGTTATGTGTGTGTGCGTGTGTGTGTGTGTGTGTGTGTGTGTGCATGTGTGTGAGCCAAGTGTAAGTGTTACGGGGGTTTGAGCATTCTGTGAATGAACAGAACTCCAAGAATGTTCTCTGGTGTGTCATTTGCTGTTTGTAAATTTGTTATATATATACATATATATACATATATATTTGTGTCATTGCACTGTTAACAGGATTACACTTACTGAAACCCTGGTGGACAGAACCTCTTTTCTCACTTTAATGATTGCTTTTCAGATGTAGTCAAACAAGCTATTTGCATGTTTGAGTTTTTAATAGAATTCCCTTTTTTAAGTTAAAAGTTATGTTTTATACAAATATTGCAAAGTTAATCATTTCTGTATTTGCTTTTAATAATGATTTTACATATGGAGACTGTTTTTGTGCAGTTTACTAGTTGTAGCCACATTTTGTGCTCTGAGAAATATTGCATTGCAGAGGATCGATGTTTGCTTCATATAATGAAAATAATCTGAAAAATATCACGTGTACAATATGTGTACAGTTTAAGGTAGCTTGCAGGCATGTAACAAAAATGGCAATGTAGCAATAAATGTCTCTTTTTCCAATTCCTGGAATCTGTGTTTTTCATTGTATTTACTTTCATGTTTGAAAAAACAACACACAACATATTTAGGTCGTCCATTCAGTTGATAAAGGGTGTTTTTGATGTCTATGCTGTGGTTTGCAGTGATAATCATACAAAATAGTTTCTGTTTTTTGGGGGGGGGGGATTAGTTATTGCTGAATTAAAACACCATCTATGTCTGTAAGCTTTAATTGGTCTGTTTTCAAGACCAGATAAGGACCAGACATTGATAATGATAAAAAAAAATCCTGACATGCAAAACCATAATATCAACAGAGGTGCTTTTTCTGCTGACCATATTTTATTTAAGGGATTATCTTATGTTTGTGATCTTTGAAAAGACACGATGTTGTGACTTTCTAACAAAAGCTTTTGGACAACAGAGGAAATAGCTTTTAGGTTTAAAAAGCAGATAAATAAAAAAACAGTGGCTAACAGAATCCCTTCCCTTAAAGTTCATATTAATCATGATGCTTAAAAACGGCTGATATTCTACGAGAATGAGGAGAGGTCTTAAACGCAGCACGCTGCTTTTATGTTCTGTAATCTTTTTAAAATCCGAGAAAAAGATCCGAATTCCTCGCTGCTCGGGGGCTTCAGTGGATGGATAATTACAGGAATAATTCAAAAACTGGGTCCGTCGGTTCTTCTGACGGTAGGTGGGTTCTTCTACTGAGCAGCAGGCGGCGGCGGTCATAGGATGGCAGAGCCGGGAGTGAACGCCTCTCGGCGCGGGCAGAGGGCTGGAGTCCGGATGGAGGAGGGCAGTCTGCGCGGACAGGGGAGGGAGACTCACCGCGCACACTGGACACGCTCAGCGGGGAAGTTTCTCATCGATTGGGGCCAAGATCCGCGCAAAGTTGCTGACTTTGTACCGACTTACCATCTGCTGCGATCAGCAGCGCCTTTAGATGTTTAGCTTCAACCTATTAGACTCCTTTTTATTTCCCACTTCCTTCTGGCATTGGACTCTACAACGCACAGGTTTGTGAGGTATGTGAAAAAGGACATTAGTATTATTGGTGTTGCACTCAAGGGGAATTAGAGTACAATGGGATAAAAGCAGTTTTTATCCTTTTATACTACCTTTAAAATATACTTAACAGATGATTGAGAACTTGATTGTTACAGTCGCTCACAGAGCAGACTTCTTTGGGGTTTTATTGGTTCAAAGGAATATTCGAGTTGATGAAATCATATTTCAGCATGACAGTCGTTCAATGAAAGGAGAACCCCTCAGAATCATTTGTAAAGTTGGAATTCATTAGGGCATCTTGTTAGAGTGAATGTTGCCCAGTGTTTATGGTGTAAAAGAACAAATAAGCAGCCAAAGATCCAGCAAAAGGGACTTTGAAATACATTTGTGTGTTAAATTCCTCAAAATTCAGTTTGAAACAGCTCAGTGTTGAATCGGTTTGTGTTTTAGTCACATTAGGTCTGTAAATAAGTTTTTTATTTAATCTAATTTTGGAGGCACTTGACGGGGTTTCATTAATTTTGTGCACGCTTCTATTTAAATCCAAGTCATAGCTTCTTTTTTTAACCTACAAAAAATGTTGCCTAAATTTGCAGTAAACAAAGGCCAAAAAGTCTGAAAATAACATGTTTTTAGAAAATAATCTTACCAGCCACTAAAGTGACTTAAGCGCTACTGAGTCTAAAAGGCATAGGAATCTTGTTGGGACACACTTCTGTCTCCTGGGTGAACGTCGTGCGATCTAGAACAGAACCGACGCCACCGGCCTCCCGTTACCGTCTATAGCAAAGTTAAAGTTCTCACTCTGAAGTTTTTCCCATCCTTTCCAAAGAAGATAGAGAAAGGGACGGGTCCGTAAGGAGCTACTACCACTGGGGACAAGGAAGGGGATAAGGGGATACCGGGAAAGGAAAAAAAGCAAGCCAACAAACAAAAAAAAAGATTTTATGAATGAACCACAAAGGAGAATAATGCTAAGAAACTTTGTGATGACATAGATGTGTTACACTCCTTCATATCATTGATTAAAGGGGCCCCTGGAGGGGTTTTTAAGAAGACGCCGTGATGGTTACCACACAGCACCTCTTGTGTTCGGGCTCTTCTGTCTGACAGTGGTTTGTTTATTGACAAACATTTTCCTCAAGTGTCATACTATAAATGGGTGACGACACCTCCGAGACCCCGGCCAGTCGCAGACGTCATGCAGTACGCTCAGCGGAGGCTGGACAATAGTGGCCCTGTGGTCAGCACACAGAGGGAGCTGTTTTCATTGCGCAGCAATATCAGCCTCTTCATGCCCGTCCTCATGGCGGCTGAGAGCAGCCGTGTGAGGAGCTCCCATGATGTTTGTCACGGTGCGCGCCGGGGCTCTCACCCTGCTCCGCTGTTTTGTAAACAGCTTATTTGGCCCGCGAAGTCCCCGTGTATCAGTTTTCAACTCACTCTCCCACACACGGCCCGTTGCCTTTGTAACAGGCTTATCTGTGTTTGGTCTAGATCGTCTGTGGACGCAGCAGAGGCAGGATGGAGTCTCACAGACTGAGCAGCTCCTCGGACGTAAGGATACAGAAGGGCTACGGGCTGCAGGGCAGCCCCAGAGGAGGCCAAGACAACCAGTTCGGAGTGAGGGTGCAGGTTCAGGGCATCAAAGGCCAACCCTTCGTCATTCTGAACAGCTCCACTCAGGACAGCCACAAGGACATTTCTGTCATAACCCACCAGGCAGGGTACAACCCCGGCATGGTGAGGAGGTCTGGGGATGAAAGACAGTCTCCGTCTGAGGTCCAGAGGCCTGCCAACCCCTCTGCCTTTCATTATCAGAAACACCCAGAGATCCTGAGACCTTATGACCCTGAAAGTAATAGTCTGAACCTCCTTGGTCCTTCTCAAAAAGCCTCATTTTCTCGACCTGGGCAGCCACACTCTGACCTCCCCTCTGAGGGAACCCAGGCCTCTCATGTAACCAAACCAAGGATCCCCCTCCCAGCAGAGGGCCCAGAACTAGATCCAGCAGAGGTTATCCAAAAGACGTATGCCTCGGGTGGGCATGTTCCTGCACGACCGCCAAGTGCAGTGGAGACAGACTCCATCGTGTCTGTTGGGAAGCTAATAAGCCAGTTTAACAGCAATCTACGGAGGGGGAGGGGTCCAAGGAACAAGCTGGACCTGGAAGCATGTCGGCGGTCGCGCAGCGTGGACAGCAGCCGTCCCTCAGACGCCTCCTTGTCCCCCTCAACCGGTAGAGCCTCATCTATGAAGGGCATCAGGGCAGAAACCCCAGGCGGGGTGTATCCTCCTGGTTCAGCCAGGGCTAGACTCCTCAGTGGAGAAGCCACTTTGACAAGAAAGGGAGAGGAGACCCAAACAAGGACACTGACCAAAGGGCAGCGCGGCAAAGAAACCGTACCGGTACAGGCCGCAAAACCCTCTCTCATAGGAGGAAAAGCCTCTTTGCCCAGACCAGGCGGCGATCAGTCTGCTGAATCTGAGGAAAGAGACGCACAGGTGAGAAAAGTTTCAAGGGTCAAAGTTGTCTATGAAAAGGTTGTATTTATTTACTGTGAATGTCCTAAGCAGGTCACTCCTGATCTTCTGAAAGGACGGCAAGAGCTGTCAGCGGATCCCCCCGAAGACACAACAAAGCAAATTCTGTTCACTTACCTGAAGGATGGGTAAGAGTCTCCCATTTTTCTGCGTTTCAAAGTCGGTTTGAAACTATAGCCTATCATTCTTCATTTGTCTTTGTTTAGAGAGCATTTATACTGGAGCAATAGTAAATATGAAAAGGCTTTAAGATGAGCTCTGCATGAAGACTGGGCAGTTGTATTTGTTCAGCTTTTAGACACAAACTATAGGCAGATAAAAAACAGCTGTCATGGCACTGAGCAAATTTAAAGAGGTACTTTTCTATATGATACGTGTTTTCTTTAAAGGAAGAAAAAGACATTTAGAAAAAAGTTTTTTTTAGTCAAACAAAACAGAAAAACCCTTCATAACATCACCAGGTCACACAAGCTGAAGGCTATAGTTTTTATTTTCGGCTCGTAGATGTGGAAGTGGCATGAAAAAGGAAAACAGTTGTGCATAATTAGAACCCCAAAAAGTTTTCCAAAAGCGCGTTTAGTACAAAAGACTACCAAAAGGTAGTATATCTGGGAATCTCTTTCTAAGGCAGAAGTAGCTGATGGTGCTATCAGTCTGGGAACAATAACAAAACCATATCTACACAGTTTGGACTCCACTAATCCACAGTCAGACAGATTGTGCCTAAATGGCGGGAATCAGATCACTCCAGAAACGAGGAGATTAAGTCTGTGGGGTCACAAAGAAACACAGGGTTTAAAGAACTTAAGACCTCTTACATTGGGTAACCTTAATGCTCAGATCCCACTATTAAGATAAGACAACAGTGTTTTTTTTTTTTGCCTCATTTGCTCTCCACAAAGCACATTGATTCCCATCGAATGTTTGCCAAAGTTCAAACAGTCAGACCAAAAAGCTCTTGGAAAATTGTTTCATGTTCAAACAGAAACTAGACCGGCTTGAATAAATGAAATGTTCAGACAACAGAAAACAAATCTAACTTACAAAACATGGTGGTGGAATTACCAGGATTGGGATGTTTACTGTGTTTAACCAATAACAATAATGTCATCACTGATGAAGCTTCTTAAAGCTTCAATCCCGAAGGATCATTCTGTCTTATCTGCATGTAAACTGGCATTTAAGATAAAATGTATACTGTAAGGTAACACTTTACACACAAATTGTTCCACCAAAGATTAATTTGTGTTGTAAAAACAACTGAATGAAAGCTTTCACCTCAATCCAAAAAGCCTGAATAAGCTATTCATGTGAGACTTGAACTTACACTTAAACCTTTGCCAATAACTGATATGTTATTGGAGCTGTTTTCTCAATAAAGACAGAAACAGATGCTCCCTATTTGCAACAATTGAAATGAGTTGGGATATTTGTTTTGTGTTTAAAATCAAGCAAACTTTTTTTTATATAAAACTGACTTTTCAGCCCATCCCAAAGCTTTCCTTTTATTGTTCCAGCTGTGTGCACTCATTCACGCAGTCGTCAGGAATGCAGAGTATGAACATGTTTTTCACTGATAAAATAACTCCTTCACATGGAAAATGTCAAACATTTACCAGCGCCATTTGGAAAAATATGCTGAAATCTATTGGCTGTGCACATCAGGGAGTTCAAGAAGAAAAAGTCATAGCTTTTCCTTTTCGCATAGCTTAACCAAGTCGCGCCTCTTGCACAGAAAGAAATGATGCTGCTAAAGTCTTAAATCCACCAATACACTTTTTTTTGTTTTTTGCTTCTCAGGACGACTGATGATGACTCCACTACCCAAAGAAAAGTCAACCTGCTGCTTACAAGAATAAGCGAGCTGAAATGGAGGACTGCTGAGAATGTGGAGGAGGAGGAGGAGAAAGTGAGATGTTAACAATGCTGACCACTGTTCAGCATGATTTATGTCTTTGGTTTAAACTCCTGATGACACTGTGGATTCTTGGATGTCTCTTTTTCAAATATGTAGGTATACACAACAGAGGCGAAGCTCCTGCTGGACAAACAGGCAGCTCTGGAAAAGGAAGTGGCTCATTTAAAGCAAAAACTGGAAATTGAGATTAAGGTGTAGCACGACTCCCCATTCTGCTGATTCAGCTCCGAAGAACTCATTTCCTGTTCCTGTGACTGATCATGTTCCCCTCTGTTGTTCTTCTCCTGAGCAGAATGAAATGACTTTAGCCAAGGCCTTTGAGAAGGCCAGGACAGAGAAGAAGAAGCTTCTGGAGGAACTGAGCAAAAGTCAGGCCGAGCTCCGCCAACTCAGGGACAAACTTGCTGACATTGAGGCAGAACTTCAGTCTGCTAAACAAGAGTGAGCAAAGTGAATCACGGTTTAGAGATACTCACATCAGCCGAGGGCTCTGCTGATCAGTCTTGGCGTCCAGCCGCTGGAATCTTTCTTATTTCGTCGGTTTGATAGAAATGTACACTGTTTTTGCAGGTCACTAACATCTGGTCATAGGAAAAACTTATCAGTGTAGCACCATGAGTCAGATAACATAGTTGCTGCCATTCTCACACGATATCAAGGAGGGCAGGCTACCCTGGCGTAGAATAAAGACTGGAAACAGGATGAAGTAGCAAGCCTGCTGTTTCCTGTCCTCTGAAAGTTGTTGCTGTTGACCTTTGAACCCCATAATTCACATATAGTTTAATAAATGAGACTTAATGTGCCCCATAGAGTAGTGGACGTGTAAATTTAGTCACATTTGGACAATTAGTCAGGTTAATTGTTTATCCAGTGCCATTCTGTAGTAAGCTAAGCCAACCTAACCACCGGCTGATGGTAGCAGCATTTTCATAGAATGACCCACACAGACACAATACAGAGCATTTTTCTTATATAGAGCATAAAATTAAAATATCTTTTAGTCCAATGCACTCTAAAATTATTCGTTTAAATTTAAGAGACTGCATTCATAGTTTTTTACTAGTTTTGCAGACCATTAAAAGCACCGACACATTAGAGTCATCTGCAAATGTAGATGCTACACATTGCTTTTCAATCTTAGGTGCGCACGCACCATTGAATGTATTAGAAGCAAAGTTGGGCTGTGCACACTGGGACACAGACTGGAGAATCTGGACATCAAATTCTCTCCCTTCAAATTGGCAAATAACCACTCTTATGTCGATGTTACAACTGCCTCGACCGCTATGGATCAAATGAAATTAGATTGTTAAAAATAACAGGAAAATACAAAACTCAACAGGGTTGACTCAGTGCCATATTCCACTGTCTTTCATTCGGCCTCCACTAACTGAACAGAGTCCAATGTATGACATTTTCCTGAACTGCGCGGGTCATTTTATCCATTTAGTTGTACTGAGCATGGAACCTTAAGGAAAGGTAATCAAGCTTTTTTTCTGAAATTAGAATGTGAAACTAATATCCGCATCTGCTGAATTTGTCAGACTGACTCAGATGAAGACAGAGAGAGAAATATCTAAAGCAGAGATGAAAGACCTTCAGCAGCAGCTGTCCGACATGCACGATGAGTTGGACCAAGCTAAGAAGGGAGAGGTGATAAATGCAGAGAAGGAGCTCCTTCTTCGGGTAAGTGAAACCACATGGACCAGAAAAGCCTCCCCGATCAGCAGCAGCTGGAAAAGTGAGTCCTACCTGCCCTGTGACTTTTTGTTGGATGGATTCTCTTGTCAGGATTTGGCTCAGCTGCGCTGGGACTTTCAGGAGATGCTGCAGGTTAAGGAAGAGCAGGAGGATGTGCTGCAGCACAGGGAGAGGGAGCTCAGCGACCTGAAGGGGGCGCTTAAAGAGGAGGTGCAGACTCACGATAAATATCTGGCTGCTTTGAAGGAAGAATATGAACAGCAGCTTGAGAAGCTGCTAACGGACTTAGAAGCTGCCAAACAGGTAAAAGGAATTATTCTCCATATTCTAAAGCTGTCAAAATGCATTTTACCTCCACTCTGATCAACGATTCCTTATTCTGCCTCCTAGAGCAATGCTTTGCTGGGTCAGGAGAAGGTTGTAGCAGAGGAGGAGAAAGGCACGGCTAAGGTCCAGCTGAAGGAGCTCGGCCAGGAGAGAGAACAGCTGAGAGGAAAGGTCAGAGAGCTCAACAACAAGACGGATCAACTCGGTCAGGTGATCCAGGAGTGTAAGGCCGCAGAGAGACTGATGGAGCAGCGGACAAGGCAGCTGGAGGTGGGAAGAAGATGTGGGTGGTGATAGAGAAATAGCTGAAACAAACATCACTACGATATCTGGTTTAATCTTTGTTTCAAGATGCTTTAGATCAGAGTTGACACCACAAACCAGATTTTTCCCACATGCTCTTTTTGTTCCTTCCCTCAGAGGGAAAAGCAGCAGCTGGAGGAGATGCTGAATGATGTGAGAAGGAACGAGGAGGAGATGTGTCAGTCTAACCAGTCTTTGCTTAGTCGCCTGGAAGATGTGCAGGTAATGAGAAAAAAGGCTTCACGTGGCTGATGTCCTGAGATGAGCTCATGGATTATCCCTCCTGTTTTTCAGAGTAAGCTGGCCAAACTTAACCACGAGCACAGGGAGCTGAAAGAGAAACTAAAAGAAGAAAGGAAACAAATTGAGGAGTTGTGGAGGACAAAAACCGAACTAGAAGATGAGAGAATGCTGCAGGACAGGGCTATGGAGCAACTGCAGAGGAAGGTGAATTCCACATTCTTCTGAAGCCTGAGAGGCTTCACTCAGTTTAATCAGAACAGACGGAACTGAGATCAAAGAAATGGGCAAAAAAAATAGCGTGCTTACATGCTCCTTTAATCCCACATGCCTATAAATCCATACACATGAACTCATCTGAGATCTTTGCTTATCTGTCCGCTCAGATGAATAACATCGTGGAGGAGTGCGAGGCGTCTACAGATGTACTTCAGAACCAGGTCGATGAGGCCAAAGAGAGGAGTCAGAGGGAGCTGGCTGAGCTGCGCAGGCAGCTGCAGGAAAAGGGAGCAGAGCTGGAGAAGTCCAGACAGGCAGCCAAAAAACTGCAGGAAGAGGTGTGGCACTCATTGTCTCTGATGTCTTGGCGCTCTGAGTCACCGTTTGAATAACAAATCAAATATAGGCTGAAAAATGTGTCATTTCGATTGTTTTTTTCCCCCTCCCGTGCAATTTAAAGTTTTGTTCGCAATGCGTATACAAGCGATTGAATGGTGATCAGACAGAAATGGCAGGCTCCCCACTTTTTACCGTCTTGATTGGCTTGTGTGAGTTTGTGGTCTGTTGTGTGTCCAGCTGCTTCCTTTGGAGGAGGATCTGCGGCGGTGTCGCAGGGAGCAGCAGGAGGCCCAGCAGAGGGGGGGGCAGCTGGAGCAGAGGGTGGAGGAGCTGGAGGAGAAGAACGCCGCCACACTGGAGGAGCGAGAGCGGCACGTCAAACTCATGGAGGTATCAACAGGAGAAATAACAAGAGTAATGAAGTGTTGGTGTCTGGTGAAAACAAAAGCATTTGATATTTCTTACGACATTATAAGCATTTGTTCAATTGTTTCCATTGTATTAACAGAGGGAGAACATATTTGATATTATTACAATTACTTTTTACCATTGAATCTAGTTTTAGACTTCCTGCACTCCCACACAGAAATAAATGCTAAACATTTAAATCTCTTCATAGCTGTTTTTTGGGGGGATCATGGATCCCCCTGAAAAAAATGAATGAGTGCATTTTTTCTAGAGAATTCTGAAACCAACTGACACAACACACTGCTTTTGCTTCACACACTGATTAAGTTAAAATAGTTTTCAGACAAATAAAGAAGTAAAGTTTTTTGGCTTGTTTTGAGACATTTTCAAGATCTTAATATAGATATGCAAACAATGTAGAATTTATCATAATTTATTCATTTTCTTCAGTGCTATGAAGAAAGCCAAAAAGCAAAACTGAAAAAACAAATAATCTTTCTTATAAATGTTGACCGTTTGGTATAGTGTTTCCAAAGAATGAGATTCGTCAAAAAGCAGTTTGTAAGCAAGTTGTTTTCCATTAAAATCTCCCCTAATCTCAGAATTTCAGTGTATGCAATTTGATAAATATAGCTTGAAGCAATAAAGTCAACATTGTTCGTGTGGACACAATACAAATGCCAGCAAACCCGGCATTTGGTGCCAAGTGCTGATCCCTGTGGAATCCCACAAATGACCCTCTCGCAGCTCTGCCATGTATTTTCACACACTGATATGTATCATGAAGGCTGCTCCAACACGTGTTTACCCGCCGTGGTGCCTGCCCCGTAACCTGTGTGTGTGGACTGGGAGGGGATGGACGCAGCTCTGCCCACTCAGCTGTGTTCTCTGTGCTGATGATAAAACGTTACACAAGAGCGCGCTCGCTGTTGACACTACATATCAACCGAGGAAGCTCGTGTTTACTGTGAAAAGTTAACAGACCTGTCTCCGTGTGTTTCCAGAGATCCTCTTTCTCCCCCCCCCCCCAACACTGTCTGTAGTCACACACTTCCTGCAAGTGAAAAATGTGCATGCGAGTGTGCAGAGTGTTTGATTCTTCGTGGGTATTGAGCGTGCAGGGGCCACACCCACACCACAGCCTGCTCTTATCTGCTCCGCTGGTTGATTTTGCAACACTGCATGATATCTGCCCCGCGTTTCCCTCCTTTTAGGGGCGCATCGGTCAGCTGGAAGAAGATCTGAGTGAAGAGCGCAGCAGTTCTGACCGCCTGATGGAACGGGTGGAAAAAACCAAAGAGCAGGCAGGTTTCACTATCACTGCCTTGTTTTTTTTTCATTAAGACAAAGCCTCTATTTGGCATTTCCTAACAGTCATCCACTTCTCCCCCTGCATCCTATTATTCATAGAATTACTGCTGCCTTACTGAGGGCCCAGCCTTACATCTGTTTTCAATATAAACACATGTAGGGTGGAGCGCTTGGATCCCCCCACCCCCACCCCAGACAATGACAGCTGCTGATTGGTGCTTCAATCCTGGCTGTGAAACCAGCATTTTTCTTCACGTTCAGCTATTTCTCTCTTTGAGAGGTTTGATCCATATGGTGTCAGTTTAAACTCTAGCAGGGGAGACCAGTGTCTTCTGCATCCATGTGAAATAGGCCACCATACTCGAGAACAAAGTGGTTCGGACTAATTGAACCAAAGCACTGTTTTGAGTCCAGTGCGAAGACAAAAAACAGCTAACTGTTGTGAACAGCTATTCACATTCCCTTCACTGGGCCTCTCCATGGAATTAGCGATGAAATGTCCTTAGATCTAACGCAGCCTCTCAAGCCAGACTGCATTTCCTGTGAATTCAGTCATTAAGATGACTGTGTTTGTCACCAGATTTTATGCTATCTGATGTCAAACAGTCGTGTTTTAAGTCAGTTGAAAAGGGGAGGCGTTCCATAATAAGCTCTGTGCTTATGAATAGTTACTGAGGATAACTGGCTCAGTGTACACATGCCAAAATTTGTTAACTCACCGAACACTTTTGAACTGGAATTGAACACTAAAAGACAGGTTTGTGTCTGGGATTTGGTGTGTGTGACAGATGGATCTGATGAGGAGCGAGCTGTTGCAGGAGCGGGCGATCAGGCAGGACCTGGAGTGTGATAAGTTGAGCCTGGACAGGCAGGTAATGACCCCTGACCCTGCACACTGCAACACTGAGGAGGAGGAGAGGGCTGAGGAGGGAGGGCCAACGCTCTCTCTCTCACAGGTTAAAAGAAAGGGGCTGCAGGCTGCTCCTCGTTTGGCCACGCTCTCCCTTTCAGCCAGTTCATGAAAAATTCATATAGGTTGTGGTCCTGCTTACAAACATAAAGACAAGCACACAAATCATATGAAATAATCACATTGCATTAACAACATATTAGTCTTTTTAACCCACAGTTTATTTGAAACAACTCACACAAACATGCAAAGGTTTGTGAGAAATCTTTACAATCAACACAATAGCAGATTCCACCTGTAGCAGAATGTCTTTATGTGTGTGTGGAAATCCTAAAAAAGGTTTAGTTTGGTCAGCTTTGATTGACCGTTGACTTGTTCATAAGGAGTTAGTAGTGAAAGAAAAAATACATTTGTGCACATCCAATGGAGACTGGGGCCTCTTTCTCTGGGAATGCAAATAATAATGATGAAGAAGCAGAAGATGGACTCATTCAGAGAAGCCATGTGAACAACTTTGAGTAGCTACCTGAGACATCACTGTCTCTCGTCAAGCTTATTTATGCTTATGTGGTATAGAGCTGCAGTCAGAGTAAAAAAATGACATAGCTGTTTCCTCTATTAGAATAAAGACCTGAAGAGCAGACTGACTCATTTGGAAGGTTCGCAGAGGACCAATCAGGATTCCCTCGTGTCCAAACTGAACAGCCGCATCCAAGAGCTGGAGGAGAGGCTGCAGGGGGAGGAGAGGTGAGCACCTTCACATACCAGCTCAGAACTGTTCCTGTTACCTCTCTTTATTTCTTCTTATGTACAAAGCGATCCCAGTAGAAAGCCTGAATGTGTCACAATCATGTAACTGTGGATAACAGCTCCATCATATAGCTGCTGTGGAAGCTGAACACACTCATATCACTTTCCCTGTGGCTGTCAGAGGGAACCTCTCATCCCAGCGCGGGGTGTTGGGTTACTGGGGGCTAAAGCGGCGCTCTGATGTGGTGGTGCTTTTGCTCTCAGGGACAACAACAACCTGCAACAAGTCAACCGTAAGCTGGAGCGTAAGGTGAAGGAGATGAGGATGCAGGCGGACGAGGAGCGCGTCAGCCTCCAGACCCAGACCGATCAGGTGAGCACGCCTGATAGAACAGAGCCCAACCCCACAGCGGGCCACCGGGGCTCCTCATCCAGCATCTCTCTCTGGTGAACCCGGCAGCTGACTCAGAGGCTGAAGACGGCAAAGAGGCAGATGGACGAGGCGGAGGAGGAGATCGAGCGTCTGGAGCACTCAAAGAAGAAACTGCAGAGAGAAGTGGACGAGCAGATGGAGGCCAACGAGCAGCTCCACGGCCAGCTAGGTGCTCTGAGGAACGAGATGAGGTCGAGTCCTGCCTTCACTCTACTGCTGTGTGGAGCCATGTTGTCATCCAGCTCTTAAAACTTCATCGTGTTATTTTTTTCCTTTTGCATCAGCAGGCGGAAGAAGAAATCCTCCTCCATTATTAAGGTTGTGGATGACGAGGTGAATGACAGGGACGACTTTGGATCTGATTGAGGACCTGACCCGTGATTACAAGACGGAACTGAACGGGGATTTCTGGACTCATTGAGTCAACATTGGACATACTGTGAAGATGTATCTTACATAATTCTGTTAACAGCTCAGGTGTTGCTTTTCCAGTTTGACTCACGTGGCATTTTGCAAAGGGTGACCTCTTGTGGCAATATTCATAACTACAGCTTTTGAAACCGCAGACCAATGAATACTTATTTACTCACTATTTGTTTTGTCTTCTAACTTATTCCGCTACTATGTGACTTAAGATGGAATAAACTACAAACCTTAAACAAGTAACTAAATGTATTAAAAGGCTTTTTCACTTCTTTCCAGTTTGTATGAAACTACAGAGACTGTGAAATAAATGTGGCTGTGAGATTCTTCTGCAGATTCGGCTGTTTTTGAGCACATGTAAAGAATTAGTACCTATGCTGATATATCCATATAAAATGCATTTCAGATGATAAGTATATATTTCATATAAAATGTTTACATGCCAGTCACACTGTTTTCCACCTACTGTAAAGCTTTGTTGAGTTGAGGAGGACAGTGAGCGCTTAAAAGGATCAATAGTTGGTGCTGAATGGCTGCAGCTGCATAGAGGTGGAGATTTGACTCTGGTGGGCTCCAGAAGTGCCACTGCTGGGTGCCTGGCACTTCTAACTATTACTGGCACAGCAGTACATGGAAGAACAACACCAGAGAAGTATGAGGCAACACTGTGCTATCAAACATGGAATATTCAAGGAATTCCTGGCAGAATTCCTCGGGACTTTTGTCTTGGTTGTAAGTAGCATTTCCTTTTTCCAGGTTTTTTTTTTTTAAAAAGGAGCACCGTCTACAATATTTGCAGTTTTAGAGAGAGATTAAGTTCTGCAAAGTTCAGTGAGATCTTTCTTTTCTTTTTTTTAAGGATCTCCATGTAATGTGTCTTTTTTCCAGTTGTTTGGGTGTGGCTCAGTGGCACAGACTGTCCTGAGTCGAAACACGCTGGGGGAGCCTCTGACCGTCCACATCGGCTTCTCCGTGGGCCTCATGATGGCTGCGTATGTGGCCGGCGGAGTCTCAGGTAAACATGTTTTCTGTTCAGTTTTCCCTCTCCAACCGTGCTTAACATTTTGGCACTTTGACTTGGAAACGCTTGGAGAAGGCGAGCGCACTTTGATAATCAAAGAACAAATGGATGACTTCCTGCTCATCAAATGTGGGTTAGTTATAATCTGCTTATTATCTGAACTCCCCACAGCACATGTCTGTATTTAACAATGCAGACATGTTTATGGTTGAAATAATTCACGGGTTATTAGAAACAACCCCTTCCAGAGGGTGTAAAACAATGTGACACAGCTCCCTTTGTGTGTGCTGTAATCAAACACTTGTTTCTTATGAAGCTTGCTGCTTGTGATCATAAAACTTTATAGCTTGTCGTACAGTCATGTGCAACCTCCACAGCTCCAGCCTCAGCAGGAACGTGCCAGACCTCAGTCCAGATTAGAATGAATTTGTGATGACCATTGATTTATTAGCCCAGGCTCACAGCTTCTCTGGGGTCGTACATAACCCTGGGCAATAAATGTCCTCCAAACTCCATTGATCAGAGGCCTCTGCCTGTGACAGAGAGCCGGCTCAGTCCAACAGAGGGTATTCCACCCGCCCACTGTCTGAGCAAAAAGATCAGAGCCTTTCATGAAGGCAGAGAACGAGTGCATAGATGAATAAACAGGCCTGCTTGAAGAGTCCTAAAAAGTATTTTAAACTATGAATATTTAAACTTTTGCCATGTGATAGCAGAAGCAGTGTAGAGCTAATGTTTCACTTCTTATGAAAAAGGCGGGTAAGGCTTTAGAGAAAAACACTCAGCTATTATACATTCCTCACCAGTGTACATTTAAACATTCCAGCAGATTTCACAAGCTTCACATTTAACACACAGTAAAAAAATGTTGAGAGTTATCAGAGTTAATAAGCATCACCCTGGGATTCCTCATCATCATCAGGGTATTACAGCAAATCTCATCCCATCAAACCCATCACAGCGGTTTACATCCGAATTCTTCATCAGAGTTTTGCTCTTTCCAGATTTCATGGTTCTTGAAAAAGTCCACATAAAAAAACTAGAAAATGTTATGCTGCCAACTGGCTCTAAGATTGTTTTTACCCGTGACTTTATGGAGTCATCTGTTGATTTTGGTAAATGATGTGTGTGTTTTAGTACCAATGTCAATTGAATGGAAATTATTACCATTTTCCACCAATTCCTTTTCCTTTCTTGGAGCTTAGTTTATTGTTAGTGACCATTTTTCCGCCTCATCTTTCTGAATGTGCATAATAAGACCCTGAATGGCCTTGGGGCTGTTCCCCTTCTGCTACACCTCGTAAATGGGATGACTTCAGTAATTATGGAGTTGATATTATGCAAGCCCACACCCAGTGCACCCCTCTGTCACTCACTGCTTTGTTGTGTGTCCCAGGGGGCCACGTGAACCCTGCTGTGTCTCTGGCCATGGTGGTTCTGGGTAAACTGAAGATCTGGAAGTTTCCCTTCTACGTCATCGCCCAGTTTCTTGGTGCTTTTGCTGGAGCTGCTGCAGTGTTCGGGTTATATTACGGTGATCTGTCCTTTACATATTTTCATAAAACCACAGCTTAACACATCTTTCAAACAGAAGTTTTTTTTACAAAAAGTCATTTCTTAGCTGCATACAAATTATTATCTGACACTGACACAATATGTCTTGCTCTTCTCTGCATAGATGCTTTCATGGACTTCACCAGCGGGATTCTGTCTGTGACTGGAATCAATGCAACAGCTCACATTTTTGCCTCATACCCTGCCAGACACCTGTCAGTCCTCGGTGGTTTCATTGATCAGGTGAGCCCTGGTCCCTCTGACCCAATGACCTCGCCTCCTCTTTGCGTCCCTGCTCCTGCTCAGCCCCTAAATAGGGCCAAGTCTGGTAAATGTGGCTAATGCAGCATTGATTGACCCAATTAGTCTGAGAACACCCCCTAGTTTTGCTTAGTTTGTGCTCAATGACCCATTTTTTGGTGCTCACAGGAAGGTCAGAGGCACTTAACCCTATTTTCAGTCGGTCTAGTTGGTGGAAGAGCACAAAAATAAAATGTTGACCAATCTAAACCATGTCAGGGGAGCTGCTGTGAAGCAGAAGCAGTCAAACCAATTAGGTTGTCAAGTTAAGATCAGGCAAAAATGTAATTTAGATTACTGGGTTTAGCTTAAAGCACCTTCACCTTTTATATTTTAAGTCATGCTTTATGCTGCTGTGATGCAGTTGTTCACAATAAAAGCCAACAACTTGTATTCCTTATGTAAAAAATTGATCAAATGATGATCAAATAGGCTAATTATGACACACAAACACATAAAGTAACTAAATGATTTAATTAATTAGGTATTTTGATTAACTTCAGTATACATCACTATTAGAAAGTGACAAATGGTTACCGTGATGCTGGAGGCTGTGTTGAAACTCCCACAAACTGCCATCCATCGACCCAGAGCTGTTGTCCTCCTACAGGTGGTGGGGACGGGCATGCTAGTTCTGTGCATTCTTGCTATCATTGATGGTGGAAACATCGGAGCTCCTAAAGGTGTGGAGCCGCTGGCTATTGGCCTGATCATTATGGCCATTGGTGTGTCCATGGGACTCAACTGTGGTTACCCCCTGAACCCGGCCAGGGACCTGGGGCCCCGGCTGTTCACAGCCGTGGCAGGATGGGGGATGGACGTCTTCAGGTAAATGGAGACCAGGATTTTGCTATTCCTTGTTTTTTTGTTTGTTTTTTTAACTTTTCTGTAATTTTTCTGTTACACATTAATGTGGTCAAATTAGACAAAACATCTAATATATGGCAAAAACTAACAGTGAGAAGAGGAGCTTGATTTGAATCTGGGTAGATGTGAGATGGTGTCAATGTAGCAAACGCAAAGAGGAATTAACTTAAATATATAAAAAACTTCAACATTTAAGCATTGTTTAAATGTTTACCAATATGGATTATGTGCATTAGATGTTACTTGGGACCAGAACATCAATTATAAGGTGTAGATTAGTTTTAATTAACAGATACGAAATTAGAATGTCATAATTTTGATGTGAAATGTATGTATACATACAAATGTATCTGCATTCGTGTTTGTCTCCATATCCTCTAATTATTCCTCTGCAGCTTTATTAGCCACACTGAAATGTTTTGTATTTTATTATATAATGTCACATGCACCCAGCAGTAGCAGTCGATGCCCCTGAACGATCCGTTATTGCCACCGGTTGTGCGTTTTCAACGTGGCCTGTGTGGCCGCCGGTGTGAATTCAGTTTTTTCTCCCTGGGGGCTGGCAGCACGGCGGACTACTGGTGGTGGATCCCCGTGGCGGGGCCCATGGTCGGGGGAGTGGTCGCGGCCGTCATCTACCTCCTGTTCATCGAGCTGCACCACCCCCGCGACGAGTCCGAGAAACACCAAGAGGAGGAGGAGGAGGAGGAGGAAGAGGAGGATGACGAGGACAGCAGTCTGAAGGACAAATACGAGATGATAGCCATGAGTTAGGAAAACACTGACCCTCACAGCCCACCGGTTTTTACCGTCAACCAGATGAAGAACAGCCGGCCCAGTTCCCATGTGTAAGGACAGGCTCCCCGTGTCAGTGTGCTCTCTATAGCAGGCTAGGCTGTAGTTCCACCTCTGGTTGGCTCCATGTTCTGCAGAGAAAAGCTTTTCAGCCCACTGCCAACCTCCACAGGTCCACAAGAAGTCAAACGAATTAGACAATATCTACTGTAACTCCACATAAAGTTTTACGGTCTGTAAAGTGGGCAAAAATACTCATCCTCCAAAACACTGAGCCCTCACTTCATCAGTTTTAATGTAATTTTTTTTTTTCATGTCCTATAAACGTTCAAGTTCATTCCAGTCCTGTGTCCTTTACACTGTAAACTGAATTGTTAACGTCACATATTTGTTGTACATATTGTACTGTATGCATAGAGTCGATTCCCCACCAAAACTAACTGAATGGTAGCTGGACGTGCATGCAGGCATCCTTTTAGCGTTGGCCCTATTTACCTTGTTGATGCTGTCTTAAGTTTGTATACACTTGAAAACGTGTTCCTCTGACTAATGTTACAGCACGAGGAACTCTGGTGTTCGTTTTTTCAATTTGTTTTACTCAGAATTGTTTGTCTACATTAAAGTTTGTACAAATAAGTTATTAAGAGGTCTCTTACTTTATTTCGACTGTCACCGAAAGCAATGATGCAGTTTACCAACAGGGCAGTAAAATAGGTTTGCTGATGTCAGCAGTTCCTGCACATACGCCCGTATGTTCCATCAAAAGGCTGTTTAAAAAGTCAGAGGTTGATCATTTGTGGGAAGTTGTTGGACTTCTGGAAATATTGATTCCTCACAGTGTCAACTTAGAAAATTATACCAACCTATAACTGATATAATTTTGCCAAGTTTAGGAATATCCAAAGAAATGGTCTCAGTGGGATGTCTGTTTTCATTTATTCTGAGGACCTAGAGTGGGTGATGTCATTATGAGTGGAGATTTAGATAAAGTTCAAAATTTAAAAAGGATGTTGTCATACAAAAAGTTCATTTCAGGGAAAAGAAGAATAGACTTTGGGACATCTTTGACTGATATAATCAGTGTTAATTCACATAATTTCATGAATTAACTCATGAATGAACTAGTTGAAGTTCCATCCATCCACTGTCTGTACTGCTTATTCCTAGTAAGATCATGAGGGGTGGCACCTATCCCAGCTGTCATTGGACAAGAGGCGGGGTACTCCCTGAACAAGTCGGTACTACTGACAGTTACTTTCAATCAAAAGATATGGGAGTTCCAGTAAAAAAGAAAACCTCTTAATCAAGGACATAGTTGGTAGCCAAGTGAAATGTCAGCAACAACACCTGACCTGGGCATAAAAGAAGGCTTATGACATGAAAACACAAATAATGAATCGACCTCTGTGTTCATTGTTGTGTTTATCGTTTTTTATACAATAAAACAATCTGTGGAGATTGAGGGAGCACCGACCTGATCAGCCGTTGTGTTTCAGTGCTGGGGCGAGCTGATTCAGCCAGGAGAGGCCAGGAGAGTGTGCACGGACATCTGAGAACTTCATTTTCTGTAATCTTTTGGCTAAAAGTCACGTAAAAGAAGTCAAATATGAAAATCACATATGAATAATTTCTCATGAGATGTGTAACTGAAGTCTAACCCAACTTCCACAGACTGGCTGAATGGAGGAGCTCTGGCCAGCGGACAGTGAGCTGGGACCTGACCACTCTCAGATTGTCTCCATTGTTTGTCCGGCAGTGTCTACGGTAGGCTGGCGTGCGCAGCGTGGGTGACACTCAGCAGGTCGCTTCCACTTCACAATCATGCTTTGTCACCGCCAGGACGGACAAAAGCCCCAGCTGACCGGTAGGGCTGTGACATCAGCTCCTTGCAGAGAGCCGGAGCTCCACGTGCAGAATATGGACAGCATCCTCCTTGTTAAGGACATCCACTGTACATCAATGTGATGCTGAGGGACAGTCCTTGAAAATACTGGAGCTAAGCTGCTGTTTTTATGGATGGCTCTGCTCGCTCATGTCACAACCACTGGCTCCCATATTGAAAATCAATTGCAGGCCACACTAATGTGCATGTGCGAACGTGCGCTCCCTGAGCTGGACAGTTAATACTCATGTGGCTGTTACGTCACCAAACACGTTGATAAGTCAAAGTCATAAAGGTGATTGGGGATATATTATTAAGGATATAAAGACACATAGATGTCATTCACAAGAGTTGCCTTTTGGGAGCAAATGTCTGTACCGTGACTGCTTTTATTTGAGGGGTCATCAGGAGAACACACGGTGTGCAGTTCTTGTCTGGACATTTCTGAGCAAGTGCTGAAGTGTCCTGGTAAAACAGTGATAGGAAGTTTGGCTCCTTTCAGAGCACCTGCTTTACCTTTTACTAAAGCCACTGCTCCCTCTGCTGGGGATGTTTCTGTACTGCACCCACACAAAAAAAATTCATTATGCTAATCCTGTATGAAGAGCAGCAGCAGGCCAAAAACAACCCCTCTAATCAGCCCATTCCGCCAAACAATATGCCATATCTTCATAAAAATTATTATGAACACATTTTTTGAAGAATAACACATTTTCACAATGGAGAATTCGAAGGATAAAAGAGGGTCTGAGTAAATTGTGAGGCTGAAAATCTGACACAAGTTTAACATTAAAAAGGACAAATATTGAATACTTTTCACATCAATTTGCAGAGGAGCATCACCTTAAGGCACCTATGATGTGTTTCACATGCAGTAAAGTATTTTCTTGTTAAAGATGGAGAGGCAAATAATAATACAAATACCAATCAAAAAGGAAAGAGCATCCAGAAAAGGCTATTTAATGGATGTGTGGATGGAAGCCTTAAGACCCAAAAGGCAAAAAGGATTACTGAGATGGACCGTTCCGTGTCAACTCAAATTCAGATTTTCTATTTTTTTGGTGAAAAATTATTAAACGTGACGAGATTTACTCTACTTTTAGTTTTCTGAATCTGAGTGCAAAGAGGTTTATTTCTGGTTGAGGACATCAAAGGGACGATTCAATGATTTTATAGTTGACAAGAAACATTGTTAGTCACTGTTTGTACAGAAAGTTTTCCCTTGATTTTTTTTTTACTGTAAGTCAACTTATGACAGAAATGCCACAAAGTATTGAATTTCATCACAGCAGGTATTTTACTGGTGAATTAAATGGTTCTGTGACCAAACCATTCATCTTTACCATTAAAATAGATTAAATGCTACAACCACATTTTCTAAAATATATGGGCTCTATTTGATATCATGATGAATTCCTGTAGACGTTCCTGGTAACTACTAACTATTTAAGCTGAGATGAGTTCACATCTTGCGTAGCTATAATCGAATCCTGACTCTGTACGACACATGAAAAGCCAAAGAGAGAACACTTTGCAGACAGTAAACAGGGGTCTATTTTATTTTGAACGGGTCTTTTAATTAATGCATTTCAAGTACTCCAAAAATTACATCTCTTTGCACAATACAATTTGAAATTCTTTTTTTTCTTTTTTTTTTAGTAAAAATGTTCAAAGTGAACAAAAATTTCAGATACTGTATAAAACACAGTGAACATTAAAATCAGACAGTAGTATTACTTTTTAAATCTTGTGTTCTTTCGGCCTACATCACCTACAACATTTCAACTCAATTTGGACATTTTCAGTGCACGTTTATCTAAAAACTTTACCAAGACTAGGAAATTAAAAAGAAAGTAAATTTACAGGCATTTTTCTTCTGCTCTTCTAGCCAAACCATGCCACAGGATAAGAAAGACAAAAATCAGAATGTAACATTAACTCCATCACACTGAATTGTTTTTTTTTCTTCATTGACGGTGGTGAAAAGCATCATAAGCAAATCGCAGCTTAACTAGCACATATAAGAACATAAATAACTTAGAGGAGAGGAAAAGTTTGTCACATTTGAACATTTTTGAGCAAGTTACTCTGGAATCAAAATACAAAAGAAAGGAGAAAAGAAAAAAAGATGTATCAAAATGTAATTTTCATTTTCAAATGAAATGCAAAATTTCTCCAAGTACTGTACAAGTTTACAGGTAAATTCTTCGGAACCAACAGGTGTGAAGTGGACTGGGAGATTGATTTTTTTTTTTTTTTAAAAAGCACTCCTTTGTGTACAGACAAGACAAGTTACAGCAAATGCCAACCTGTCCAAATCTTGGGCTTCGTGCAAGAAACTGTGAGGCATGTTTGCTTCCACTCCCCCTCCAGAGTTATGGGAACCACCGGGACAGTGTTGTGAGAGCAACAGTTTAGATTTGTGTCGCATGCATTTAGAAAGAACGGTGCCAGAGCGGGCACGGATGACCTCTCCTCGCACGGCTCATTGTGTAAAATGCGCGAGGTGCTTCGCCCCCCCCCCCCCCACCCCGCCGGTTCAGAGTCGGGATGTTGTTTTCTAAAAATGCCCCTCGGCTGCAGACGGAGGGAGAAGGAAAACACCTGAGGTCACACGAGCCCACAAAGAACAAGCACGTCCTCTCATTCGCTCCCTTCCAGCTGCTTCCTGTGTTTCAGAAAAGCCGTGCACAAAGATTCACGCTGTGAACGTTTATGGCACTCTGATGTAAACATCCTGCACTCAAGACCTCTTCAGGGGATTCAGTCCTCGATGAGATGAGACTAGGAGATAGCTGCAAGGTTGTCGGGTGTTTTTTTTTTTTTTTTAAGGGTGAGAGGAAAAAAAAACAGGTCAAACAGCTGCTGGTCTCCTGTAGTATCAGTAAACACAATGAGGAACACGTTAGTGGATACTGCCAAGTGTACTTCTCCTTCCAGCTGCTTGCAGACAAACATTAATAGCTGTCAAAGTAAATAGTGTCAAGTGACATACGATTATTACAGACCTTTGTCAATTAATAGTCACATTTAATAAATGTGTCTGCATGCCCACATTGAAAAGTTCCTAAATTTGCTATCTGAAGAATAATAGAATGACTTAATCTTACTTTCTTTTTTTTTGTCGTCATTTTTACGATTTATTTCCACACTCATGTAAACTAACTCTGTAACATGACACACTCATTGCTACACTAACCCACAGCAGCCTTCACTTTCCCTTGTCTTCACATCCGGACATCATCTTTTTCAGTTGGAGGTTTTTCTTCCTAATCAAAAACAAATTGCTGGAGACGGCAGACGTCGAGCCAAACTAGGCGATCCTCCCTTTCTGCTCCCATGACTCTGTACGATCTCTAGTAGTTAGCCTGTTACGCAACATGATGTTAGGAAAACAATTAATTCAATAAAAAAAATTAAAAAAACATACATATAGATGAAAAAATTAACTTTGAACCAAAGAGGCTGAAAACTGAGATATGACAGCCTTGATGTTCAAAATCAAAAATCTAGCTTTCTAATAAAAGTGTGTGATCCACCTGACTGGACGATGAAGAGAACTCAAAGCAACGTCCACGTTACTCAGGACAACCATCATTCCTTCATTTATGTGTTAAGAATCCTGAGAGCACTAACCGAAAGAATTAAAAGAAAAAAAGTGAAGAATTACACATTTACAGTAGAAGAAATAGTTTGTTTTCACTTATGATACACTAAATATTTACAGTCACATGCAGAGGACCGTCTGCACGGGGGACCGGAGCCTGTGTCTCTTGCCGTTCGACATGAGTAAATCCCAATAGTGCCGCAAATCCGCACCGAGTGTCTCTCATTTCTGGCTAAAATGGCGAGAGAAAAGCACAGAACAATTCACCAGCAGCCACGGGCTTGTCACTCAAAGAAGACGTTGCAATAGAAGGAGAAAAAAAAAAATCACATCACAGAATGTACTAAAGCTACACGTGGTTCCTTAACTCCTTGGCACTCCTTTAAAAAAAAAAAAAAAGAAGACGAAAGAAAGAAAAAAAAGATGGAAAACGATGCTCGATCGCACTGCATTGGACATGGCTGATGGTCCAGTCTACTCCACAAAGAGCCAACCTTGTTGCCCGGTAGTGTTTTCTCCTCATGGCGTGTCTGTTCTGTCTGCAGATGAAAGAATTGACGATGAGTAACAACCATGTCCGGCATTTCTTTGGATGGAGTGACGCTTTTGTTTCCCTCTGTAGGCACAAGGAGGAGCCAAGGCATTGGGGGGAGGGGGGCTGGGTGCGGCGTCTCAGCGTCTCATCTGGCCCATCTGATAGTTCTCCCTGGGCTGGCGGTGGTGCCTCTGGGGCTGGGCCTGCCGCTGGGGCTGGCCCCGGGCCTGCCGCTGGCCGGCGTGGCCGGCGTGGGCGGCGTGCGGGTGCTGGGACTGGTGCTGCACCTGGGAGCTGGCATGCTGCTGCGCTCGCCGCCTCTTCAACGTGCCTGTCAGAGGGGGGTGGGGGGGGGAGCAGTCAGGGCTTTTCACTCACCAAATATGCACTCGCGAGAAGCCTGTTTTCAATTTTTTTTCAGTTCATGTTGTGAATTGAGAAGATAACTGTACATCACACCCGGAAATCGAGGCTCTTCCCCGAATGAGTTCCTCTGACTGAGCTCTGTCACTCTGTTATTTTCTGTACATTGTCATTATTTCCATAATGCTATAGTTGTTTCTTATTTTGGAGGACAGAAATCCCCTCCACAGCTCTCTGTAGACCGGGAACACACACCAGCAGGCACAATTCAACACTGATGTCATCGTTTAAACTCACTCCACTGCAAAGTGTCTTCCATTTCAATATCAAACCTTGTCTGATAAAGACCAGCAGGCATTGCAGAGTCTGCTGAAAGACCCGGGTAACGTACTTAGACTTCTGTCTCTCTGAGTGGAGGCATCCAAGCCAGACGTCTGCTTGCAAACCTCTTTGCAAATGACAGGACTCACCTGGGAGTGGTTTGGGAGGGGGCAGTTTGGGGTTGCTGCTCGGTGTGTGCACACTGCAGATCTTAATGAAACCAGCCATGAGCATGATGAGGGCTATGCCCATCAACAGCACCGCCCACCAATGAGCCTAGGAGGGGAATCAGGCACAAATCAATCGCAATCAGTCCAAAAACACCCTATAATGACCAACTGTCCAGCTGCAATCAAGTGATGGACGCATACCACAATCCACTCTGCAATGTTCTCATAGAGCTCCGGGTTGAAGATGGCCTTCTTTAGCCTGGCGAGGGGTCCGTCTGCATCCACCAGTCGGCACTTCATGAACACGTCGCAGTAGCCTTTGAAGTCGTTGCATGGCGAGCCGGCCGGCAGCGTGGTCACCTTCTTATTGAAGAAGCGCGCCAGGCGCTCTGACCCGGTGCTGCTGCACGTGTTGGGGTTCACTGTGGAGACACATGTCTGGTAATCAACACGAGGCGGGCGGCGGAGACAGAAACCCATTTCATCAAGGAAAAAAAAAACGCAATGCAACTCCAGTCGAGAAATAAAAGGAGCAGGACTGACTTTTCTCCATGCAGCAAACGTGACAAAGCTCCGTCTCATCCTTGCCATCCTGGCTGGCACAGGTGCAAGCCTCCAGCCCGTACTTCTCACAGATGGAACCAGAGCAGCCCTGTGGGGGAGGCGCGAGAGGACAGCCGATATTAGACACGGACCGGTATGAGTAAGTCACCAGAACGGCGGCTCATTCAGGTGTGAAAGCCTCAGCCGCTCACCCCGTTGAGGCAGACTTGAGTCTCCCCGTGGCAGGCGGTGAAGTTGGCCTTGGGCTCAGATGTGGGGCACTGGGGACTGACTCCGTTGCACATGCCCTGGTGAGCACACTCAGACTCCTCTCTGCACTTCTCGTTGCGGCCCTTGTAAGAGCACTCGGGGGTGCAGCAAGGACCCTGACTGGGGCTGGAGGGAGACAAGTGGTGAGTCAAGACTTTTGTCACGCATGAGCTGGCTCGTCCAATTAGTCAGGCACACGGAGCCTCGAACAAATAACACCAACCTGCAGACTTTGTTGGGCTTTAATTTACACTTCTTGTTGTCAGGCTGGTTGGCATCATAGCAACACTGATCCCTGCACTGGTCACTGTAGCCACAGTCGCACTCCTCTCCAGGCTCCACCAGGCCGTTACCGCAGATGGGCTGGCCAGACTCTGTTTGAGGCACGCACAAATTAGGCACAGTGCTAAAGATTTACAGATAATGAAAAGCCTGTTACAAAAGAGAGCTGCCACGGGTTTGCAGAGGATTAGCAACTGAAGCAATCATGGAAAAAGTACTTGAAAACAGCCCTGAGACAGAAAAAAAAGGAACCCGAGTAGTCCCAAGTATCAGGCAGTGCAGCTGCATCGGGACAGGGTTTGGAAGCCTGCCCGTTTTCCACTCATATCATCTGAGCGGAAGACAGTTTAGGTGTCTTAATCCAATGAAGAGATAATCTGGGGAATTCTTAACGTGTTTCTGTACTGCTCCTGACTTTAAAGTCATAACAGTTTGCCACAAGTAAACGGAACTGGGGAAGACCAAAAGACCAACGAGCGTTCGAAGGTAACATTTGGCCAAATTGTTTTTGTCAGTATTTATTCCTTGTAGAAGGAGACAACAAAAGCTCAGAGTGAAAAACAGACTCTGAGCTGGTCCTTTTCCTGTACATCAAAATAATATGTACGGTCAACAATGGATAGCATTGGATAGGATAAGAGTTGTGTGAAATTTTGACAATCAACTGAAATATATGTGAACCCTTAATGGCAACATTATGTAGGCTAATATCAGCCAGTAAGTGTATCCATAGATGCCTGAAAAGGTTTCCAACATAAGACTTGTGCCTGACAGTGAGGGCGAGTTCATGGTAAGGATAAAAACTTACCAACAAAACAGTTGCCTCTCTTTTTCTCCAGCACCTGGCTGATGTTGCGGATGCTGCAGGTGGAGAACTTGTTGTTGTTGAGTTTGTCTCCTGATGTGGCTCTTGCATACATGATATAGTTGCCCTTCTCCTTCATGTCTTGGCTTTTGGACTCTCCTGGGGTGCACTCAGAGCCAGAGTCATGCTTTTAGAAATGAGAGAAAAGGTTTTTATATGGTTATATGATGTAAAGTATTATGTCTTATTAAGCACACATAAATGTGGCCGATCCACTGAACTTACCGGTGAGCCAAAGTTGTGTCCTACTTCATGTGCAAAAGTAATATGAGAGACTTTTGGGGGTACGTGGGAGGCATAGTTCTGCACAGTGATTATACCCGTGTTCAGGGACTTCTTTTTTCCATCAGAGTACAGCTTGCTTTTTTCACAGATGCCTCCAGAGCTCCCTGGGAAGGAAAAGAACAAGTTGAAACGAACCCGGCTCAAAAGCTACAAAACATGAAGGCTTTTGCTCATTAGAGAGAAGGAATTGCAGTTATTCAATTATCACCCAGCCAACATCGTGCCTCATACAATTCACCAAAAGTGTCTCTGCTTAAACTTAAAACAGTGCAGCAAAGAAAACATGAATGACTTTCTTTCTAACACGGCAGCTAAGACACGGGTGAGGCCTTAACGATGACCTTGGGGAATCCCCACATACATATGTTGGATTTGATTTATTATGCTATTTGCAAGGCCAAAATTCCTGGAAACTATTGTGAATTAATGTGCCAGTTAAACTATGAATATTTTAAGATTCAGTCAATTCTAAATCTGTCAGCTGATGGTGGGGGCTGCTTCAGTACCTGAGGGGGCTCCCACCCAGGCCAATCCCAGCACCCCATCATCGAAGTCTCTGTCGGTGAACACATAAGCCAGGCAGTAGTCATCGTGGTTCTGCTCAGAGTTCAGCTCCAGAAACTTCTCCACTCCGATGTTTGCAAAGCGGAAGGGGTTGGACCTGTCCCTCTCGTCACTGGTTGTGTTGATCTAGAAGAAGAGGAAGTGTTCAGATGGAGGGTGCTGAGCTATAATGCAAGCTTACAGTCGATCAGTACCAGACTCACCCGGATCCTTTTCACCATGAAGCTGATGTTGCGGATCCCAACGAAGTCTGTGCCCTGATAGATAGCGTCGATGGCCTTGACGTGACTGGATATCTAAAAGAGGGACACAGAAACACACAATGTGATTGAGTTTTAGGGCATGCGTGTAGAAAGTATTTCACACTCACTCAGTCAGCGCCATGTGTGACAATCACCGTGAGAACACATAAAAGGAACCAATGCAGTTAAAGTAATCCTAAAACAACATGGAAATAACCCATTCCATAAAACATTAGACAAAATCTTGTTTTGATCACTGAGATCAGCTATATACATTTTTACTCAGTTTGGAACAAGAAGCATTGTCATTCAAACTAAATTCACTGTATAATATACACCGTCTTGCAAAAAGGAAAGACTTTGAGTGGACTACACTGCACAGATGGGTCAGACATTCTCATTGGAAAAGCAGTTATCTCACCCTGACTGATACCACATACTGTGACTGTGGGGGAGAAATCGGTTTGTTTTTACAGAGATTGCTGTGTAGCTCAGCAGAGATAGCAGAAACTACGAACACAGAGTTCAGAACAGTTCCAAGACTTAGCGCAACCTGCACTGGAAGTTTAAATAATTAAAAAAAAAAACATTATCCTAAATCTGCAATGTTATCAGGCCAAAAGAATCTATCCGACTTCCTGAACAGGCTCAAATTGTGACAGCGTTTTACGGGAGGATGACCCATTATTTCCACACATGGATTGACCAGATTTTTAACTCTGTTACCATGGTGTAGACACAGCTGTCCGACTCTCCAATCGCCACCAGAGGACGTGAATGTGGTGACATTGCATAGGCTTTTCAAAATGATACCATGGTAAATATGAGATGTAATGAAAGCTAAAGATGCTCCAACTGAACATTAACTTCTTTTAACACACTTCTTCTGTTGTAAACTTATACATTCCTGAGTGGACAGAGTGAGCATATGCACATTACCTGAGCTATAACGGCTTCTCGGGTCTTGTAGTACTTGTAGAAGAGGTGGTCAGTCTGAATGAAAAGCTGGCAGGTGTTCTTCTCAGCCTGGGCCATCCTCCTCTTCCTCAGCAGCACAGGTTCATTGGAGTCGGCCTCAGTGTGGAGCTCCTGGTGTGAGCGGCACATATAAGGGAGAGCACAGTGTAGGTGGTTCAATAAAACATATATATAGAATTTTCAGTCAAACGGTGAGTAAATAAAATATGTGAGGTATTTTTAGTCTGTGCCTCTGAAGCTGCAGTATACTCATGAACTGCATGTCTGCAGGGACCAAGTACTTTCTCCTCCATTTGCAATATTAGAAAAAAAAGGCAGGAATAAAAATATTGAAAAAGATGGAGAAAAAAGCACCACCTCAATTTGAAGGACATGCAATGCTGTATGCATTACAACACAATGAGACAAGTAATTTATCCTGTGTAAAATTAAACCAGAGAGAGACAGCTCCAAATGCTAAAAAGACAGATATTCAGTGTGTTGTCTGTGACTGCCATCTGTGTTTGGATAAGGATTAAATGGCTCAAGCTGGTTCTGAGTTTAAATACTTTATGTAATGAGAAAAGTATGTTTTTAATTTTTTTTCCCTCTCATATTACTGTGAAGGTAGAAGGAAAGTCGCATTACTGGTTTCTAAAAAAGTATCAATCCATCCATTTTCTGAACAATTAAATCATACTTTTTGAGAGGCGTACTCTGCCTCTCAAAAAGTATGATTAATGTGAATATGATGAAAAAACTGATTCTGCTTTTTTCCAATGGGTTCTCTTCTTACAGATGTTATTTTTTGTTTTGTTTTGTTTTTTAATCTAGGGGTTACAGGGTGCAAGCATGGAGTGAGCACATGAAACCATGTCTACATTTTTTATTTGCTAAATCTGTCGTTTAAACTCTGTAAGATTTTATTACGCTGGCTATGAATTCACCTTGGCTGGATGCTCCATGGCAGAGGCTTGGTACTTCTTCATTTTTTCGAACACGGAGCTATCAGCACAGCCTCCCTCTGGGCCATACTTGTGTGGATAGTCTGAGCGACAGAGGCAAACAACACTGTTTGGATTATGGAGACAATGATAGCTACTTAACCCACTGAGGCGCTCTATTCCTGGCGCTATTCAGGATCAGCTAATGGAAGTACTTACACACCACTTGAGCCTAGCTTTGCTGTGTGAGCTGTTACTTTCCTGTCGCTGCCATTAGCAATTCCACTAACAATCCTGTTAAATTTGCCCCTCAGCCACATGCCATGTGTGTACAGATGATTTGAAATTAGAGGGTGCTGCTTTAGTGAAGTGTACTCTCTGCTCACTGTTGGTACCAACACAGCGTCGACTGCTTAAATAAGCCAGCAGCCTGAGAGAAAGGCTGTGTTACTCAGCTAATGAGTACCGTGGGTATTTCTGCTCCCTTAGGGTGCAATCGCATCAATCTGGCCCCATCAGCTCGACTGCCCTCACCTCGTTTATAAACGCATGCATCAAATCACAAATTTTCCATGGTAAACGGCGGCTTACAAAGTATTTGTGTAGGTGAAGCTGCTATGAACTCACGTATATCATCTTCATGGTAGATGACTGAGTGGAAGGGTACGTCTTTTCCCTCCAGGTATCTCTCAGATGGCTCCACATAGTAAGTGCCATGGTAGCTTTGTATAAAGCCCTCAAACTTACCATCCACAATGGAGCCGTGAGTTAGGGTACCCTTCTCACCTGAAAATACAAAGACAGCAGTGTGTTTAAGGATACTCAAACAGGATCAGGTTTTCTCATCAAACCGTCACAAAAACATTCCACTGTTAGAATTTCCTGAAACACAAGGTGCAGTACAAGATTATAACAAGTCTATTGAAACGACCTCCTCACCATAGATTTCTCCAGTGTAGATGTGAGAGGTATCGTATGGGATCGCTTCTCCTGAGACCTCCACCTTCAAATCTTGGGCAAACAAGGTGGTGTCCCTCTTCATTCGTAAATTAAAATGCCTGAAAAGACACGGTGTTACACTGTGGGTCGCATTGCTTACAGGATTTATCAGGTCAGAGTAGGAGGTTACAAATTCACAAGAGTTTCTGAGCTTGGGCTCCTTTTTTAAAAGAAGCTCTATTTACTCCTCTGCTGGGAAAAGGAAATACAAATGAGAGTGGACAGAAAAGGGTGAAAACAAGAGCAGAGAGTAAACACCTAAGCTGCCCGCTGCTCTGTGTGTGTGTGTGTGTGTGTGTGTGTGTGTGTGTGTGTGTGTGTGT